CGAGGAGAGGGTGTTGAGGAGAGGGTGGAAAAGAGCGAGAGTCCTCGATTACATAGCAAATCTATATCTCCTTGTAGCTTCCATACACAATGTGTCTTGATCCCAAGATTGCCTCTCTCAACTTACTGCCAAACTATAGAGGGAGGTGCCAACATCTATATAACTAGCAGGTAAGTGCGAGGCTTGCAAGCCTCATACTTGCCTTAATCGAATGTGTCTATGCCGAGAACAGGGTGCCCACGGTAGGAAGGAAGGCGCCAGAAGGGATCAATCACAAACAGCAAACCAAGCATGTCTACTTCCTAACTTTCTGGGACTTTTATGCCCATTGTTGCTGCCCATGCCCTATAACGCGTAGGCAGGTGTGTTTGGATACTTTTCATGTGTCAAGAAACTGCTGTTCACTACTTTTGCAGCTCCCTTATACTTGCTCTTTATGTATTAACTTTGCCTATCCCACTCAAAAGGGCAGGGAAGGTAGTCTTATATTTGCACTTTCTATGCATTAAAATATGGGCAAGACAGGTGCATGCAACCTCCAAATCCCGTTAGCTGTGCCATTCGTTTTGGAATCTTGGAGCCGCATTTTAATAGAGGAGAAACGTGTTTTGTTTCCTGTTGCTCCGTCGCCTCGTCGGCGTCATTCAAAGTCGCCAGTGCCGTATTCTCCCGGGGGGGTGGGTAGGGGTTGGGTTTCTGGTGCTGACCCTGGTCTCCGCCACCGGCGCCTGGTGGAGCGCAGAAGCTTCGTAGGCACACTCTCGAGCAACAATCGCGGATTGGAGTTTCTCATGGCGGGTGACATTGCAACACCAACCAGGACTTTTGGCACCACTCATCGAAATTGCCGTTGAGAATTCTATTGACTGAAAAAGGTTGCGAGATTTATTTCGGCAAACAGGATGTTATACCAGCGAGAAAACCAGATACCTCCCCCCTCGCCTTTTCTCTCTCTTACTGGACCCATGCCACGGGTCTTGGGTATCAATGCCAACCCTTGATACTTAGGGTCTTGAGACGTCAGCAACCTTGGCCTCTGGCGTCACGTCCTCAAACTTGTCCTCTGAGCCGGCCTTATCACGGCCGTTACCGTCACTCACATGACCGGCCTCATCAAATCGATACAGCGGCTCGAGCACGGCGTCCTTCCGGCGGAGGATGTGGCGCCTGACGAACCATGGCAGGGACTTGGTGAGCTGGTACTTCATGAAGATGCTGGTGGGGACGGCGAAGACGTAGTCGAGCTCCTCGAGCGTGCGCTGCTTTGTCTCGGGCACCCAGAAGAAGATCATGGCGAGGGCGACGACGTTGAAGCCGGCGTACAGGCAGAAGGCGCCGAGGACGCCCAGGGAGGCCAGGATGGTCGGGAAGGTGATGGACAGCACGGCGGCCCAGAAGAGGCACGTGGACACGGCCCACGCCATGCCGACCTCGCGGTGGGAGAGCGGGAACACCTCGGCGCTGTAGGCGAAGGGCACGGGGCCCTCGCCGGGCGAGTAGAAGGCGGCGAAGATGTAGACGAAGAGCGCGACGAGGCCCATGTGCGCGCCGCCCTTTCCGGGGATGAGCGTGCAGAGGCCCGCGGCCAGCAGCGACCAGGCCATGTTGGGGAAGGTGAAGAGCAGCAGCGAACGCCGGCCAAACGTGTCGATGGTCCAGATGGCCGGCCAGGCGAAGAGGAAGTTGACCATGCCGAAGCCGAACGAGGCCAGGAGGGCGTTAAAAGCGGTCGTTCCAGCCTCCTCGAAAATGGTACTCGAGTAGAAGGCGATGATGTTGATGCCACACATCTGCTGAGCGATCATAACGGTGAAAGAAGCGAGTGTCGCACTGGACGAAAGCACCGCGTTAGCCTTCGGCTTGAAAACAAGAGGGAACATGAGTGGGATTGGCCATACCGTCGCACACGGGGAATGGTGAACAGCTCGATGAAGCGTTGGATGTAGTTGCTGTTGCCAATGACACTCTTCTCAATCTCAAGCTGTGCGTGGATATAGTACAAATCCCGGGCAGCCTGGATAGGGTTGTTTCGGAGCAGCAAGAGCGACTTGAACGCGTCCGCATATCGGCCCTTCTTCATATACCATCGTGGCGACTCCGGGCAGAGATAAATCAGTATCAGCAGTGGGACGGCAGGGATGAATGCGCTCCCCAGCTGTAGGCGCCACGAGATCGACCCAGTCTTTGCGACTGCTAGGTTGGCGCAGGTGCCGAGGAGGATGCCGAAGGCGGTCCACAACTCTGTTGTCAAAGAATATCTGTCAGGGCACAAAATTTTCGCTGAGGGAAGGGCCTTGTCACAGATTCCACTTACGCCAGGACATGACCAATGCTCCTCGGATGGCTGCGGGCGAGTTCTCGGCGGCGAAGATGGGTACTGATCAGGGGGGGTTAACACGGCGAGACACGTGCCTTGGCGAAGGAATACTAACCGCTGCTGGCCTTTGCTCCCATTCCGATTCCCATGAGCAGTCGACAAGCTAACAGTTGCTCCCATGTCTGGGTGAAGGCGCTGCCGATGACAGGCCACAGACAGAAATGGGCGGCGAAGAAGATGGCACCTCGGCGGCCGAGGTAGTAGTTCAGGGGATCCGAGATCCAGCAACCGATGAAGCTTGGGCACGGTTAGCCAACGAACGGTATCGGCCTGTTCGAGACTCAATGGGGTGGGATAAGAAGACATACGCGCTACCGATGTAAGGAGCCGAGTTGACCAGTCCGACGAGATAGGTATCGCGCTGGGAATCCTTGTCGCCAATGCCGAAGACGGTAGGGAACGACAAGTTTGCGCCATTGCTGCCTGTCTGATCCCAACCCTGGACGGCAGCGCCGATGGAGCAGGTGATGATGGTGAGGTAGAGGAGTCTCGGTACCCGCCATTTGTGGAGGACCTCCTTTTGAAGCGCATCGATTTCCTCCTGGTCAAGCTTCTCGGGACCGGAGATGTCCTCATATGACGACGGATCCTGGGCAACCAAAGCGCCCTTGCGGAGGATTTGAGCGTGCTCTTCCATGCCTCTCTCGTGGGCAAACTCGTCAACCTGCTTCATCAGTTCATGCTTCGGGATGCCAGCGAGGGGGTTCTTGATCCTAAAAACTCCGGGAGTCAGAAAGGAATTGCAGTCACTAAACTCCAGCCATTGGCCCGACTTAAGTGCCTAGGCAGGTAGGTACACACTTTGCTTCGACATTGGCGTTCAGATCAGGCACGGCGTCGGACACACGACGGCCCTTCTCCGCGTTAGACCCAGCTATCTGGCTGGCCTGCGTCCTGTGCAACAGCGTCAATAGAGGCAACAAGCATGGGCTTGCCTTTCCCGGTTACGTACACCTGGACAGGCTCGATAGCGCTAGCTTTGGGGTCGGATTTAGCCATGACGAGTTCCAAAGTTGAAGTTGGGTGAGTGGGAAGACGTCAGGTTGAGTCCTCCCTAGTGGAGCGCAACCACAGATACTTATAAAGAACCACGCATACGGGTTGGGGTCCGGGGCACTGACAGAAATACCTCCGCACAAGGCGGCGAAGGTATATAGTTAGACGCAGGGCGATCACCACTTTTCTCGCCCTTGCTGACCTTCTCCCCACTCCCGCCTCGTCACACAGGCAGGATCCGGGCATGCGTCTCCCAGACCCCAGAGACAAGGTGCACTGTACTGTACATGCACACACAATACATAGTGCACATCAGGTCGTACTAGTGCAACCTCCCTTCAAGGACACCGACCGAGGCATCCACGCACCGCCTTGGCAAGGCAGAGCCATTTTTTCCCGTTTCCTATCGCCAATGAGGAGCAGTCGTGGACAGCGGGAAGGTTGACCAGGACCTTGCGCGAATATGGTGTCTCCCAGACCAGTATCAAAAGACGCTGATCCGTCCCTTGATTGCTAGCGTTCCATTCCTTTGGCAATAACAAGTGGGTTCATCGGAGACACATCGAAGCGGAAGCAAGAAAACGATTCCATCGGGCCGAATTGGGGATAACCCAAAGCTGAGGAGTACATGCCGGATGTCGGGAAGCCAGTTTGGACGGGTTCCCCTACCTGCGAAGTTGCTACAGGCCGGTACCTCACCTTTGCGTTACCCAGGTACACGTCTCGTGTGCACGTTTCTGAGGCTCTCCGTCAAGCTTTGGGCCAAGCTTTGGCCGAGACAGACCGCCAGGTGAATCTCCCCTTGGACTAAGCAACGCTAGTCTGCACTAGCAAGGTAGGGAGACCGGTACTTACCAGCGCCCGGATATAGTGTGGAGGTTTTCCTTTACTCCCAGAAATTGCGACACGACCAACCACATTTTTGCAACGGCAAACAGGTGGTAAATAGGTCGATCCCGAGTCTTGAGCGTCTACCTACACTACACACGCGTGAGGCAGACCGTTACATCTTCTCCCCTAATGCTAAGGCAGAATATTAATTAAGCCATTCCTCAGAAAGGAAGGTAGGTGGCTGCTTGCGCGAGCAGCACCTCTTCCTCGCAGTGCAGTCAGCCACTGACGTCAAAGGGGTCCGCCGTCGTGCAGGCCATACGTATGTATACGTGTAGTGTGCCTGCGGGGCCGTGCATGAGATTCCCGGGGGAGGTGTGGGTAGTAGTGGGTGGGGCATCGTGGTCGTTGTGGTGACTTACCCGCACTTCGTAGTGTGGGAGAACAACATCCACTGCGGATGAGGGAGGCTGTATGTGATATCCAATGGGAACATATTCGGAACACGTCTTATTTGGAAGCGTAGAATTATGATTACATCTTTGAGAAGAGGTGCTGCACTATTTCAGGCCCCGAAGTCCCACGGTTGAGTTGGGTCCAAGCCCTCGAGCAAACCATTGCTGTTCTGTTGGACAGGCGGGGTCAATAAGAAAAAGAAAAAGAAGGCACACCGGGTGTACGGTTGCTTCTGCCTTGCATATTAAACAATATCTCGATTACAAAAGCGGTATACGGCTTGTCAATCCCATATATCTTAGCATCGGCATGTTTAGGTGAGCTAACTGTGTCGCTGTTGGTTCCTGCTTGAACTGTCCCCGGGCGTCGGATGTCTTGATGACCCATGAATATCCCTTGCGCCACCATTGTCAGTCTATTGAGAATGCGCCGCTAAGGCTTCCCGGAGCAAGTTAGACTCGGCCTTCTCCTTGTAGATACATATCTCGTGAGAGCAACCCCTTGCGCGGCAGGCTGTGTGCAGAGGGCATCGAGTGTCCACACGAGAGTCAAAGCCTCGACCCTCGGACAGAGCGAAAGGGATTCCATGGAGAGAGACTCTCTGCATGCATAAGCGCTTCTCTCATCTTCTGATCCACGTCTCCCACCCAAGCTTTCCACTTTGGCGTCGCCTTGTAGACCTGAGAGGGGCGACCTGCCAGTCGACAGTATATATCCCAACGTTTCTTCACTGCAACATGGTTGGAATGGAGGAACTGTTGGTGTTCGATCAAGTAGGTCGACGGCTGTCCTGTTGCGACTGTGTCCCATTTGCAGCCGAGCGGCGACCGGCAGTGGCCAACCTGGTGGTACGAGAGGATGGTGATAGTCCACAACTCCTGTCCTGGCTTCTTGGCGAGGTGTACTGGTCGTCGCTCGATGGTGGTTGTGAAGTCCGTTAAGCAAACTAGACACGACCCTGGCGCGCTCCAACACTGCTTGATGTAGCTGAAGGGGCCACGGCCGTCCCATGGGGACAGCTCTGGTATCCTTGTAGGGAGTTTGCCCCAATGGTTGACTGTAGGTCGATGCGTCGTGATATGGTGGCAGATATGGTGGTGGTGGAGGTACTCCAGTACGTCACGGTTATGATGAGGAGTTCCGCGTAGTACAAGCGTGTGCAAAAAGGAGAGAAATAACACGTCTTCTATGATCCTAGCCGATGACTTGATTACCCAGCCGTTGACGGAAGGCCGAATCTCAAACTCAAGCTGGCTTAGACGCAGTCCTCGGCCAGGCCAAAGTAATGCGCATTCCTCACGAGACGGACGTGATGAAACCCAACCGACCTCGGGTCTGCAGGGAAGGTCAAGATGTCTCAGATATCTCTGGCATGGTGCCCAATACGACGAGAAACGGTGTAATCGGAGGCAGCAGTAGCAATAGAAGAAATGACGCCTTAGGTCCTTCTCCAGGAGCAGGAGGAGATTTTCCAGGCTGGAGTCGTGCAGACTGCTCTTCGAGACAGGAAACAGTACGTAGAACGCAGACTTGCAGGTGAGCGACAACGCCGCAACCGACTCTGGAGGAAGGAATTCTGATATTTCGAACAAGATATCGAGGGGCTGGTTTAGCAAGAGCGAACCTGCCTGGTCGCTCACTGAAGGCCGAGTCCATCGCAGAGGGCGACGCCATAGAACTGCTCTCAATGAGGCAAGGATTCTTCTGTACATTTCAGGAGATGGAATCCTCGAGGTCGTTTCAATAAGGATAATCTGGAGAAGAGTTGAAGTATTTTCAATGATTGAAAGGTAGGTACGGTAGATAGTTGAAAGTGACGCGGAAGAACGAAAAGAGAGATTGTTGTGCGGCATGGTTGTGGTGATTAAGTTGTTGAATAAGGTGTTGATTAAGCTCACGTGGCGAAGTCGAGGGGGAGAATTCAGTCCATGTCGTTTCCATGTTACTTAAGTAGACTGTACCATCGTGTGGCATGGTATTGGATTAGGTTCACGGAAAGGGCGCGACGTAGGGGGTGTAAAACTGTAACGGACGATCGTCATGCACGGGCCACCCCCTTTCAACCCCTTTTCAGTTTATTATCTCTCCTTGATCAACATTAGGTAGGTTAGATGGGTAGGTAGTCTACCACTCGGTGACGGGCGCGTCCCGCACAAGCACCACGTCACCTAGCTTCCTTGGCCTTGCCATCCCCCTCGTCATTGCCCTCGTCCTCGTCGCCTTCCTGACTGACCTCGTCAAGAACCTGGCGGCACCCAAACTGCTGGTGGATCTGGAAACGGATTGAATGAGGGGAGTTACGGGCACTGACGGGAACTTGACGGTACAATGATTGGACTAGTAGGTAGGTGAAGCGGCTCACTCTCGACTTCCAGAAGCAGGGTCTCGGGATGTTCGAATGGGTCCCAGTTTGTGTGGCCCCGGTTGCCAGCTCCTTGATGAGTTCTGCGGCGTTGCTGAATGCGGTCGCGAGCCGCTCTGCGCACTAGAGCTCTGTGAGGGTAAGAGGGTACTGGAAAATGCACTCCTTCCAGTCCTGTGGGTTCTTCTGTCACTGGCGTCGAGAGAGCTACGAGAGGAAGAAGGTATTGGGGAGGCTTGGTTTGGGGGGAGGAAGATGTGGTTGATCGTGTACCCAATTACCTAACCAGCAGTCAACATCTTTGTTCCCCCGACTTACATTCCAGAGCTCCGAGAGGAGGCCCGCCTCCAATTTCTTGATGATGTTTGAGAGTCCAGACTGGGTAGCCAGAGGACGATGGTCACATCTGCTGGTCATGCCCCGCCTGCTCTGAGATCTGAAGGTGAACGCGTTTCTGGGAGGTGGAAAGCTGGAAGTTGTTGTTAGGGTGAAATATATCCCACCACACTTGACTTGGTTCCTTGAATAGGACCCTCAGGCTTCATGGGTGGAAACTCTGCCGAAGGCGCTGGTGGTGGACAGCATCCAGTCGTTGGGTCTATGCTCAACGGCGTTGCCTTCCATTATCGCCTGACCTACCTACCTTCCATATTTTTCCATATCATCCAGGTGGTATCGAAAAGCGAGTAAGATGGAGGGGGCCAGTCTCAGGTACTGCTGAATCTTCGCTGCCGCCGCTGAATTCTGCGGTCCATTCCTTCCTTTGGAAGCAGGAAATTAGTCTCTGCAGCTTCTGCAGTCTATGACTTTCGCTGGTAAGCAAGGCACTGGTCATTCAAAACGAGTTCCTGCCGTTTCTGTAGCCTATGCTTGCCTCTGGTAAGCGAGACTTGGCCTGGGAATGGCACAATCTGGAATCGATCTGTCAAGGTCGATGACAAGATTTGCCAACCTAGGGGCACAAGAAGCGTCGCGATCCGTTTCAGCTCCTGAAGGGCCCTAGACTTGCACGTGTTCTTGTGGCCACTGCTGCGTCAACGGCGGAGTCGCAACAGCATCACAACTCGCGGAGTTGTGAGCCTCTGGAAACCCTCGGGGGTTCCAACCCTGGAGTGCACTCAAGGGGTCCCCCAGCAATGGGACTGCATCTTGGAAGCGATGCTGGGGCCTAGTGACTAAGTGGCACTACCAAGAAAGTCCCTTACGAGACCCGGAAATCAACCAGGTGAGAGCTCCTCCGCCCAGTCCAGTCCAATGTCCTTGTCATCACTGACGAGTTGTTCAAATTGAACACGTCCCGAGGCCTGCAGGCCACCGGATTGCACCGGGATATGAGGTGGGGGCGGGGCGGCTGACCCGGTTCTTGAAGAGGTCAGTCAGGAAGGCGACGAGGACGAGGGCAATAAGGTCGCAGAGGGACGGCTAACGAGGATAGCCGAGTAAGGCTACGCATTGGAAGCTGCTAGGATTCCGGCCGTGTGAAACAGGGTTTTCCTAAGCAGGAGAGACAGCGACAAGGGTGACGAGGGGCTTCCACAACTACGACCTTATTGAATATATGGAAGAATTAGACCATTCAAACTGCCTTGTGATAGGCGGCTACTCTCTCTTCATCCGTGACCACTCCGCACCCAGCAACCCGCATCTGGTACACTACATCCTGTTGCTATCGATATTGCCGTCGCTGTTGCATCGCTGTCGTCATGATTGCCCTCATAGCTCCTGCCACCGTAGTGGTTGATGGTGGGCAAAGTCATCATAGTAAGACACCAAGACGTGAGAGCGACGCCTGTTCTTCTCGTATGTGTAGTCCACAGATGATTTGGATTGGCATCAAAACTCTGTGCTGTTGTTAAAAGTGGATTCATCTCTTGCCCATATGCGTTAATACTGGGTCTTCAGCCTGAGAAGGCCCCTTTGCCCGAATCCGCATGTTCCACTGCCACTGATCCTCCCTTATTTACATTCCCTGGCTCGACAATAGGTGATTCCGGATGCGGCAGCAGGAGTCAACTGAATATACCCAGTCTAGAACATGAATTGGGTTCCCGTACATCTTGCCCATGATATATTATTTACTCCGTCCCAGGGCTGCCCTCAATTCCCCGGCCGAGGATCCTTCAGCGACTCCACAACCCGGTGCCGCAGGTCAGCCAGCTCCTTGTCTCTCTTCTTGACGACATCGCACATCTCCTTGTACTTCTGCTGCCACTGCTCGGCGGTGGCGTCCCCCCCGCTGGCCGGCGGAGTCGCGGAGTCGCCGCCCTTCCCTGGCACCTTCCACCTATCGTGCATGACGGTCTCCTCCATCGAGTAGATCCCGCGGAGGTCACCCAGCCTCAACTCCCAGGTGCACGAGTACTTGTTGCGGTCCGGAAGCTCCCCGAGGCGCGTGATGGCGACATTCGTCGTGCTCATGAGCAATTTTGCCCCGGCGAGGGCGGCCAGGTTGATCAGGAAGGCATCCTTCGTGACGGCTGCCTTGAGGAGGTTGTCAATGACAGTGGCGATTATGGCAGATGCCTCGTCGACACCGCACGGCGGTATTCGGTTGCCCTTGGCATCGTACCAATTGGCTGACAATACCTCATGCGCAAAGTACGCCTCCAGCTCATCCATGTTCGTACGGTCGGTGGGGTCGCCGAATCGAGCCTGTAGCTGAGGAGCAGCAGGCCCGGACGTGCCAGCAGAAAAGGGAGACGATCCTCCGCCTCTCCCACCTCCCGAAATGTCGTTTACTATGCCTTTAGGCGATATGTTTAGAGGGATTCTTGTGGTTTCCTGTCCGACATCATCGGCAGCCATGGGTGCTTGCCCATTTACCATCAAGAGTGGCGGTGGCGTAGCCAATCTAACCTCGCCTCCAACCCGGGCCGGAACCTGCAGCGACAACCTACTGCGCTTGGCTGGCCGTGTATTCTGCGTGTCTTGGTTTGGTGCTGGCTCATTTGTAGACACGGTTGGAGGAGCGGGAGCAGGAGCGGCAGCGGGAGTGGCCGGGACGGCGAAAGGAGCAGGAGGGGGAAGGACGGCACTGCGGCTGCCGTTCTCCTCGGCACGGGGTGGTATCTTGAAACTTGGTACATCTGTCGATGGAAAGGCAGAGAAAGGACCGTCGTTGTTGGTTCGGTTCATAGGAGGTCGGCCGCGAGCCTTGCCCTTCCCTGCCAGCCCGGTGCGCCATGCGGACGACACTACTTTCGCCCCGTGTCGCTTGCTCAGCCGAGGTTTGGAAGGCGAAATGGCAGACTTCGGTTCATCTACCCAAAACAGGTTTCCCGTGGATGGCGTAATTGCGGACTGGGGGTAAGCAGTCAACGGCGTTTGGACCACATCCGAAGTCGTCCAGGGGGGGCCCGATGGCTGGCCCGTTCCGGCGCTCAACCTCAATGACTCGGAAACGGGGAAGACGAAGACGCTCCCTCTGCCGTCCGGGTGAGCAGACCACGGGCCAACTCCGTCGAGACGGGCAGCATCGTATTCCTCCTCGCCCACTGGCTGCTGAGACGGGGATTTGCTGTGGTCGTCGTCCTCTGCTTTCCGCCTACCCCTGCGAGGCCGTATCTGTGGCAGCAAGGCCCTGAGGGCCATGTCGTCTTCCGCCGCGACACCATCTCGTCCGAGCTCGCTGACGGGGTTCGGATCGGATGGGACGCTTGTCCAATACGGACCCGGCCGTCCCATGAGATAGTCGAAAAACGCATCCACGTGCATGGAGCGCATCCATCGCTGTCTTTGTTAGCGGCTGGAGGGCCTCGCAGCTGTGCCATTGGAGACGCCTCCCTACCTTTAAGCGGACTGCATATTGCTGTATCCTCTGCGAGCTCTGGCCCTTATCCTGGTCAGGGGGTTCGACTCCCAGCTTTAAGGCCAATTCGATCCAGGTCTTGAGCTCCTTTGCTTCCAACTGCTTGATCAATTCAAACAGGGTCCAGGTCTTGAAGCTCTTGCCACCACTCTTGGGCGGGGCCTGGAACGACTCCCTTAGAGCCGCCGTGTCGGTGTCCAGGGGAACAGCCGGGTTACAATAGAGAATGAAATTGACATAGGCATCCTCTATCGTCTCCTCCGAGACGTACCTGTCTGGCAGCACAGGCCGAACCAACGACGAGCGTGAGCCAACATGGCGGCTCGAAGTTGGCGATGCTGTCAAGCCCAACTGAGGCTGTCGCTGCATGATGCTGGTCTGCAGATGCTGTCGATCATAAGATATTCATGTAGCTTGACATGAAACAGCCAGGTCAACACAGCTCGTGCTTATTGGAGATTGTACCAATAGAGCAGGTACTTGAGACGGGGCGCATATTCGCATCCCGCGATGCCTTCAACTCAGCGCTCACACTGAATGACTGAAGGTAGAGAGATCAGTAGGTAGGTGAGGTGATGCGAGGGAGTTGGGCGGCTAGTCGGGTAGCCTAAGGTAGGTGATGAGGTTGTGGAGCTCTACCGAAGATCCAGCCTCCTGAGCTCTTGACGTTGGTTGTTGTAGATTCTCGGGCGATAGACGGACAGTGTGTGAGAAGAAGTCAGCTCGGCCTGCTCCTTCGACTCAATTGCAAGAACTCAACGCGCCGTGTTCATTCAATGTTCAACCAGAGAGGTCCTTTGGAAAGCGTATTATTATCGTGAAACGAGCCGCGTCCAGCCACCCGCACGCCGTCGCATGAGCTTCTTTCCAAAAATAGACTGTTCTGTGGGGTTTAGGCCGTACCGTGTTTAGCACTGTAGTAAGACCCCAAATTGTCACATGCAGCCGTGGGAATCGCTGTTGCACGTGGCAGGATCTCAGTTTCCGGCGCTCAGACCACAGTGCCGATTCCACCTCGGTCGCGAGTGCGCAGCATGCCGACGACAGAAGCGGACAGTCTCGTCATAAATATAGACCTGGACATCTCTTGTTCATTGACAAGCTGGGATTCAAGATGGCCATCGGGCCGGGTTGTATTGAGCCTCATAAAGAGGCCTAACTCTCTCTCGAAGTGGGACATAATTAGAGCCTGTGCGCCTCCCACAGCTAAAATCACATGGAAGCTGCCCCTCTCTCTCTGTGTGACGTCTGACGTCTTGCCGGACCAAGCCGGTAGTTTACCAAGGGGGTTACAGCTGCTAATCGGACCTCGGCTTTCCTCCACATCTTATTGTAATGCGCCGCGCAGCAATGGCGCGAAGCTACAAGAAGTCTATTATCTCAAGACTCCATTGTCCTCATCCCCAGTGAAGTCATCTTCTGTATCACGAGTAGCTGCTCTCCCAACAACCTGCATCGAAGCAAACATGTCGCAATCGAAGCCGGTCCTTCCCCAGAACGATAATGTCGCCCATGCGCTTGCCGGCGCAGGAGGGGGTATCCTTTCCATGGTGTTGACGTACGGCTCCTCCCTTGCTCCCATCCCATCCCCGGAATACCGTCCCCGAGTCTCCCAGCTAACGCGCCCCGGAAACCGGGCATCTCAGCTACCCACTCATCACCCTCTCCACGCGCGCGCAGGTCGAGTCGAAGCGCGCACACACGGCCTTCGTGACCGCCGTGCAGCGGATCGTCGCCCGCGAGGGCCTGGCGGGCCTGTACGCGGGGCTCGACAGCGCGCTGGTGGGCATCAGCGTGACCAACTTCGTCTACTACTACTGGTACGAGTGGACGCGGGGCTTCTTCGAGGCCGCCGCAACCAAGGCCGGCCGCGCCAGCAAGAAGCTCACCACCGTCGAGTCCATGATCGCCGGCGCTATCGCCGGCTCCGCCACCGTCATCCTGACGAACCCCATCTGGGTCATCAACACGCGCATGACCACCCGGAAGCGCCACGACCAGGACCAGGAAGACGGGGAGTCGTCGGCCGCGGCCGAGGAGGGCACGGCCGGCGGCTCGAAGCCGGCAGCCCCGAAGCCGACCACCACCATCGGGACGCTCCTCAGCCTCCTCCGGAACGAGGGCCCGCGCGCGCTGTTCGCGGGCGTCGTCCCCGCCCTGGTGCTGGTCATCAACCCGATCCTGCAGTACACGCTGTTCGAGCAGATGAAGAACGCCGTCGAGCGCCGCCGGCGCGTCACCCCGGCCATCGCCTTCCTGCTGGGCGCCCTCGGCAAGCTGTTCGCCACCTCGGTCACCTACCCCTACATCACCGTCAAGAGCCAGATGCACGTCGCCGCCCACGACGGCGAGAAGAAGGAGGGCATGGCCGCCGCCATCAGGAGGGTCATCAGGGAGGAGGGCTACGCCGGCCTCTACAAGGGTGAGTTCGAGTCGGCTTTGCTGCCCATCTGATCCGTGTTTGAACGCCCTCGGGGGTCAAAGGCTGACTTTTGGGTGTTTTTAGGCATTGGGCCCAAGGTCACACAGAGCGTGCTAACCGCGGCTCTCCTCTTCGCCTTCAAGGACGTCTTGTACGAGCAGACGGTTCGGCTGAGGAGTACTATGGCAAGGAAGCGTCTTGCTGCGTAAAAGAAATGTGCTCGGGACGAAACGTCGGCGCCGGCATAGACGACCGAAGCCAGAATGACTTTGCTGTACTAGTCGAGGATGCGTTCACATTGTGACTGCCCAGCACCAGGGCTGCAACTTGGTTGAGATGGATTACAACACGGAGTAGGCGAAGTGAGGAAGTTTTGGAGTAGGTAGTTATACTGATCAGATTGTGTGTACATTAAGCCGCTATGAGGTGTAAGCTAGGCATGAGAGACCGCGGATAAAGGGAGTGAGCAGGAAAAGGGGTATATAGGTACAGGTTACGTTCGCTAATGCCCCCTTGAACCATGTGAACTGGACGTGTGCAGCTCTCCCTAAACTCGAACAAGGGAACTGAGGATGGCGGGACTAAGTACCTGACACGCTTGGCACAACCCACCAGTCGTGATATCTGTCCCCAGGGGGCTTGATATCGATCTTCAAATTCAGTGGCTTGCCCTCGGGCGTGTCCGCAAGGACCTTCTCCACGACGCTGATGACGACGCCGGTGGCGATAGCCGACTTACAGCAATTCACGATCCCAGCGGCCCACTTCTTATGGCTATTGATGGTGAACGACTCCATCTCGTCCAGCTTCTTCAGCACCTCATAACCCTGCCTCGCGCCCGCAACGGCCCGCTTCGCATATTCGAGGAGGCTAGCCGTGGAGGTTTCGGGCTGGGCCGAGGCACGCGTAAAGGCCTCGAACGACGGCAGTTCGGGAAGTCCGATGGGCGCGAATGGTTTCATGCGGATATCGTACCGGAGAGCGTCAGTGCTGTACGGCCGCGGGGGCTGCACGACGAGCTTGAGGCGCTGCAGCGCGGTATACAGACACACAAGGGCATCGGCCAGCTCCCAGACGACGGCGGCATCTAGCATGGTGAGGCGGAGATACGCGAGGGATTTCAAGAATTGCGCCTCTTTGGTCGCGCTCAGGCCTTGCGGCCGCGCCCTATGATCATCCAGGCTGCGGACAGTAAAGGCCTTGATGCGTTCCACGTGCTGAGCTCGCGTCTTGGCAAGGTAGCTGAGGTACCAGTACATGCCAGCCAACTCGTCTGCTTGATAGATGTCAAGTTCAAACCCCAGCTGGACTATCCACTCCATGAGCCGCAGTTTGTAGAGATAGGCCCAGGAAGACAGCGGGAGCGAATAAGCAAGATCCGACCCGGCACCCAGGGTCTGATGAACCATGGGCTGCTCCTCGAGCTGGATCTGCAGAAGCTGGTCGATCCCTTCTGCGTCAACCTGAACTGTCTCCCAGTCCTGGATGGCATGGCAGAGGGTTCGGCGGACTCGGGACCTATTTTGACAGAAGGCCCTAAAAATGTCCAGGTAGGACTGAGCGGCCCTTTGGCGGAACACTTCCATCTGGTGTGCCATGGCAAAGCGTGGGTCGTGTGGCACCTCGATCGTGTCGTTGACACGATCGAGCAACCGGCTGCCAGGGAGGACAACGATTGAAAGATCGTCGTCAATAACCTGGCGTATGCTGAGGGAGCCTAGGATCATCATATCCGAGAAGAGAAAGGTCTGGAGGAGGGTGCGGATATAGACGAGCGGCTGGGGCTTCTTCGCCTGGAAGGAGAGCACGAGGTTCTTTCTCCTGTCAGCAGAGAAGAATACGGGCCAGGAAGATATCCAAATGGGGGTTTCTTACGAGAAGGCTCTGCGAGTCGGAGAACTCGAGCATGCCAGTGACTTCTTGCCCATCCGTGACGAGCCGCTTGAAATTCGAATACGTTTCCTCAAAGCTGAGCTGCACGATCGGTCTAGGCGGCATTGTACTAGCAAGCCGACGTTGTAGCTTGGTGCTAAACGCCTCGAGCACGGGAGTCCCCAGCGAATGCGACTTGTTGATCGAGTCCAGGAGCGCGCCCATTTGGATCCACGGCGTCTTCAACGACTGAGGATTACTTCGAAACTCCGACAGCTGCGTGGCTCTGAGGAATGATAGTCTCAGCTCCAGCCTGAAATCCAAGGCCTGGGCAATATCGTCCCCAAGGGTAGGCCGGGCCCTGTGTAGTATGCCGCGGGCTTCATGGATGACGTCCCGGATTTCTTCTCTGTCGATGTTGTCCAGCAATCTTCTGTCATAAGTGTTTGTGACAAAGTCTTCTTCCTAACCGGCGACAGGGCTTAGTACGATGGCGGTCGTAATGACGATGTTGTGACATTACCTCGTAATAGTGCTCGGACTTGATCCGCTCGATCACGTACCAGCAGACTTTAAGCATGCCTAGGCAGTACGCCCTGAGAACTGCCACTAGAGGATCACTCTGAGACTCGGGGCTCCGATTCCTCACAAAGTCGGCGTCTTCAACTGTGATGGGGGGCGGCACCAAGATGGCCTCGACGTAAACGTTCGTAAAGAGAGTCTGGGAAAGCGGGTATCCGAGGTGCCAGGCCATCTACTCTTCTCGTCAGCTGGGGCAATGAACAGCTCATTCACGGAAGCCCGAACCTCGTGGCAGAGCAGCTGGTCAATTATGCCCAAAACCTCTCCGCCGGCGAGTGGCCTGGTCAAGTCGTAGTCGTCATCAAGGGACTCACCAGGCCCAAGACAGCCGCTATCCATCTTGGGGTCCATGACCTATGCCAGTGTCTGTTAGTGGACTTGTTCAGAGAACATGGGGGCTATCATCATGCCCCGTAGATAGAGTATGCGCACCTCAATAGCGCCGACGGACTCGAAGAGAGTGAAATGGCCATCCTTGACAAGCTGGCCGGGCTCCAAGGCTACGGAGACAGTCAATAACCACCTGGGTACCTAACACATGGGCCTTCGCTGGTGGTCATACTTCTGGCAGCGTTGAGGAACTTGCTTGTAATGTCTAGTGCAATGATGCCCTCACTTGACATGGCTGGCGGCGGAGCTTCGTCGTAGTCCAGGCTGGAGCCCTGGTTAATTGAGAGCCCAAGGAACTCTGTGATTGAGCTTTAGCGATGATTCCCCGCTGACCAGAAATTGATACGGTCATACCCTTGGAGACAGCGCTCTCATCTTGGAGCATCTTTAGATACTATCGCCGGCAATTGGATGTGAACTTCATCTGTTTGTTTTTCTTCTCCGGAAAATGGGTGGATTGGTGGGCTAGAGGTGTGCGCGCTGGCTCCGGATGTCAGGCGAATCGACGGGAAGCCCATGTTGGGCACCGGAGACTCGCTAGGGGCAGCCAAAATCAACGATAAACTTTATCAGGAAGCAGCCATGCGCGCACCTCCCCAATTCGTAACGAAATAATGGTACCTACCTACCTAGAGGTAACTGCCCGATTACGACCGGGTTTGCGAGTTCCCGTCGTATCATGATTGTAAGGCAGGCTCGTACTAGACAATACCTACCTACTGGGCAACAGGAAAATGGAAATGGTGGATGCTACTGCCGAGCTAGGCCAGGTCCAACGGTCTCCGCCGGACTGGTTCGGGAATGCTACAGTGACAAGCAACACCAAGGGCGACAACAAATCCACAACATGGCTCAATGCTCTCAGCCGTAGGACCCTTTGCATAGTACGTCTATGGACTGCCAAGTATGGTACAAGTTATTCTCCAGGAGAACAGAGATTCGCTCTGGTTCCCCTCCATCCTTTCATGGACACAGCGGGTCATTCTTGCTCGAGCCCTCCTCCCCCCAAATGCCCTGCATTATTTCACCTCTCCGATGATGCCGATTAGGAACTCGGGCCGGCATTGGCAGCCGCGGCCATTGCGGCGCTGTTCGCTTCGGCTAGTGGCTTGGACTCGCTCGGCTTGCCGTTCTTGCGGGATATTTCGTTCAGCGTCTCGAGTCATCGCGCGGGGGGCATTGAAGCGGTCCAACTCACCGTCCACTTGGAGAATCTAAGATCCATTTCTCCCCGGCGCTCGGCTGCTAGCCTCAAATCATCCTTCAAGCTTCGGCGGACGACGCGCGCGGCGACGGCCAGGTAACGGTTGTAGCTAGACGAGAAAAGATTCGTTAGTCCATCGGCAAGCTTTGTCTCCCGAGCGCAATCCGGACGCTACTTGGAAGATTATAGGTAGAAAAGGCCAATTGACTCACGTAATGCCTGCGGCTTTCCACGCGAACGACATTTTGACGGTTTTTGGAGTTGTGACGGGGGTTGAAGAAGAGTTGGATACGGTTCTGCCGAGAAATCGTCCCGCTCATTCACGACAACCGGGAACTAGTCACGTGGGGTTGTCCACGTGACGTGGTGGTGCTCTCTATCCCGTCCTCCGGATTGAACATGACATAAAAGCCACCCCTTACGATTGTTCCCTACTGTTTTCTTTTCGTTCTCTTCATAAGCACCTCACTTAATGCAATAACAATATCAATCAATGTAAATGTCAAAATGCTGGGTGGAAATAAGCGTCAAGTCTAGGTTGTGAGGGTACTATTTGCACAAAGGACTCGCCATCATCCCCAACGGCTGATACTGTTGTTACAACTTTGCCTCTTCATTTCCCCATTACCAACTCTATACCTTTAGTCCAAGATCATCTGCGAAAGGCAACACATGGAGATCACCAACAGCGGCAACGCTCGCCTTGCCATCCAACAGGCACTTTGCAGTCTGACACGAACTGTTAGCCGATTCCAAAACGTCTAGATAGGGCATCACTTACAGCCTTCAGCTTCTCTGCCGTGACGGATTCCAGAGCCTTGATGGCTTGGGCCACTTGGAGAACCTTGCCGCCCTGGACGAGGTTCGTGCCAGCTGCGACAATGCCGGTACCGCTGGTCTCACTCGACGAGAGCAGTTCGAACTTGGCCCTGGCGATGGCTTTCGTCAGATCCTCCTTGGCGACCGAGCCAGTGACGATGCTCTTGAGAGCCTTGACGGATTCCTCTGTCGCCTTCTTCACGGCGGTGGCAGGGCCACTAATCTGGATGGTCAAGAGACCAGCGTCGGAGTAGGCAATATTGCTCGCGCGGGCACGGGAGTAAGGTGCCGTCGCCGCAGCCTTGGAAAGGAGGGTGAAGCCCGCAGACCAAGGAATGCTCGAGTCGCCACCGAGCAGCGCAGCCAGGACCGAAGTCTCTGGCTTGCTCTCTGCAAGGGAAGCTCCAGGGAAGGCGATAACGTAGGCGCTGTCACCGACGCGAGAGCTACGCTGCTCACCACCAAAGTACTTGGAAGCGGCAGTGTTGAGAGCCAATTGACTCGCGCCCGACGCGGGTAAGGATTTGAACAAGGGCTCAATCCACTTGGCCAAGCCAGCCTCAGTTGCACCGTCTGCGACCACGGCAATGTTGGCCTTGTTGTAAACAGCGTGGGCGAAGTTCGCGACAGAGTTCTCGTTGAGATAGGCGCCCACCGGGGTAGTGCTTGTTGGGTAGAGCGGTGCACCAAGGCCGGTGTGGAAAGCGGACGAGTGGGCCAGATCCAGAGCCAGAGCGAGGGCGCTGATGCTCTCCTGCTTCATAGAAATGACGTGCTCAATCTCCTCATGGAATTCGTATGCTTGTGGCAAATCAGCACAGTCCTCTCTACACGTTCCTTCTCTCTATGCCACATACTCGTGTATTTGGTTTGTGAAATCACCTCGGCAAGAAGCTCAGCGAAGTAAGGCAGATCCTGGCGTAGGAAGTTTGCCTGAAGAACTAGGGCTTCCCGGGTGTGATACGCAGTCAATTGGCCGCCCAAGAGCTCAGACTCGCGGACGATTCGCAAGGCAGACCGTTTCTGGGTGTTCTGCACCAACAATCCTAATTAGCTCAAATTCGATCAGGGCCGAATGGGAGGGTGCCGACCTTGAACGCGAACTCCTCCAGGCCAACAGTCAAACCGGGGACAGGCTGGTATCTGGTACCAGCTTTGGAGACGATGGCCAGTCTTGTCGTGGGACCGTGAGAATCCTTCGAAGCCACCTTGACGCCAGCAATGTCTGTCGGCTCGAATGACGACCCGGTTGTTGCTGCAGCCGCGAAGCTCCGTCTTTGGGCGAGCTGAGCACAGCTCTGCCCGCGGAGCGCCAGCTGGCTTCCCCTTGCGAGAGTCGACCGGGAGATCATTGTAAGGGGGGTTGTTGCCGTCAATTGACAGGTTGGAGAAGTCTGCGACAGATCAGAGAAGCTTCAACAAGTCATCCGAGTGTTGTTCCACAATAGCCCATCAACCTAGTCCCGGCTTCCGTGCAATTTTCGGGAGGAAAATAGCTGAACCGAGCCGATTTACCACTGGCAATTACGCATGTTCCCATTGGCCAGGTCTCCACTGCCTCCCTCACCAATCGCCCCACCCACTGGCTGGAAATAAAACCGCAGGAGAGCAAGAATTGCGTGCAGCTCCTGTGCAGTACCCCACCCATAATTGAATAATAATCTAAAGTGGTGGCCCACCACTTGCAGATACCCGCAGTTGGCTTCACGTCTTTTAAGATATTTCAATATTTCAATGACTCTCCGGTAGCAACCGTGGCAGCTCTAGAGATAGTGAGAGGATCTCTAGAAGCCAAACCTAGAATCCTGCACGCCGAAGGGTATCCTCAATGCAAGTGGTGAGTCAACTTTCGCAGCCTGCCCAGAGTCGTCGCATCTTCGATCCCCGCTGACGGTTCTTGATAGACGAAGAATTTGGCGGAGCTCTGCGCTCTGCTCATAGATGAGCTCTATGGCGAACTTCCCTCTGTAAGTCTCACCTCGACCATACCAACCAACTTCCTGGTTGTTTAGATCCAAAGCAGTCGACTCTCGCCACCCGCCACAGCGCTGACCAACCTGGCAGAGAATATTTGCGACGCTCCTGAACAGAGGCAGGTCTTCTCTTGTTCAGCTTGTTCAGTACACCTCCTTGACCAGCCGCCAACTTCGACATGGCCTTGCCGTCCTCACCCAACAAAACCTCCTCTTCTTCTATGTGGACAATGACACCAAGTTGACTACGTACGAGGCGAACCCCGACCCCGCATACAACATAATCCGGACGGGGAAAATCCTTGAGATGGTTGAGTCGATGTACAATGCGGCTGTCAAGGATGTCATGCAGAGCCTGTTGATCATAGGGCAGACCAGAATATCTGATCTCAAGGCGGCGTACGAAGAAAAGATCCGCCAATGGAACCCACCCGGCAATGTCGACGAGGAGATGGTCGATGGCGAAGCCGCACCGGCGGTGAAGAAGTCTCCATTTCCCGTCAAATCGATTGCACACCTCAACTCCATTATATGCCGCCTTGTGGAGGCGGAGCTCGTCGACGTCGTGCATGTGCGCACGTTCCAGAGCCCAGACGACATTCTTAGGGATGTCGAAAAACAAGTCACCGACGCCAAGTTCCCCAATGGCATCAAGGGGGGAAAGGCTAAAGTCGAATATGATGAGGCTGTCGCACAGGAGCTCCGGAAGGTGCGAAGAGAGTCCAAGTCTCTGAAGCGGAAGCTCGATGAGAGCAGCGGCTCAGCGGCCAAGAGACGCAAGCTCCTCAATGGCATAGGTGCCAACGGCGCTCATGAGGGGGATGCGGATCCGATTTTGGATGTAGGTGCCTAACAGCTGGAGTTGGCGGTGAAGTGATGCTGACAACTTTCCAGCCCAAGCAAGTTATTCGAGTCAACTACGAGAGGTGTCTCGTGGAGCTTCGCAACCGACGTCTGGTGCAGTTTGCAACTGAGATGATTGGAGAGACTACTGGCTACATCTATGCTGTTCTTCTCCGGCAGCTAACGAGGAGGACTCCCCGGTGCCACTCAGATCCTTCCATGGACTTTGGTGACATGGATGATGACGGGCCAACCGGGCCGGCACATGTGACGACAATGGAGATCCTCGACAACCTGAGTACTTCGGTTGACGTGTCCGCCGGTATTGGGAAAGCATCCAGGGGCGACATTAGAGTGCGAACAGCCGAAAAGATTCGTGCACACCTTCCAGACGGCAACTCTGCACACCCCGAGGCCGATGTTGACGGCGGTGCGAGTTCGGACGAAGATGCAGGCGATAGCGATTTCGTGAGTGGTGATTCAGACTATGACACTGAGCGCGAGACGAAGCCGGTGCCACGAGCGAACGGCACGAATGAGAATAAGGACAACAAAGAGGGCAAGGTCAGGTTCGAGGAGTCCGCCGCGCCAAGGGAGAGCCGAGTAGACCAGATGCGGCAACACTTACTGCTACTCTCCGAGAGCAAGCTGCAGTTCGTCCGCCACTGCGGGCGAGGGCAGTGGACTGTTGACTTCCAACCACTAATCCAGCAACTGCGGGAAGTGGAGCTGGACGTGGTGATCGAGCGCACAGCGGGCCGACAAGGCCTACGTCTTGTCCGAATCCTTCGGCAGAAGGGCAAGCTTGATGAAAAGACACTGCCGACGATCGCGCTGGTGCGGAAGCCAGACGTGCAGAACAAGATGCTTGAGATGCAGATGGCAGGGTTTGTCGACATACAGGAAGTCCCCCGCGACAGCAGCCGAACGGCGAATCGAACTCTGTTCTTGTGGTTCAGCGATACAGACAGGGCCCTGGACCAACTGCTCGACAACACATATAAGACGGTGCTCCGCTGCCTGCAGACCCTGGCCGTGCACCGACGCAAGGAGAAGGACGTGCTGATGCTTACCAAGCGAAGCGACGTCAAGGGGAGAGAGAAGGACGTGATGCAGAAGGAGTACTATGACAGATTCGCTCGCTTTCTCGACACTGAGCGCAAGCTGCTTGGGCACATGATGAGGCTGGACGACTTGGTTGCAGTTCTTAGAGACTACTAGCCTGGAAAGGCGTACTACCTTGTGGTGGAAGATACCTTGACCTCTCATCAAAATCATGGTTTGGGACATTAGCATTGCATTCAGCGGGCTCGGGGTTAAAAGTCAGGGTCGCATTTTTACGGCGTTCCTTGCCGGTGGTCATTGCAATGGCCCATTGGCAACCTAGCTGTATCTACCTGTTTGGTTGATAGGATTGCTAATTGAAAGTTATCACAGTGACACAGTCTACATCCAGGTTATACGGGCAGCCAGTGGATGATAACTGGTAAGCTGGGAGTGCTTGGAGTGTTGGGCTGCTTACCCTGAATATTACCTCTACCTAACGTATACATTGTCCAGCATTCTTAGTAGACGATTCCTGCTAGCGTTAAGGCCCCCTTTAGTGCGTTAGTAGTAACATTGCATCCTATCTTCAAACTGATAAGCAGGGACCCAAGTCAACCACCATCCATGTGCACAGATCCTGGGGCCGGAATATTTTTTTTTTTGGCGTCCGAACTCGCTCAAAATTTCTACCGCGCAAATCGCCGAGCCGTCTGAACAGTATCTTTCCCCCAACTTTCATTTTTCCAGGTCGCTCTCTACCGCGTTTCTCCGGGCTCTGTTTTTTGACGCCGACCTTTGTTTTCGAACATCCCAACTTAATCCTCCGTCCTGTCGCCATGTCTCCCCCAATGGTTGCTCCGCGTGAGAAGGAGTCGAACCTCGCAAGGTTGTTGGGATCCGGTACGATACTCGGGAGATCGACCTCTTGCGATGACTTCTGCTAATTTCCTGATTTCTTCAGGTTCCGCCGGCATCTCTGAGCTGCTCGTTTTCCATCCGGTGCGGATCCTCAGCTCCAATGGCAGTCGCATTTCCAGCTAATGACTCCTAGGTCGACACAATCGCGAAGCGCCTGATGAGCAACGAGACCAGGGTGAATAGCCATCCCATCCCTCTATATCGCTCTTGTAGCTAACGCTGCGCCCCCAGATTTCCAACACCGCCCAGCTCAACCAAGTCATCTTCAAGGACAAGGCCGCCGAGGCAATCGGGAGGAAGTTCGTCTCCCTATTTCCAGGTCTCGGGTACGCTGCGGGGTACAAGGTGCTGCAGAGGATATACAAGTATGGTGGCCAGCCGATAGCTCGAGATTACCTCACTACGCATTATGGCAAGGAGTTTGAGAGCGTGTTTGGCAAGAAGACAGGAAAGGCAATGATGCACTCTACGGCCGGCAGGTGGGTGTCCAGTTTCCCTAGAACGGTGCAAGCAGTGTCGGGGACTGACTTTTCCTCAGTCTTATCGGTATCGGAGAGATCGTGCTCCTGCCCCTCGACGTCCTAAAGATCAAGCGACAGACCAACCCTGAGGCGTTCCGTGGTCGAGGCGTTCTCAGGATCGTCCGAGACGAGGGATTCGGGCTGTATAGGGGCTGGGGCTGGACGGCGGCAAGGAATGCGCCAGGTTCATTTGCTGTACGGATCAATCAACCCTTTCCCGTCTCCGAGACTACCGTGCTAATCTCGATCGCAGCTCTTCGGCGGCTCGGCTTTCACCAAGGAATACCTGTTCAAGCTCCAGGATTATAACAAGGCAACTTGGAGCCAGAATTTTGTCGCCTCTGTTGCTGGTTCGTCGGCGTCTCTGATTGTCTCGGCTCCTCTAGATGTCATCAAGACCCGCATCCAGAACCGTAACTTCGAGAACCCCGAGAGCGGCTTCCGCATTCTCACCAAGATGGCGAGGAACGAGGGCTTCTCGAGTTTCTTCAAGGGATTGGTTCCCAAGGTTCGTTGTGCTCCAAAGAGGCCCTATAGACGCTATGGACACCCCACGCTGACTCTGATGCCCTCTTCGCAGCTGTTGATGACGGGTCCCAAGCTCACCTTCTCATTCTGGCTGGCGCAGACACTGATCCCTGCGTTTGACAACATGTTTGCCGGCAGGTAAGGAGCTGGTAACGACCATAGACGCCATCTACACTATGTCGCGAAATGTTTTAGGTGTTACATGGGAATGGCGTTGGAAGAGGGAGATATTGTCTCTCTAGTGCGCTGTTTGTTAGACTTGCCCGAGGTGGTTCGGTTTCACGAAGATGATATATTAGGGATATTGTTTATAATGGGGGGGACGCTCCAGGAGGAGAATCCTACCTAGATACCTACCTATACTCTCGACTCTACAGTCAATTAAGCCACTTGCTGGCAGCATCTGATTGATAGTTTGATACCTAGGTTCCTATCTCGTTGCCAATACATCCGTGATCCCAACCTTAAGGTTACCTTCTATAGTATGTACTGCAAACGCGCGTGGCCCTGTCGATAAGGAAATTGACGGTAGTTGCCGTAGAGGATGCATGGGTGCCCTGTCGCGCTTGCCCAAGCTGTTGCCCAGGGAACCAAAACATAAATATTAGGATTCAATAGACCCCTGCCAACTCATTGGCACCAAGACCAATTAATACCCATGGAATGTTACAGTCGTTGCTGTTCCCCCCTCCTCTTAACAGTGCCACTTAACGACACCATGACCATTTTTGATCGACGGTTCTTTGGTTCAAAGGCGTCAAGCGATCAAATCTTTCCTTAGACCTGTTCCAAGTTTCCGCGAAGCATTCCCCGCGTCTCACTCTCAGTCTCTCCTCCCCACCACCACATTCCTGAGAAGTATTGCTCCCACTGCGCCCACAACAATGCCGCCCTTCGAGCGAGACGCTCCGAGGGATTCGGACGTAGCGTTAAGACATCAACATTCCGCGTCATTTGACCATGGCCGCGCCTTGATCCCAATGTAATCCTACCTTCCCCAGTTCCTCACGTGTCTACAACATGCCATGTTGGCCCGTGGATGGCACAAGCTGACCAAGAACAGGTGGGATAGCTCCGACCCTGAACGAGCACCTCCGCCACTCCCCTTGAATCCGCAGTCACCTAGCTGTACATCGCGTGCCGGCACCTCGAGCGCTATCCAGTCCGCCCATGCAGCACTGACAGAGAAGGCGAGAGAGAGCGCCTTGGTGCCCGTCCTCGCAAAACGGATGGGTGAAGCGTCTCCCGAAAAACCATCAGCAAGAGGATCGTCACATCGACGCATGCAGTCACTACAGCCCGGGACTGTACGCGATCTTAGCCTGATGATAGAAAGCGGACGGGACTCATCGTCGTCAACACCTAGGTCTCCGGAGAAGACCGACCGCCCAGCAACGCCTCTGAGGAGTCGGGATCCGTTTGTCGACTCCAAGGCCGATGAGAAGGACGATAGGGCTCTCGTTTCTTCTCCGAGACCAGGCTCAACCATCACACCCGTTATCCGGCCCACTGTCCGACGACCACATCACAGTATCCTCGGGGAAAACACCCCTCCCCAGTCGGCAACGATGCTGGCTCTTCAAAACATGTCTACTCCCTCGCAAAAGGAGCCGGAGAGCGCTCTTGCAAACATCACAAACGGCTCAACAGCCATGATTAGGGCACCGCAGTCCATCGATGCCCTCTCAAACCAGATCCTCAGCCTTACCAGCATTGCGACCTCGCTGCAAAAGGAGATGTCCCAGCTCAGCCGGCGGAGTCGGGACAATGCTACAGATTTGATGAGTCTGAAGGAGGCCACCACTTCCAGAGATGAAGATATTCGAAAGAGCCTGCGCGATTTGATTCACAACATGGCTGACAACAAGCCAAAATCGACAACGCGAGATTCCTACGGAGGCCCCTTTTTGACCGACGGCAAAACCCACAGCTCCTCGCCGTTTTCAGTGTCAAAGATGGGCAAGGTTTCACTGCCGCGAATCCCGTCGCCGAGTAGCTTCGCAGCATCTATAGACCGGGAAACAATGAGCACGCCATCGCTTTACGGCCCTGACACCCCCGCCACTCTTGCCCTTCTGGAGAAGATCCTTCGGGAGATGGGGACGAGAGAGGGCCAGGAATTGCTACTATCTCGTCTCGCAGAACTAGCCGACAAGCTTGCTGGCATGGCCTCGGCAGAAAAGGTCGACGAACTGCGACGGTTTGTCGAGTCTAGCCAAGATCAGTCCATGGTCGGGGCTGGAGGCGGTGGACGAGGAGGCAGCGGGCCTAGCCGCCCTCGGAATTTCAGCTTCGACGAAGACGACGAGCCTAGACGGCGAGAGTTGGATTACAGCCATCATCCCTCCGGGCCGGGTTCAGCTCGCGTTGAACGCCTGCTACAAGACAAAGAAGCACGGCGATCTTCTGCACCCCCCACACATGCGGCGGATGTCGTGAATGAGGATGTGCTGAAAGTTATCCGAGCCGTCAAAGACAGCGTCGCCCAAGGGGGTGGGCTCACTGCCGAAGTCAAAGCCCTGGTACGAGAACTACGCGGCGAAGTCTTGGGGATGGGACGTGAGATCGGCCGTCGCTTGGACGAAGTCAGCGTCAAATCCGTTGGCAAGGACGAACCCGCGAGTAGGGCAGAGATGGCGAAGGTTGTAGAGGAGGGTCTCGCTGAGATGAAGCAGCACATCCACCACCTTGTCAAGGAGCATCGGCGACAGTCTACCGCTTCCGCAGCCTCCCGGACCAGTACCGTCGACTACCAAGAGATATACAACGCCATGAGAGCCGCGCTCAAAGACACGCAGGCAAATAAACCCCAGATGCCTGAATTGAGCCGTGAGGATGTCATCCAAGCCGTCAAGGAAGCTTGGGAGAACTACAAGCCGGAAATTGAAATTGAGCATTTGGGCTTGGAACGAGAGGAGATACTTGCATGCCTTAAGGAGGGCCTACAAACCCACTCAACTCGGGATGAGCACCCCGTCGGTGCCACGAGAGAAGAGGTCTTCAAAGCCGTCATCGAAGGCTTGAGGCACTTCGTTCCCCCTCAAGTGGAGACTCCAGCCAGTCTCTCCCGCGACGAAATCCTTGATGCTGTTCGCGAATGTCTAGAGGAATTCGAGTTCCCCGTGGCTCCATCGGCAATCGGTGCAGAAATCAGCAAAGACGACATGGTTGACGCCGTTAAGCAGGGCCTCAATGGGATCGAATTCCCATCCAGAGGCTTAGGTGACCTTGCCAGGGGGGATCTAGTCGATGCCGTCCAGGAAGGACTCGACTCGTATGACTTCCCTACCTGCCAGGCCGGAACCGACCTATCCCGCGACGACGTCGTCCAAGCCGTGCGAGAGGGGCTGCAAGGAGTTGACTTCGCGTCCGGCTCCTCCGCCTTGGTCCCCTCGAACAAGGATAACGCCGAGATCGTTTCGCGCCTCCAAGACATCATGCACTACTTGCAGGACGAGTTCAGGGCCATCTCTGACGAGGCAAAGCAGAATGTTGCTGCTAGCGGCCGGGATACCGAGCAAGTTTTGGACGCGACCAAGGACGGGTTTGAAAAACTCCGCAGAGACATCGAGTCCTACGTCGACCGCGTGAGCGGCACTGATGGCCGAGAGGAACTCATGGCCGGTCTTTCTCAGAGCTTGGAAGGATTCCGTGAAGAAGTTGCCGAGCTCGTGTCCAGGGGCTCAGACAACTCTAGGGAAATTCTAAGGAGCGAGGTCGAGTCTCTTCGCGATGCTGTTAACTCATCCTTGGTTCCGGCCTCGCCAAAGCACGCGGATCACAGAGAAGTTCTGGAAGCGCTCCAAGACGGACTCGCCAGTCTCCGTTCAGAGATCGGCAGCAGGCCCATGGCGGGGATCAACGAGATCCTCGACGCTCTCCACGAGGGTCTTGGCGATCTCCGAGTCAGCATCGACAAGCTGCACAACAAGCCTACAGACCTCACGGCCAACGATGAGATCCTGGACGCTCTCAAGAGCGGGCTTGAAAGCGTGAGATCTGATATTGACGTCATGCGCGAAGAGAGCAAGAATGACAAGGCACTTACTACCATCAGTGCCAATGCTGTAGTCCCGGCCGATGTGCTTAAACACGAGGATATCAAGAACCTGGAGGTCCTCATTTCTCAGCTACGCACCAAGGTCGAGACTATGGAAGCCCCGCCTCCTGCCGCTGCTTCAGGTTCGGCACCTCTTTCGAAGGATGATGTAGCTGAAATGGAAGAGGTGCTGCGTAACGTGCAGGAATCGGTGATCGGAATGTCTGCAACACGCGATGCGCCTTCTAGTACCGATGCCGCCTCGAGAGAAGACGTCGAGGCTATTGAGACCATTCTCCGCAATACCAAGGCTCGCCTGGACGATCTTATCGACGGAGAACAGGCCGTTCGCAAAGAGCACATCGATGTCTTGGAGGGCCTCATCTTCGAGACTCGTGACAGCCTCGGTAGCCTGTCGTCCCACTTGGAATTGCTGTCCTGCAAGGAGGATGTCTCTGCCGTCGAATCCCTGGTCACACAGGTGGTCGCAGCATTCGACGAGATGAAAGAGCGGCACGAGAAAGCCCTCGAAGACCCAGAGAAGGTCACCAAGACGGACATTGACGCGGTCGAGGCTGCCTGCCTTGATATCAAAGAGCTCGTGGGGCAAGTGGCCAAGAATGATCTTGCATCGCTTTCCTCCAAGGACGACGTCGCTAGCCTAGAGCGTCTCGTGACTGAACTGAAGGACAAACTTGACTCCCACGCCGAGACCAACGCAAAGGCGTTCGAAGAACGTCAGGCGGAGACGGTCGGAGTTAGCGACCGCGTCACTGAGGTGAAGACGTTCCTAGAAGACCTCCAAGGCCTCCTCAAGGGCAAACTCGAGGAAGGCGCAAAGGGGATTGACGGCATCAGCTCCCTTCTCGAAACCTTGAACGAGACCATCGGAAAGAACGCCACTATCGGCGACGATCTCAAGGAGATGTTCATGACAATCAAGGACGAATTCGAAGAGTCGAAGGCGGGCGTCGTTGGCGCGAAGCTCGAGACGGACGAGAAGCTCCAGGAAACCACGGATTTGCTCATCGAGAAAATCGATGAACGTATTGGGGAGTTGGTGATCAAGTACGAGGAGTTCCAGGTTTCGATGGAGGACCGGGCCACCAAGGGTGAAGCCAGGGACCTCGAGACGGAGGCAGCAGTCGTGGGCACCAAGGCGGTAGCCGACGAGCTGAAGACTCTTGTTGACGCCCTTGGCTCTGCGGTTACCGAATCTCTGGAGAAGATGGAGGAGGCGTCCAAGACGGTGTTCATCCGTGTCGAGGACCTGGTCAACAAATCCGAAGAGAACCACTCGGATGATAAAGCCGAACACCAATTGACTCGCGATCAAGTGGGGCAGGCCATTAGTACAGTTGAGGGTCTGCAGGGACACGTCGTGGAATACCAGCCCAAGATCCTGGAAACCATTAAAGAAGTGCTGCTCGTCGTCGGCCAGCATTACGAGCATTCAAAGTCTTCAGCTGTCGATATCCGGGAAAAGATCGAGGAGGCGAAGCCGCCAGAACAGCCCCTCTTGCCGCCCGTGGAGAAGTACGACGACAGCGAGGTTCGCCAAAAGCTCGACAAGCTCGTGGATCATACTCACGAGGCTGGCAAGGCATTTACACGGCTGGACACCCTGGACAAAGTACATCAGCAAGTGCTACAGACTGCAGCAGAGATCTCTGCCTTCATTGCCACTCAGACGCAAAGGATTGAGAATGAGCACGACGACAGGGAGAAAACTTTGCAGGAGACCACCGTCGTGCTCGAACGCCGTCTCGAAGAGAAGCAACACCTGGAGTCTACTATTTCGACTCTTAGGGAGGAGGCGGAGCGGCTCAGGCTTGAAAAGCAGGAGGATGGAGAACGGGCCAAACGCGAGCACCAGGAGGAGGAAGAGAGGTTCCGACAAAGCCTCCGAGAAGAGGAAGAGAGGCTCAAACAAAGTCTCAGGGACGAAGAGGAGAGATTCAAGGACCGTCTCCGGGACGAAGAAGACAGGTTCAAGACCACCCTCCGCGAGGAGGAGGAGCGCCTCAAGCTCGGCATCCTCGAGCTGCGAGGCGAGCAGGAGGCGTTGACCCGACAGAAGATCCGCCTCTCCGCCGACGTCTCGTCCCTCGAAACGGCGCTGCGCCTGCGCCGCGAGGAGCTCCACGACATGGAGAGCCGTGCCGAGGGCCTGGAGCGCCGCATCCTGGAGGGAGTCATGGACCACTCGCGGGTCCTCCTCATGGCCAAGGCGAACAGGGCAAAGGGCCGTGACGCCATGAGCCGCAAGCGTGTGCCTTCCCAGAAGCCCGCTGCTCCGCCGACGGCGGCGGCGGCGGCCGTGAACTCTTCCGACAGCAAGCCCAAGGCGGCGTTCAACATTGCCATGTCGGGCAATCGCAACCTGGCCGCGTCGACCCCGAGCGGCCAGGGGCGCAGGATCCTGTCTCTGAACCAGATCACGAACAACGTGGCCTCGGGCGGGCTTAACCGCAGCCAGAGTGTCAGGAACACGGGCGGAAACAGCGTTCGCAAATCCAGCTGGGCGGGCGGCGGCGGCGGCGCGGGTAGGATCCGCGGGCCCAAGGGGTACGGCGACCTGGACAGGGGCAAGGAGAACATTGAGCTTAAGGAGAGCGATGAGGAGGAGGAGGAGGATCAGCAGCAGCAGCAGCATGGACGGATCGCCATCATCGGCGCGGACAGCGACCTGACGCTGGCCGACAGCTATCACGGGCAGGACTCGGGCGACGACGCGAGCGACGCGGACACGCTAAGGCGCTCGAGCAGGGGCACGACGGTCATCACGGGCACGGACAGTGTCGCTGGCACGGAGGACGACTATGACTCTGGGGATGACGACTCGGCGAGCGAGTGGACGGAGAGCGCTGTTGGGACGGAGAGTGTCGTGACCCTGGAGGATGGATACGGCGGGAATGAAGTCGTGCTTTTCCAGGGATGATGAGACGGATCACAAGTTGTTTTCTTGGTGCTGGGTATTATGCAGTATTGGGTAGGTTGTTCGAGACATCGCTGGCAGATTGTAGTTAAAAGCCTTGGTAAAGGCTGGTTGCGCTTGTTTGCAGTTTATTTACTCCTGATGATTGCACGGACTCGGGTATTGTATTCTCAGGGGTATTCTCAGGTCGATGGAGCTTAGGTACTTTAGTGTCGAGACCATTCAGAGTCAATTTGATGTTGTTTGATTCCTATTACTTCCTCGAACTCATCGGCCTATGTTGCATGCTTGCATACCTACCTCTCTCTATCTATCCTCACGACAAAGAGAGGGGTCTAATTATCCCCGAGGCCACATTATGATGTCAACAGCACGGATACAACTGACAGCTCCACTCCAGGTGGCGTACACAATACAGCATGTAGAATTAAGGAGGATATAACAGTAATGGCACATAATACGCTGGGCTCTCTGGCTACCGAATCTTCCTCCGCCCAATCTTTTCCTTGCCGTCCATCCACGGGCGCAGAACCTCGGGTATCGTCACCGTCATGTCGGACTCGTCCCAGCCGTTCTCGAGCAGGGCGGCCAGGACACGCGGCACGGCCATGGCCGTGGCGTTGACGGTCCAGGGGTAGGTCATCTTGCCGTCGACGCGCACCCGCGTGGCCAGGCGGCGGGTCTGGTAGTCGGTGCAGATGCTGGCGCTGGTGACCTCGCCCCAGCCGCCGTTGCGCTCGCGGCGGGACGGGAAGAAGGCCTCGATGTCGCACTTGCGCGTGGCCGAGGCGCCGAGGTCGTGGCTCGGCATCTCGAGGACGCGGCAGTGCAGGCCGAGCGACTGCAGCATCTCGGTCTGCATGTCGACCATCTCGTCGAAGACGTCGGCCGCCGACGCGCCGTCGGGCGCCGACCAGGCGAACAGCTCCACCTTTGTAAACTCGTGCACGCGGTACAGGCCCTTTGTGTCGACTCCCCGGGCGCCGGCCTCGGCGCGGAAGCAGCGCGACACGCCGACACGGCGCAGGGGCAGCTCCGACTCGTCGAGCGCGGCGTCGGCCTTCATCCCCGCGAGCGGGATCTCGGCCGTGCCGGCGAGCACGAGCTCGGGTCGCCCGCGCTCGGCGTCGGCGCGCGACTGCGCGATGCCGTAGACCTGCTGCTCGCCGTGGGCGTCGCGGGGCTGGAACCCGCACGCCGCCGCCATGTGGCCGTACACGACGCTCGGGGCGCTGACCTGCGTCCAGCCGGAGCGCGTCGCCGTCGCCAGCGCGTACGCCACCAGGGCCTGCTCCAGCTGCGCCGCCTCGCCCAGGAGGTAGTACCAGCCCCACCCGCTGGTCGTGGCCGCGCCGGCGAAGTCGAGCAGGCCCAGCTCGGCGCCGATGTGCACGTGCGAGCGCCAGATGCGGTCCGACGCCGCGGCGGCCTCGCCCTCGGGGTGCTCGTTGATGTAGCCCAGCACGAAGGGCTCGGAGCCGCGCGGCGTGGCGTCGCTGGTCAGGTTGGGGATGGCGACGGCGAGGCGCTGCATCTCGTCGGTCAGGGCGCCCTCGTCGGCCTCGATGACAGCGATGCGGTCCTTGAGGTCGCGCGCCTCGGCGAGGACGGCGTCGCGGGGCCGCGCGCGCAGGTCCCGCAGCGCGGCGGCCTCCTCGTCGCCGCCGGAGTCGCCGCGTGTCGTCGCCGGGTTGGCGAGCTCGCGCCGGAGCAGGTTGGACCGCTCGCGGAGGGCGCGGCCGTCGCGCTGGCGCGCCTGCCACTGGTCGAAGAGCTCGATGATGCGGGCCGGGTAGGCCGCCTGCGCCTTGTAGTTGCGCTCGACGCAGTTGCGCTCGTACAGCGCCGGGTTCTGCCGGATGTGCTTGATGTCGACGACGGCCTTGGGGGCGATCGTCGGCCGGATGGTTGCCGGGTCGGCAGTGGCGGCGGCGGCGGAGCGGAGGCGGGAGCTGCCGTGGAACTGACGCGGTCGAGGCTGCTGCGGCCGCGAGAGCAGGCACTGCACGCACGTGAATGGCCTGCGTGACAGCTTCATCTTGTTATTATATAACAGAGAGCCCGCTATGTCAATTAATTTTATGGGAGGATGGCAGCCTCGCTGAAAGCAACAAATGTGAGGAAGGGAGGACCGGTTTATTTGATGTCACCAAAACGGCAGCCAAGGGGGTGGGAGCTATGGCCCTACGCCGGTAATACCCGTCCTATAGCTCCCTACATAGTAATCCGTACCCTACCGTAAATCGTACTGCTGCATCGTCGCGCCCTATTTCAATCTGTCCATGACTTCTCCCTGTCCTACTGGATAGCATCTGCTGCAAACGCATTACGAAGGTAGTCATCTGTAGGAAAAGGTAATCAGCATTATAGGGGAGGAGTATCCCTGCCGTGATGCCATCGTACTCTGTCTGATTTGCCTGATATCTTAGGCGCATATTTGTATGTGCTAAGATTACGTGAGTTCTAGGTATGTAACCCCTGGCTCCGGCGCGTTTACCAGCCGCGTTCCATCATCCACGACCTTGGAACAAAGACAACCATGCTTCCCTTCAGCTAATCTGCCCACAATGTCGGACTTAGTTGTAGGGCAGACCGTCAGGCTCAATGATGGCCGCATAGGCATCAACAGATTTGTAGGACCAACCCAGTTCGCTCCTGGCGAATGGGTCGGGGTCGAGCTGGAGGAGGACACGGGAAAGAACGACGGCAGTGTCCAGGGCGAGCGCTACTTCGACTGTCCCATGGGTCATGGCATGTTCGTGAGGCCCGTAACCGTCACCGTACTCGCCCAGCCGCCCGTCGCACCGAAGCCTGCCGCAGCCGGCGTTGCTACTCGGAAAGGAGGCCGGCCTAGCAGCATGTTTACCACAGGAACAACCCGCGGCTCAGGCTCCAATGATCCGGCCTTGGGCAAGAGGATGAGCTTGAATGCTCCCAGCCCGAGCCCTGTCCCACGAACGTCTCGTCCTTCTAGTATTGCACGAGTAAGCTACTCCTTTTCTCAGCCGCACCAAGAGTGCATGCTAAGTTGTATCGACATCAGTCTCCCACGAAATCCCCGACGAAACAGATAGCGACGGCTACCTCTAGCGGTTCTACCTCTCGAACCGGCACCCCGTCGAATGCTCGCGTCTCCTCCGCGGGAATAAAACCGCGACCGTCCATCGGAGCGGGCCGTCCATCGATGGGACCGCCGGGAGCCCCCGCCTCTAGAACCACACGACAACCGTCTGTCTCGTCCACCACCTCAAGAACAAGTGCCGCCTCATCACGCCCTCTCAGTGGACGCTTGTCGTTAGCACCCGCGAGACCTCCGCTCCGGCCGGACGCTGCTAAGAACACGCCGACCGGATCCCGGTCAAGTAATGACAATGGGCCGGCTGCGCGAGGTGCGCGGAGGGCCATTAGCTCGCCTCAGAAGAGCGACGACGACATACTCTCCCCCCGGCCGACCAACCCAGTCCAGGCAAAGACTATGGCCCTCGAGAGGCTTACCAGCGCATCTCCAACGACGACCAGAACAAGGGCACCCCCTCCCACGACAGCACCGAGGCCCGCAGCTAGCAATTCGGCGGCAGCTAGGGAGGTTGAGGATCTCAAGGCCAAGCTTCGTGTCCTGGAGCGGAAGAGGATAGAAGATCGTGACAAGCTAAAGAATATGGAGAAGATACAAGCAGAACGCGACAAATTTGAGTCTATCATACAGAAGATACAGGCCAAGTATCAACCGCAACAACAAGAGAACAACGAGCTTAAGAAAATGCTGAAGGAGGCCGAGGCGAGGCTTGAGTCTATCGAGGCAATACAAGCTGAGCACGACAGTGCTATGGAATTGGCGACCCTGGATCGTGAAATGGCAGAGGAAACAGCCGAAGTCCTCAAGGTCGAAGTCGAGGCACTAAAGCAGAAGTCGGAAGAACTGGAGCTCGAGGTCGAAATCTTGCGCGAGGAGAATGCCGAGTTTACCAACGGCATGAGCCCCGAAGAGAGAGCCAGTACCGGATGGTTGCAAATGGAGAGGAACAACGATCGGCTACGGGAGGCTCTTTTACGACTCCGGGACCTAACGCAACAGCAAGAGGAGGAACTGAGGGATCAAATCAAGAGCCTGGAAGACGATGTACAGGAGTTCGGAGTGCTGAAGGAGCAATACGATCTCTCCAGGGAAAACTTATCCCAGGCAGAGGCCACGGTTGAGGATCTCCGGCAACAACTAGACACCGCGCTGGGCGCCGAAGACATGATCGAGGATCTCACCGAGCGAAACATGAGCCAGGCCGAACAGATCGAGGAGCTGAAGGCCGTGATTGAGGACCTTGAGAATCTCAAGGAGATCAACGACGAGCTGGAGATAAACCACGTCCAGAATGAGAAGGAGATGCAGGAAGAGCTCGACTTCAAGGACAGCGTTATCGCGGAGCAAGCGCGGAGGGCAGGCCAGCAGGATGAGTCCCTCGAGGACATGGAATACACGCTGTCGAGGTTCAGGGAGTTGGTCACGAGCCTGCAGAGCGACCTGGAAGACATGCGAGCGTCGCACGCCGTCACCGAGACGGAGTCGGAGCAGCTCAACAGCAGATCGCGAGCCATGATGGACCTGAACATGAAGCTCCAGATCTCCGCCGCGAAGGCCCAAGTCAAGTCGATCGACCTGGAGCTACGCCACTTGGAGGCCCAAGAGGCCGAGCAGCACCTAGAGATTGTCAAGCTCTTCCTGCCAGATAGCTATGCCTCGGATCGCGACTCGGTCCTGGCCCTGTTGAGATTCAGGCGCCTTGCCTTCAAGGCAAACCTCCTCAACGGGTTCATCAAGGAACGGGTAAACGGCCAGCCGCACCCAGGACACGAAGACGATGTGTTCGCTGGATGCGATGTCATCGACAAGCTTACCTGGGTTACGGCCATGTGCGATCGCTTCATCAACGCCATCAGCCACTGTTCGCTAGAGCAATTCGCCAAGTACGAGGGTGCTCTGTACGAACTTGAGCCTGTCGAGAGAGCCCTGAATGCATGGATTGACGGCCTAAGACGTGACGAGCTCAAGGAGAAGCAATGCGCAAGCGACCTCCAGCGCACGATGGCTCTTATGACCCATCTTGGCGAGGTCCATATCTCAAACGACCTTGAGAGTTACGCCGACGATATATACATGAAGGCCCTGCTCATGCAAACACATCTGGAATCAGCGGCAGTCACATTCACGGCTCTGAGGAATATGGTTCAGAGCGTTGTCCCGCTGAACGGCCAGGACGATGAGCTTGCACAATACTTCTCAAGAAAGGCCGACGCGGTAGTCAGCCAGACTCGGAGCGCCAAGGTTATCGCCGGCAAGACCATGAGGGCACTTGAGGATCTGAAGATCAGGTCCTTGTCGCTCTTGCCAGACACCATGGAGCCGTTCGAGCAGGCCGAATCAATAGCACGGGAACTCGCCGACTTAGCGCGACAGATAGGCCTCGACCTCCACCAGGTGCTTCACGAGGAAGGCAGGACCGAGCCATACACGTATCTTGAGATCCAGTCCTGCGTCCACAAGACGGCCTCGAATCTGAGCGGCTCCAGCGAGTCTGACTTGTTCTCGACCTATCTAACTAAACTCCGGATCTTGACATCCCAGGTTTCCGACCTCGCAGCGCTCAGCTCGGACCTTGCTCAGACGCAAGAATTCGAACGCAGCGCCGCCCCATGGCTCCTCCGCAGCCAAGAACTGAAGGCCCTGAAGACGATCCCCGTCGATGCAGAAGAGGAAATGCGCAACCTGAGGGAGGAGTACAACGAAGCGCGCCGTTCCATAGGCCTGCATGAGGAGAACCTCAGTGTGGCCCACCTCAAGATCGAGACTCTCGAGTCACGCATGCGCGACGCCAACGCGAAGACCTCGCGCATCGTCCACCTTGAGGCCCAGATCGAACAGGTCGGACAGCAGATAGCGAGCCTGAAGGATGACATCGAGAAGCAAGACCGCGAACTCAAGGCCCTCGAGACGGATCGAGACAAGTGGAAGAAGGTCGCCAGCGACAGCCGCCTCATTGTCGGAGCCGGCGCCGGCGGCGATGCGAGCGCAAAGCCCGGCCAGGAGCGCGCCGTGGCCACGGCGAGAGAGATGGACTCCCTCAAGAGCGAGATAACCAGCTTGCAGGCTGCCGTGCGGTACCTGCGCGAGGACAACCGGCGCGCAAGGATGACGGAGCAGCACGGCTATGACTGGCTTGCTGAACCTCTGACGAAACGGCCATCCGCCGCCGAACGCAAGAAGGCACTGGTGGTCGCGGAGAGCAAAGACGCACTGGGCGAGCTGGTTAAGATGGTTACGTCAGCCAAGTTCTATGACCTCGCCACGCTCCCCAAGGACAAACTCGCATGGAGGCCGGCCAAGAGCACACCGCAATACCACGCAGCAAAGCAGATGGAGGACTTTGCCGCCTGGAAGGGTTGGCAGGATTCGGTGCTCAGGAAGTCGCAGATGCTGATGGGGAAGGGCATGGGCCAGGCTATTCACGCGGGCAAGGAGAACAAGGGCCCCAGGAGTGTCACCGCGAAGCTGCAGATCAGGCTCCCAGACCAAGATGGCAAGATGATCACGGGCATGGGAAGGGAGGTCCAGATTGTGGGCTCCGCAGAATGGGAAGGTTTACAGGGGAGACTTGCGGCTGTATGATCGTTGTGGATTGGTATACCCCTTTACGCCGTAGCAGTGTAGAATTTGCGTGAGATATGTGCGAATAGAGTGCGATTTCCGGGTCGTTGGAACCAACCCTTCCTCACATTGTCTATTCCTCTCGGGAGCGTGACTCCAATATCTCGTCGCAGCCATTCGTACCACAAGCTTCAAGCCTGTTTGCCCTCGCCCCTGACAAAGTCGCAGTAGCGGCAGCTGAATTAACTGCCTCTCATCCGCAGGCCTCTATACTATCTAGCCCTTCCCCTTCCCCTTCTTGTCTTTCTTCTTCTTCTCCTCTCCTCCTCCTCCACCACCCCCACCGCTGCCCCCGGCCGCCGCGGCCATGATGCTCGCCATGTCCCCACCACCCTGCATCTCCTTCATCATATCCTTGAAGAAGTTCTCCGACACGCCCCCGCCCGTCATGGCGGGGCTGTAGTACGGCAGCAGCTCGCCAATCTTCCACCCCTTCGGCACGGCCGGCCTCGGGTACGGCTTCGCCGCGTCCGGCAGCGGAGCCCCGGGCAACCTCATCCACAGCGCGGGGCTCTTCTCCGTCGTCGGGTTCTCCCTCAGGTGCCGCGCCACCAGCACGTACAGGTGGTGCTTGTTCTTGACCTGCGCGGCCCCCGAACCCCTCGGCCCGGCCCTGCCACCCGCACCATCGCTACCACCACCTTCCTTGAGCAGGACCCGCACCCGCCCCGGGTTCGCCCAGTCCTTGGGGTGCAGCTTCGTCGCCTCCAGCACGGGCGCGAGGCGCAGGCGCTGGCAGGCGCTGGCGATCTCGGCGGCGAGCGGGCTGCGGACCGCGAGGGAGGCCGACACGCGCCGGCCCTCGGCCCGCGAGCGGGACGCGTCGAAGTAGACCGGGTACAGGCACTGGTAGCCGGCGTACGCGGCCGGGTTGCCGGCCGTCGTGTGCGGGGAGGAGGTCGGGATTTGCGCTGCGGCGCGGGACTGCTGCTGGGCTGCTGGTCCTGATGCTGATGATGAGGATGATGATGATGATGAGGGCTTTGGGGGGGCTTTGCTTGAGGATGCGGGGGTGACGCGTCGTACGATGTCCGCCTCGGTGAAGTCGTCGATGTCGTCCTCCGAGGGGTCGGAGACGTCGTCGCTGTCTGAGACCTCTTCTATCCTGGGGTGCGACATTTTGTGGTATCTGGTGTTATCGAGGAACCAGGCGTAATGGGGGCGGAGGGGTGAAATGTGGACGTTGATATCGAACCTGGAATTCGGTGGGGCGTAGTGGGGTTGACTGTTTAGCGGGGTTTCAATTGGATTACTGCTATACCAATAGTGGGGCTCCTACATAGTAAAGTCAAATTGCAAGCATGCTGGAAGTTTAAGCCTCACTAGGTCTGCCGGTCTTAGGAAACCAGATCTTCGGATATGGATAATAGGGGAATTTTTTAAGAGGATTGTAATATCAATCTTAGAGCCTCTTCCTCTCCATCGCTCCCACATTCCCGCCCGGGTATTTTACAGGGTAAAGAGGAAAAGTCCTCAATTAAAACAGAACCTACACGAACCATAGATGGCCATACCTCCCCGGTTCCCTTTCCTTTCCTTTCCTTCTCCACTTGCATTCTTCAGCCGCACCTCTGCTTGGACCATCAACTCGCACCCCATCACCAGCACAGTGGGGAGAGTTCGTAAAAGGGATCGGGAGATAGCAAGTGGGTGGAGGAGCGACGATCAGTAGGTGTCGTAGAGCTTACTTCGGAGTTTGGTTCCTGGAGGATGGTCTCCAGGTCCAAACTTGCAGTATGGGTGGGTACATTGCCCGTCTCGAACGCTGGGACACTGCCAACATCAGTTAGCATGCATCTACTGAACACTGGGGATGGCGACGGCGGAAGCATACGTGATGTCCATATATGCAACCGTCGAGATCACAGTCCTGGCCGTTAGTACACGGGTTGAGGCGGGCGAGGAACGCAATCGCGTTGATTTCGTCGGCCGAGGGCTTGTACTTGTGCTCGAAGCAGCAAGAGTCGCCTTTGGCACAGGGGCCTCTCAAATAATGGTTATTGCATAGCTTGCTGCTGTCTTTTCGCTTTTTGATGCTGTCCAACGCTGCTTGAGAAACTTGAATAGGCGAGTCTAAACCGCGTGCTCCGGGGTTCCAGGCTGGCTGCTTGTTGGCCTGAGACTGGGGCCGAACAGGGCCATTGACGGGCTTGGGCTGTAAAGGAAGAGTGATTTGTGGCGGAGGACTGGCATTTTTGATGACGCGCGCATACGACGTGGCGGGGCTGGAGGTCGAAGGGGGACTCGGACTGTTTATCGGGGCCGACAACGGGGCCGGCAACGGGGCCAGCAGCGTCGAGTTAAGAAGGGGTGTCTTGTCTAGCAGCTTATCCGGCCGGAAGAGTGTTTCGTTGAGATTCAGAATGTTAACCCCAGTGGCAACAAGCTCTCGAACCGTGGGAACGCCCTCGATGATGGTGATTCGTCGTCTCGTCGACTCGTCCCGAAGAATCTCGTCCAGGAAGGGAGCATAGCCGGCATCGTGGGAGATGCCCAAGATGATCTGTTTGCAGTTATAGTTTCGCAGATTCCATTTGGTGGTCTCTGGTGCGGTGTTAATAAACAGCGTTACAAGGACGACGGGGGGGTTTCGATTTCTGTACGGCCTACCTTTAATCTTCGTGTCGGCCCTTTCCTTACCGAAGCCGACATCGACAAAGTCGAAAGATGCTTTGGCCTGGGTAAATCCTTGCGCAAAGTCCCTGAGCTCGCTTTCACTTTCGATGCTACCATCTCGCCTCATAGCCTTGCAGAGGCCCGATAGATTTACGCAGACTTTTGCGACAACTTCAATTTCGTCGGCATGGTCGCCGCATTCTCCGAGTATGGCTTGCCTCAAGGCATACGCAGCTTTTTTCCCACCTTCAAGGCCTTGTCTGACGAAGAGACTTTTGAACTGCAGAAAAACGGTGAGCTGGGAGGATCAGGCACCCGGAAAGGGGTAACAGGGTGCCGTACTAGGATACCGTCGCCGTCGATCAAGACGATAACATATGGATTATGACTCTGCACACAGCTTCTCAATCTCCGCCAACCATTCGAGGGAGGTGCGTCCTAACCTTCAAATGCTGATTGTCTTGAGATACAGCGCCGATACGTTTTTCCAACTGCTGTATCTGCTGCTGCAGCTCCCGCCTCGACTTGGTCGCATCTGCAATGTCTAACCTGGCATCGCTTAGCTCGTTGTGAAGACGTTGATTTTCCTGTCTGAGGCTCGTTTCGGTTCTTTCCGAGTATATCAAGAGATCCTATGAGGCAGCGAGGTTAGACGTCTGTGTTCTCGTATATGGTTCACAGTTCTGACGAGTGCGGATAGGTATGTGCATACCTTGATCAGTTCGTCGCTGGTGTCCCGGTGCAGTTGGATTGCCTGGAATCTCTGGACGAAGTCCATAATTCCTCCACCCATTTCCATTACTTTTCTTTACGGGAGACGGACTCCCGTGGTTCTGGGCCGAAGGTGAGTTTGTGTAGAATTTAGAACAGGACGATTTGTGTTGCTGCCTTGTGCAAATGGTCACGATTTCTTGGGCTGCAAGTGGGCGGACGAGATTGTGATAGGAGACGAGTGGAGCCGAGTATTTCTGAAAACGATGCTCGTATCAAAAAACAGAATGCTATTGCTGTGGGCGTTGTTGCTGATGGTTCGGGTGCTGTCTCGCTGCTCCCCAGACTGAGTTGGCTGGCGAGATGGTGCTGGGAGCTATCAAAGCAGGGTCAGGTTAGTTCGATCTCACAGAGGGCCGGAGTTGCGAAAAACGGGTAGATTCTGATGGGACCTGGCCAGAGGAAATAGGTCTAGTATTCGGGACTGTGTGTCCCAGCTCGAGTACGAATGTCTGCCAACGATCTCTCCAATTTGGCCAACTGACCATAAAAGTTCTAGGAGCTGAGGTTTGTGAGGTGAGCCTTGTCAGCTCCTGGATGTCCCATATGGGCAGGGGTCAGGTAGCTACCACCCAATCAGATGGGCCCAAACCATACATTTGCACACCATGCCGCGCGCTAAAACAAAGCCCTTCGTGTGCATCCTGCCTGCCGTGCGTGATCCAGTTGGAAAAACATCTGGAAAAACATGGAAAACATATAGCACCCGCCCGGCTGGAAGCCATAACTCTCTGTAGATACTCCTTAGACTTAAAACGTGGTGGAACTGCCGCGCAAACCGGAAGCCTCGGAGATGGGAGAAGATACAGGTAATTAGGTTGATTCTGACTGAACCCTGCCCAGCCGATGGTCTGACTGACGAGACAGGTTCCAAAATGCGCCAAAGGTCAAGATTGAAAGAAGCCGGCGCAGCACCCAGTGAAGTCAGTCGAAAAAAGTAAATCATTAATATTAAAATACTCCTAGACAATAGGTACGCAAGCAAGTCTATAGCATCGGCGCAGGGCCCAAATGCACCGCGGCGACCAAATTGGTTGCTCCCCAGTGTACACTCGTCCAATTTGTGGTTACCGTGCAGTGCCCGCCTCCCCGGTGCCCGATGATGCGTAGCCTTCCAATGCTGAGCCATAAAACCAGCCCTCCAATCCGGGTCCGTCTTGATAACGCCCTTAAGCACAATGCCCCCTCCCCCCAATGGTGAGGGAGCGATAGAGTACAGCACCACTTTCCACTTTCCTTCATATAGACGGCCCGGACTAAGGCTCTCTTCACGTCGTCCTCTTCGTCGTTGTCGTCGTCTTCTTCTTCTTCCTTGGAGTGAGTCCTTTCTCCCTGCGCGTCTGGACATCCCCTTCTGCTAGCCATCTGCAGGCCTTGACCAACTGAACCACGTTGATAAACTGCTTGGCAGCCATGATGGGAAAGCTGACACCGGCAATGACCCATGGCCAGAAACTATCCATTTTGTTGACTCGGGCGAGTTCCAACGCCCCGGCACTGTACGGGTTGGTGAAGATCTGCCTCAGCAGCGACGAGTTGACCTGAGCGCCGTGGTGGATGGCCTCGGCGGCCGAGCCGGGGACACTGTGGAGAAGGCTTGGGGAAAGGAATGGGCTGGAGAAAGAAAGGAGATACAGGGCCATGAAGAAAGTCTCGTTGAGGCAACAGAATAAGAAGAGAACAGTCTGCCAAGGCGCCAATGTTAGCTGAGTTCCAATGACACAGAGCGAAGCTGTCGAGCAGGATGCATACCTTGTTGGTGTAATAGAGGTTGAGAAGCCGGCTCCGCGACTTGTCGACATTCTTGTGGCTGGTTTCACCACCACCCATTGCCAACGTGGCGTACATGTGGATGTAATGACTGGCCAGATCGAGAGAGATGAGACCCTGGAAGATGATAGCCCATCGTGGAAAGGCCGACGATAGGAAGATTAAGAGACAGGCAGTAGTGCATCGGTCCGTGACCATGTCGAGCACAGCACCGAAGCGCGTCGACTGATCGAAATAGCGTGCGGCGTAACCGTCCAAAGCATCAAGAAGACAGGAGACGCTATAGAGCGCCTGGCAGGTGCGCGGATGTAACGGCATGTAGTAAAAAGAGGCGACGGCGAGGACGATTCGCGAGTAGCCTGGAAGAAATGCGACTGTTAGTGTTCTGTGTCATGATGATTCTGGGGTTTTGGGACGGGAGGAGAGGATGGTTCGCCGCACCTATGATGTTTGGCCAGAAGAGGAAGATATTCTCTTGCTCAAACTCTTCATCATCTTCGAGAATCGAAGACTTAACAATACCATTCCCAATGCTAGTAGGATTGCTATTGCCATTCATCGCGACTTTGGCGTCGTGGTTAGGTGCCGGTTCTGCCTTGCCACCGTTGGCCTGTCGTTTCCTGATGGTTGGTCCAGACATGATGTTGGACGTCTCCCGTCGATCATCCGTAACTGGAGAGCGTTTCCGGGTATGGCCAAGCTATAAAGGGCGATCGATGAGGCGTCGCAGAGCGATCCGGTCAAGCCGGTCAGGAGGGAAGGGTAACCTGTAACAAGAAACAGACCCGGCACGGCAGCTGCTCAATGCAGGCTGTGAGTATGGAGCTGGCGGAATGTTTGGGAGAGGCGCTTCAATGCTGAGGCGCCCGGAGCTCGGTGAGTAGGAGTTCAGAGGAGAATAGATGACATCGATATGTATCTTCGGAAGGAGAGATAGAACGACACGATGCGCGTGGCCGAAATTTTGGGAGACGGCGAGATGAGATACGCGGCTTATTAAATGGGAGCAGGCCTTGATAAGGTGATAAGGTCTCGACAGGGGTTCAGCAATTACACTAGCAGCTAGGTCCATGTACCTGCAAGGTATCATCATATCAGGAGTCAGGGGGCTGATTGGCAAGAGGGAAATGCAGCGATGCCTTGCAAAAGGTGTAGGGCGTTCGACTTTTTTTTATAGCAATACATCCAGCAGGACCTTGATGCTCTCATGGGAAATGGATGCTTTCCATTCTATCTTGCTTGCTCGTACTTCTTCACTTATTAGGCAGATAGGTGGTGCGCCGATTTTTTGTTAGGTACCTTCCATTTCCTGACGATGTAGGTACATAGGTACCTATCTACACAACTCCATCGATATCCCTACATGTATTCCGTACCCAGGCATATCGGCAATGCTAGAGACAGCGAGAGACATTCCATGCCACCGTTGGGTCTCTCAGTTTTAGCACACAACTACGCAATAGGAATCATCCGACAATGATCTCAGAGTCGGATTTGAGCTTCGGCGCCGGGTGTCCGTGTGAAAACAGCTACCTACCTAGTGGTGTACAGGGCTTTCGCAGGCCCACATACGGATACCCACTTCAGGTATCCTGCACGCACCTTCGATCAACCTCAGGGTCTTTCTTCCACCAACACCTGTTCATGCCCATCGAGTTGGCGTCACATAGATTGTTGTTCTTGACCGGGTCGCGCTGTGTCCATCGCATACATTGACCACCTACCTAGTTTGCCCCGCCCTGTCCCGCACAGCCTTCGTACAGTTTGTTGCCACTTCCTGATCCCTGCGTCCCGCCGTGCCATCATCCCTCGTCCCCTTTTTAACTCGGCCTAGACCCCTCCAACTTGGCGGTTGCCAAATAGCACCCTAATCCCCCCCCTTTGCCACACTTTGGGTAACCCTTGTGTTACGGTCAGTCAGCTCTCGAGACGTATGATTGCCCCCAACAGGTAGTTAATAATATAAGTAGTATCGACAATTCCCGTCCAGCTCGACTTACTCCTTCCCAGGAGCCAATCCCTCCTCCGCCTTTCTATCCCTTTCCCCGAAGTAGTCTCAGGCACAGGCGCCACACGGCTCAGCTTGATTCTTCCAAACGATACTCTTAGATTCCAGTCTCAGCCGCTAGCCCCGAAGCCAGCCTGTGCTTGCTTTCTACCCAGGCGACACGCCTTGACCCCTCGTCCAACCTCCCCCGACGTGGTTGCGATCTTGAACCTTCTAAACACCCCGCGATCTCCCTGGCACTCTTGGGCCCGGCCAAAATCCAATTATATAGGGCATTTCCCTTTCGACTACTTGTCAGCCATTCGCCACCACTTCGGCAGCGAGCCGTAAAACAGACGAGAAAAATAAGGGAGGAAATATGTCGAACAGGCACCCGATTTTGACGACACCGTACGCCGATAGGGCGACGGCGGTGGAGCATCCGCTTTCAGATTATCTGCTACGACTGATGGACCTCAAGGCCTCCAACCTCTGCCTCAGCGCCGACGTGCAGACTGCGAGAGACTTGCTCCACCTTGCGGACGAAGTTGGCCCGTCCATTGTCGTACTCAAAACCCATTACGACCTCATCGCAGGATGGGACTACAATCCGCAAACGGGCACTGGTGCTAGGCTGGCTTCTCTCGCGCGAAAGCATGGGTTCCTCATCTTTGAAGACCGCAAGTTCTGCGATATCGGCAAGACGGTGCAGATGCAGTATGTTGCAGGCACGGCGCGCATAATCGACTGGGCCCACATCACAAACGTCAACATCGACGCTGGGAAGGAAGTGGTGAGCGCCCTAGCCGAAGCAGCAGCAAAGTGGCGTGAGCGGGTCAATTGCGAGGTGAAAACCTCTGTTACGGTCGGGACGCCTGTCTCGGACACCTTCGACGACGCTGAGCAGGCCGAGGCCACTTTCGACAAACTCGATCACATGGAAGACACTCACGGGGGCAACTCCCAGGACATCGACGGAAGGAAAGGCAGCATTGTCTCGGTCACAACCGTCACCCAGTCATTCGAACCGGTATATTCCCCGCGACTAACCAAGTCTGCGGTTGACGGCGGAGATGATATCCTCTACCCTGGCATTGAAGAAGCACCGGCGGACAGGGGCCTTCTAATCCTAGCCCAGATGTCGACCAAGGGCTGCCTCATGACCAAAGAATATACACAAGCTTGCGTCGAGGCGGCGAGGGAGCACAAGAGTTTCGTCATGGGCTTTGTGGCGCAAGAGTCCCTGAATACAAGACCGGACGACGATTTCATCCACATGACTCCTGGCTGCAAGCTCCCTCCCCGGGGCGAGGAGGAGAACGGTCAACTGGAAGGTGACGGCCTTGGTCAGCAATACAACACCCCTGCAAAGCTCATCGGAATCGGCGGGACCGACATCGTCATTGTAGGCAGAGGGATCATCAGCGCGGGCGACCCCCAATCCGAAGCTGAGCGATACAGGAGGAAGGCGTGGAAGGCATACTTGGCCAGACTCCAGTGAGTCTCGAGCTGGCGTTAGAAGATGGTCTCCTATACAATTTGGCAGCAGAGATTCGCCGCAAGACAGGCCGGTTCTGGGATCAAGTCCAACTTTTGGGAATCACAAGGGCGTCAGGCGACCAGACATGGTCCTCACTCGGTCTTGGACTATGGGATAGGAAGTCGCTGGCAAGGGTAGAAGGGCATCTCAAGGGTTATTTTCATATATAGTGAAGTGCCATCGTGCCATTTATATTTCTGCGAGCTAAGGGCAGGTGCTCGCCATCTTGACCACTCTCCTAGCTTGCATTTTGGGGGGGAGGATTGCCTTATTCCAAAAATTACCAGTCTACTATGCGTACCGGCACGGTGAAAAAAAATGATCGATTGTTGTGGATAAGAACGAGGCTCGTGCCTTTATTGTATTTTGTTCCATTTTCTTTCTTTAACCAAATAAAAAATTACTTCGTACGTCAGACTTGCGGTTTCGGTCCGCTGTGTCGATCTGTGGAGCCGAGTGAGGGGTGGGGGGGCCAGCAAGGATGTCGAGCCATCCCGCGTTCGCTGCCGGGCGCGAGGATCTTAAGATTCGTTGGCAAACCCGGGCACTTCCATGGTTCAGCATCCTCCGAAAGGCATATTACTCCAGGCTCAATGGCGTCTCCTGACACGGAGGAGCTGCGAGCTCGTATTTCATCTGACAACGATTTCAGGACCCATGGAGACGCTGCCGAGGACGCTCCCACCAGAGGCCCGCCTCGCAAACGAAGGAGAATAGTGATATCCTGCACCGAGTGCCACCGGAGGAAGCAGAAAGTATGTTTGGAGTTCCCTCCCCCTCCCCCTCCCGGAAGCCTCCCTTTCCGTCCACCACTGCTCACTACAGCAACTTACAAAGTGCGATCGCAAACTGCCCTGCCGAAACTGCACGTCGCGGAACAAGCAAGATGTCTGCAAGTACGACACGGGCGCGCCGACAATGAAGGACCAGCAGGGAAGCAGGTCGAGCGATGGCGATACAGCGTCTCCGGATAGGACGCAGGTGGATAGCCTACCGACCAAAGTTGCGAATTTCGGATACTCGCAGACCGGCGCCTCGACCTTGGGCTTTCTCCGGAAGATCGAGGGCGCCAACCCGTCGGAACCGCTGTCGAAGCTCGCCCAAGACACTGGCCAGCATGGGGACCACTTGAACATGCGAGAGCGGTACAAGAGCCTCATCCGACAATTGCCAGCCAGGATGTACATCGATAGATTGGTCGACCTCTACTTCCTCCATGTCAATTGGAACTACTACAGCCTGGACCGGGACGTGTTCAATCGGCAGCTGGCCGAGTGGCACAACTTGCCCTTCAGCGTGCTCACCAATGGCGGCCCTCAGGCCCTGCCGGCGAACTTGAGGGCCTTCCCGGCCCTGTTATTCCAGGTGTTGGCGACAGCGTTATTAGTCCTCCCCTCGGGACCGGACTCGACTTTCGATTCGCTCAAGTATGCCGGGAACATGACCTTCGAGGACTTGGCCGTCGACTACAGCGAATCGGGCGTCGCCATTCTCTCCCTACTCGGGAAGCGCCAGATGTCCGTCACCACGGTATTCGCTGGCTTCCTCAGAGCGGCATTTCTCAAATATGTGGCCTTGGTGACCGAAGCTGTGAGTCTCGCGCTTCTCGCCTTCGCACGAGCTGGCTCTCTAACCGCCTTAAAAGTGGCATGCTATAGGGACGGCGATTCGTGACGCCCAGGAGATTGGCCTCCACCGCGACAGTCTTGACCCCAAACCCGCCAGCGACGATGCCGAGGCCGTGTTGGAGAACCAATGGGAGATCCAGCGCCGCCGGAAACTGTGGATGACTCTTGTGGGTTGGGACATACACACCGGTGTTGTCCTTGGCCGGCCGACCTCGATCGATATATCGTCAACGCCGCCCACGCTCCCCGTCGATGCCCCCATCCCGAAGGATAGGTCCAAGACTCCCGTCTTGCCCAGGGGTGAAGACGATCCACCGACTCCCCTGACACGGGCCCTGTGGGCCTTTCAAATCATGATCGAACTTCGTGAGGTACTAGAGCTAGAGAAAGAAGGTCCTTGCCCCAAAGACTTTTCCAGAGTGGACAGGGTTCACCAGCGGTTACTGGAAATCGAGGCTCAGACGCCGCCTTACTTCCGAGTCGAGAACCCCGACAAGAGGTTTGATTCCTTGCCCGACTGTTACTGGATCCCATTCGTCAGGGCTACATTACCTCAGTTGTTGTATTTCAACCTCATGGCATTACACCGGCCCTACATATTTACACGGCCAAAGAGCCGGACCGAGGCTCTAAAGGCCAGTCTGGCAATGCTGGATGCTCAGCAAATACACTTCCAGTCGCTCAAACCTGAGCAGTACAAGACGTAGGTTGACACCCGACACTCTCCCCTCTTGCACGAACCCTAGTGAAACTAATCATTCCAGATTCTCGCTATTCTTCGGTACTTTCGATGCCATCGTCTTGATGGCTTCCATTTATATCCTATTCCCAAAAGAGCACCGCGAGTTGGTTCAGAGTGCGACCCAACATTTCCACTGGGCGGTGGAGCGCTTCGAGGCCATGTCGGAGAGGAACGCGTTAGCAAGAGCCGCGCTGGGCGTCCTACAGGCTATCTACATCCGCCTCAGGCGATCCTTCAACATGGCCCAGAAAGCAGGCAAGGGCCCGGCTCCGGCCCCGGCCCCGTCCACGAGCACGAGCACAAGCACCACCACCACCACCACGATGGCAGTCGACACGCCCGGCACCGGAGCGCCGGACAACCCGTCCCCGCACCTGTCCGACGCCCCGACGAGCGGCAGCGTCAGGTCAGGCAGCGCCGCCGTCTTCACGCCCGCCGGCAGCGACATGTACTCGGCGTCGTCGACGTCGGCGCCGCCGAGCGTCGACGCCTCGCACCACCACCACCCCCACCACCACTACCCCGCGCATCACCCCCACCAACAACAACAGCAGCAGCAGCAGCACGACAACCAGCAGCAGCCGGGCGGCTTCGACTGGTCCGTGCCGTCCGACTTCGACTGGTCGACCATCCAGCCCATCTTCGCGACGGGGGACCTCGTGTACAACGACCTCGTCGGCGTCCGGGACTCATCGGCGGCTCCGTCGTGGGCGGCCGACACGCCGAGCCTGAGGGACGAGATCACCCCGCACCTCTGGCAGTTCGATGGGGACTTTAGTAATGATAGCGTGTGGAACCTGCTCAATCAGTATAACCCGCTCTGAGCCTTTTCGGTCTTGGGGGGGGCGCGGGGACAAGGGACGGGGAGGACGGTTTTCTTGGTAGGGAGTTATGAATTAGTTTTGCTTGTACGTAGGGCTTTGGGGGCACGAGTCTCAGCAGCATGTGCGTTGTAGCATTGGATAGCAACACCCATCCTAAGAGCTGAGTTGGCTCCTGGGAAAAAAGGGGAAGGGGGCGCTTGCATTCGGGAAATCAACATTGGCCAGTCCTCCCTCCACCAGATATCGGTGGGGAGGACAATATTTGACCGTCATCACAAGCATGCTCATTCGCACTCGGCATCTAGTAGGTTCGGTTGAGTTTTGCTCACGTTGTCGCATTTTGTCTACCTACCTCCCTACCTACTCTAAAGCAAGGAACCCCCTCCCCTCCAAAGCACCACGACACGCCAAGATACATTGGTTCACGGCAGCCAGTCCAACTTCCACCAATCTGCCGAGAACCATTTGGGGAACAATACCGTCTCTCCGGATCTAACTGTTGGCGAACCATAATTTCTGCCCCTGAGCCGGTCAAAAACGAAACAGCTCGGGTGGTTCCCAGCTTCCGGTCACGAAGAAAAAAACCCACACGCACACAGCCAGCCGCCCACCCATCCCCCACTTCAAGCCGAGAAAACGAAACGCAGGAAAATGGGATCCTCCAGAACTATCATGACAAAAACGCCGCAGGGTCCATGCAGGGTATTCGGCCAGGCTAATAATAAAATAGATAGCGCACGTTTTTAAAAACCGCAGGCCAGCCAGTCAGTCTCTTGGGACCGGGAGGGAGGAACCAGTCTTGTCTCCCTCCCTCTCTCACTCGCTGACGCCCCCCTCGTCCTCCGACACGTCCAGGTCGATGTCGTCGGGCAGCCCGTTGCGCACCCGGCTGCCGAGGCCGAGCTCGGCCCTCGTGTCCCGCTGGATCCGGAGGAAGTACTTCCTCAGGCTCCGCAGCCCCATGAGGAAGCCGCGGTCGGGCTCATCCGGGTGCTGCGGCGGGCACGGCTTGTCCCTCGACAGCTCCCCCGCCGTCACGCTGTTGGCAAAGTCGGCCATTTTGAAGTCGATCTGCCCCTTGTTCGCCCGGCGCTGCGCCGCCTGGTGCGGCTCCTCGGTGTCGGTGGCGAAGTCGGTGGTCGAGTAGTCGTCGGCCGCCGTGTCGTTGCCGTCGCCCGACACGTCGCCGTCGTAGAACATGAGCAGGCTCGCCGCGTAGAACCGGTAGCCGCGGAGCCGCCGGATGATCACCTCCAGCTCGTCGATCTTCTGGAGCACCGTGGGGATGTGGCGCAGGATGCTTGATAGCTCGACGCCGTCGTAGAGGAACCGCGTGAGCGCGTCTTGGAATTCCTGCCCGGCCTTTAGGTCCCGGCCGAAATACTTGTCCTGGAAGATATAGCTCTGCGTCTTCACGTCCCACACCTGCAGGCCGCACACGCGGACACCGAGCTTGCGCGAGGTGGTCTTGGCACACTTCCCCTGCTGCGACTTCTGCTTGTTGGGATTTGCGTCTACGCCATATTGCCTCGTGCCCATCTTGAGGTCCATGATGCATGGCCGCTTCATCCCGGCCGTGAGATCTTCGAGCAGAAGGAAGTACTCAACCCAGGAGTCGCGCTGCGTCTGTGCTTCTTTGGGGTTGATCGGGCGTGGTATCTTGAACTCTGCAGTGGGACTGGTGGCTGAGGAGGCCATGGCTGACGGGATATCCGGTTGACCTGCCGCTTCGCTGTGATGGACTAGGCTGTTTTCGTCCGACGGGCGCTTGTCAGGAGCCGATCCACTTTGGGATGCTGCCCCGGTGCCCTGCTCGTTGTCTCCCTTATACCCTGCCTCATCGGCCTCCTCAAAGTACACCAGATCCCCGCGGGATTCCCTGAAGTCTTTTGGCTTTCTTCGAAGGGCGCTCCCAGAGTGACGGCGTTTCCGCCTCTGTGACGGCGGGCTAGCCACGGGAAGTTCTGGCTCGGGGGCGCTCGTGCCTGTAACGTCCTTCACGGCTTCTTCTTCTTCTCCTTCCTCCTCGTGCTGTTCGCAAGGGGGCACTTGTTGGCCGGCATCCTTTGGGGTGTGGGACGGACCGGTACCGTTCTGGCAATTCTGTGAGTTTTGGGTGTTCTGGGGATTTCCTTGTCGTTGGTAATGGTCATCTGTCGCGTGAGCGCTCGAATCTCGAGCATTGATTGGAACTGGTTTCGTGGCAGCTGGCCGCGTTGCATGTGGTATAGCCCGGCGGGGAAGAGATCGGTGGTGGGCTCTGCGGTGCCTCTGAATGGTAATCGGATTTTTCAGGAAAGCATCGTTGAAAACCTCGTTCCGCAGCCTCTTGTTGACCGTTGTTGCGCCCCAGCTGTTGGCGTGACGTTCTTCTAGGGATGGCCGCACTGCTGAGATTCTCCCGTTGCCCGAGATGTGATCCCCCTTTCTGTTTGACTGCATCTCCTGAACAGACGCAGAGGTGCTCCTGAATCGCTTAACGATGCTGAGTCCGGGCTGAGATGGCTGCAGCAGATTCCGCGGCAGAATGTGTTGGTTGTCAACAAAGGTGACGGTCGGCACCGGAAGTTGGGTTGATTGAAGAGACTGGCTGATTACTCTAGTGTGCCCGTTCTGCATCTTTGGCATCTCCACCCCAATGTCCATGGGTTCAGCTTGGCCACCACTACTCTTCAGGTCGGCACCTGCACCACCCTCTTCGAGTTGCTTGCGTTCTTGAGTAGCTTGCTCATCTCGCCTTGCCGTGGACTTGCGCCGGTTTCGTTTTTGAAACGTTACATTCAGCACGCCGATATACCTGGCAAGCGCAGACGTGTTAGTCGGGATGAGGAGGGATATATAGGGGCTGCGATACCGAGCAACGTACCTGGGCAGGAAGGCGAGAAGATCCCGGTGGTATTTCTCCACCGTCTCGTAGAATTCGTTCTCCCGGTTGTTTAGCTGTTTGCAGACGGCTCGCTTGGAAAACCGCCATATGGTTGTATGGCCGCCAACTTGGTGTTTATAGGGGATAAGTTCGATGGCTTCCAGCGGCTGCTTTGGGGTAAGCTGGTGTTCATGGACATGATGATCTTCGTAGAGCTGCAATACCGGCTCGGGCTCCTCCACGAGAGCAGGTACCTCGTCAACTGCACGGCTGCTCGGCTCCTTTGAAGGGAGAGTAGGTTCGTCAAATTTCGGCTTGGCGCTAGCATCATAGTCATCGCCCTCCGCTCTCTGATCATCGACCTCGGGATCATCTGCTTTGACAAGCCACGGGTGGAAATCCTCTGCACGAGACTTGGTTCGTGATCCGGGCGCCAATCTTGGCGGTCCGGAAACGGGAACTTCGGGGGCCTCTTCGAGTCTTTGGTGTGGCAAGAAGACTGCCGATGAGATTTTTTCTTCCCCGGAATCCTCTCCGTCTTCGACACATTCTCCAGCTTCGGTGCTGTCACCCAAGTTCCGTCTGCTATCTGGTTCGCGGGCCAGCACATCCTCGGCCGTGATCGTAGATCTCTTCGACCCAGGACTTAGGGGTTCCGAACTAGGCAGAGCGACCTCGGACGGGACCTCCTTCGACTCGTCCCTCTGCTCATCCTTGGCTTGTAACAGGAAATAATCCTCGGGAGACTCGCTAATTGGAGGCGGACCAGGTGACCGAGCAGCCCCAGGGTGGGTGCGGGTCGCGCGACTCGTTCCCGACGGTGGTACTTCGATAGGCCGCCTTGCAGCCTGCACATCTCCCGAAACAACCTCCTCAGCCACGGGTGGCCGTCTTATCTCGGTGGAGTTGGGTTTCTCGGCAGTTGGAGATGGCCTCTCGCGCGAATGGGCTCTGGTCCGCGGCTCCTTTCGCTTTCCTTTCTCTTCCGGGAGGCCTTCTTTGAAGAACCGCAAGCTGTGGCTTGCTTTTCGGCTGCGAGTATTGGGCTCGACGCCGGCCAGTACTTCAGTGATCGACTTCTCGACCTGTCCGTCCTGTCTACTGTTTGATTCGCCGGTTCCGATCGACCATGCCTTCTCCGGCCCCAGGGATACTCGGTGATCCAGCTTCCGTGCTCGGCCATGTGACGACTGATCAGCTGTAGTATTCTCATCGAAAGCCGCGCCGCGTTGGCTATTAGCCTGCTCCGGGAAGGGGCCCGAAATAACGCCGCTCATTCCCTCGGAAACGATGGCAAACGGTCGGGGCCAGCGCAAATCCTGTTCCTTATTGAACTTGTCGCCAGCATTCGTAGTCGTGTCTCGCCCATTGGCCCTGCTGAGGAAGTCGCCATGATTCCTCAACATTGTGCCAACTTGTCGGAAATCCAACATTTTGAGAGGAGGATGAGGAGGGGTTCGACCGCTATCGGCGGATGAATAACGGCGCGTGACAGGAGCGGTGGAAGTAGCCATTGAGGCAGTCCGAGGAGAACCGCGTGGCGTTAGGGAATCGCCATCACTTTGATATGGGGAGGCGTCATAGGCATCGGCGACATGTTGAGATGTTTGGACAGTGGCCGGCCTTTGTTGTGTTGTCGGGTGGGCACGATTGGAGTCAGAGAGATCCCGCGAAGGATCCTGTGTGGGTTGCGAGGGTTTTGCTTGAGAGGGGGAAGACGTTGCACGGGCTGTAGCAAGAGCCTGGGTTAGCAAGGAAGGGCCCTCGGGTCTCTGCAGAGGAACAGGTCCCCGAGACCATTTATTCTGCTCTGCATGGTTCGCGCCTCGAGGTCGGGCTTGGGAGGCCTGAGAATCAGAAGAGGCGGGAGCGGTCTCATGTACAGGCGGGCCGGGCAGGTCTGCCCGGCCGGACGGTGCAGCAGGGGGGGATGGCGAAGCTTCTGGAGCAGACAGGAGCTTGGCAGGGTGCGCTGGGCTCACCGGTGCAACAGGTGCGGCATTTTCGGGCTGAGCAGGCGGGTTGGACATGAGGAGGACATCTGGCGAGTGCTGCGAGAATGTGGGATGGATGATTCGTGGCCGCGGGGGGGTTGACAGGGGGATGCGGAGGAAAAAAAGATTTGGGCTGCCAGGGGGGGACGGGCTGGGATCGGATGGGATGGATTGGATGGATTGAACGGTGCAACCGGGATCAGAAAAGTGCGAATGGGTAAGGTACTGGGCTTCGTTGAACCGGTTGGGTTGCTGGTGCTGAGAGACGACAAGTTACACCAAGCACGATGGGGTGGGAACATGGACCAGAGTGACTGAGACCTGCGTAGGTTTTGCTGAGATCAAAGAAAAGGTGGGTAGGTAACCAAGTATCAAGATGTGGGCTGCAGGACGGAGTTGGTCGGCATGCTTGTAAGGCGGGATGGACTTGGTGGAGGGTGGCTATAGTGTTATATTTGCTTTTTGTGCGAGCTCTGTGGCGGATTTGTAGGGTACAGGGATTGGAGGGAGGGGTAGAACTAGCGGCTTGTATCCACGTGCCGCAAAGGTAGACGGTAGTTAGCCGGGGTGGGAAGACGGGAAGTTCTGACCACCACTGGGACCAGACACTCTAAGGGACCTTCTTGGCGACTAAGGCGATGACTGATTATGGGAAGGGAAAGATTACATTTGTTCTTGGGCCCCCCGTGAAGAAGGACTGGCTCACAGAGGTCAACCTGGATGGAGGAGACACAGACCAGACCCTCGAGAACCTCTATAGTTCAATGTAGCGTCATTCTTCGTCATTAGAGCAATGCACCTTGGGAGGGACTGGGAGGTACCTAGCTCGATATCGAATTCATTCAAAACCCATGCCTCAGGTGGGATCCATGGAATCTCAGACCGACCTTCCCCATGTTTTTTCGGTGGGTTTCGAATGCCAGCTAGGTGGTATGTACGGATACCTGAGATGCGTACCTACCTAGGTTTACGCCCATGTACTCTTGCCAGAAACCACCTCACCTCTGATCAGTGAGAACTTACGATTTCGCTTCACAGCCGACGGGCTCCTTCCCGGACAGCAAATTGGATAACGCTTTGTTAGATTATGCCGTTGCTTGAGATCCGGTTGCCGACGTCGTAATCGCAACGATCTCCCCGACTTTCCCCTGCGGGCGGAATGCGTAAAGAGTCCATGCGATGGACGTCTCGCAGCCCAAGAATCTCGGAGCACCAATCAAGTGACAACGTGCTTCCCAGACCGTATCTCAACATGCCCGAGCTTCATCTGTTCCCTGTTTGGGCTCTTATCAACGTGCCGCGGCCTTATTCCTCCCCTTGGCTTGCAAGTTCATTCCGGCTCCGGCTTTGCTATCTACCTATCTCTCTCGTTCTGTGGTGATGGTTATCGCTTCCCCAGATTCTCACGCACCCCTTCACCGATCTGGACTTGCCGGGGGAGAGACTGTTGCCGCCTCCTCGTTCAACCAACCACCCATACACCATAAGTTCGAGAAAGCGCTGTGTGAACCGCTAAATCTAGCAGCAAGTGCCGCCGTGTTTGGGCTGGTATGTTGCCTCTATTGGAGCGTCGAGGTGCCATCTTGAATGCCCAAACAGGTCCCCGGAATCGAGTTGGAATTGAGACGGCAGACTCTGGTGGAGGCAGGTGAGGACCGAAGATGTGGACGGTGAGGGAAGTGTTAGGCGGGGGTACAGTATCACTCACCGTGACCTTGGTGGCTTGCAAGTTGAAAGCACACACAGCTGCGGGCCATTTTCACTTGCTGATTCTATTAATATTAATTAGAATCGCAATGTAGTAACCTAGCCATCTCCAGACAATTCAAAAACTTGTACGAAGCCTTGTGTGGTGGCTTACAGCAGCTGATGCAGCAGTCAATTACATCGACACGCAGCAGCAGCCAACGCAAGAGTAGCTAACACGGCAGCAGCAGTCAATCCAGCAGCTACTCCAACAGCTACTCCAGCAGCTAGGTGCGGCAGCAGCCAATTGAACAGGCGGCCGGCTTTACGCTGTGCTATTCGTTCGTCTGTGTGTGTGGAAGTTGACCTTTTGGAGTGGCAGACTGCACATTTACTACACTGTCTCATCGATACACTGTCTCATCGATAGATCCTTCTCGTACTACTTGATTATTTTCTCCTTGCGTTCGATCCTGCACTCCGTCAGTAAGTATGTCTGAGAAGACTAACTCAGAAGACTGACCCACGTTTCTCCTTTAGTTCCTACATCAATAGCTTGTTGATGCTTGGATACACTGGCGCGAGGATACTTCGATCTGAAATCGTGCCATCCAGGACTTGTTTGACAGCTGTTTAATACACTCGAAACAAAGGCACCCCTGCCATCTGAAGAGCCATTTGAACCACAAAAGATGGTCACAACACGGGAAGACTTGCCTACTCCACAAGGTATGCCGACTAGCTTCGCCAGATCCAGTGGGAGCGCCGTATTCGCAGAGGGTAGAAGTTATGGTGTCCTTCCTACTACCGTCTTTGTTCTCGATCTCAAAATGATGTTGGACGGTCGCATTGCTAAATGATCTACCTCTGATCTACCTCTGCCTGTGCTCAGATCATCTACCCAACGTACATGCCTTACATGCCAGGGGAGGTACTTCGTTGGTCTCTCCCGTCGTCACGAATCAGTATCCATTTGTGATTTTGTAGGTACCTAGGTACTTTGCTACCGCGTCCAACCAGCTGGGACCGTGGCTAAGATATTTGCCACTGAGGCTCTTGGACGTCACGCGTTCTTCCTCTACACCTAGAATGCCAAGCCATCGTGATGGCTGCGTGTGCTCTGACTGGCCCCCGGCCCGGCCAAGAAGAGTGCCAAGAAGAGTCTGAGTCCTGCACTCTGACATAAACAAGACCTTACCGGCCCGTCACTTCACCGAGGCGGGGCGACGGCGGGGATAGGTAATCTGCAATCAACCTACTATGTACTATGTAGGCGAGAGTTGACACGTCAACTAACCCAATTCTCTGTCAACCGGAGGGAGCACCAGTAGCAAGGCCTATGCGCGCTGGCTGGCCTGGATCCGGGACTTCATTGGCTTCGAAAATCAGCGACTCGGATGGACAGAGACCGCAAGCTACGGGGTCCAAGTAACTCCCGATGCCACGGCCGTGTCCCATCCCTTACTTCTACCCCATCCCATAGCTTCCATGGTCGTAATTGTCATATCGTCAAGAGCTACGAGTATGCAGCCGCCCCGCCTGTGAAGGATCGGCCCACGTCTTCCTTGGGAGATAACATAACATGCCATATCTCTAGCATCCAAGATGTGATGTTAGTCTATTTAGCCCACTCGTGTACAAGCCAATGCAGCAATATCAATGCCCACCGAATGCCCAGCCGCAAGAGTTGCGAGCAAGATAGTCCTTTTGTGCTTCTCGTTTGACTCCCTGGTCTCCGAGTCCTGCCCGACATGCAGCAACCGCCGTAACTCCCAACCCAACCCAAAGCACGCAATATCATAACATAATCCTCAAATGATAAGGACCGACGATTTGCTGAATTAAATTGTACCGTAGCCCCAGTCGAACCGAATCGGTTCGAGTAAAACGTCCCAGACCAAGGCGTACGCCAGGGGTATAATGCATGCGTAATGACAGACCGACTGATAAGGCGCGGCAGAATCCTAGTGAGACATGGGCGGCCCGGCCCACCCAGGGCCAACCTATTCCCAAACATTGACCCCCATGATGGAGGTCATGTTGACCCCGAGGCCGGCGACGCACATCGGACTCTCATTGGCCCCTTGCTGCTGGTCGTCCACCCTCGCCCTGTCCAGCTCGACCTCCACGTCGAAGCTATCCAGGAACTCGTCCAGGTTCTCGAGGACGGCTTGGACGTCGTCTACGCCGTCGGGACCGTGATTCTCTTCCTTCATCACAATCTCTCCTTCCTCCATAACGGAGGACGTGCCCTGTTGCTCGAGCCCTGCACCACCCTCGTGCTGTTGCCTCGTAGCGGCGCGCTGGTCCGCCTCGATGAACGCCTCCGCCATGGCGTCGAACGCGGGGCTGGCGCACATCTGCTGCGACGCGCTGGGGAGGAGGCGCTGGGCCTGCTGCCTCTGCCGCCGCATCTGGGGCCCTTTGCGCGTCACAGTGGCAAAGTGCTTGCCGAAGCGCGTGTTCTCCGCCGGGAGATCCGACTGCGACATGTTGAGGGGTGGGGACAGCGCCCGCGGGCGGTGCGACTCGCCGGCCTCGCCGGGCAACGGCGCAAAGGAGACGTGTCGGACAGGCTTCTTTTTTGAGCTCCTCCAGGGGTTGGATAATGCCGCGTCGAAGAGGATTTGGGTACTCGGGAGTTGGCCGTTTTGCAGTAACACGCGTTTAGGTTGCCGGGGGGGCTCGGGGGACGGGGTCATAAATTCCCTCAACGACTTGATGGAGAGGGTGAAGTCTGGGGTTGGTAGGCTTGAGGGCTTGGTCTCAGGGGTTGACGGCCGGTCTGCATGGGCTTGGGATTCATGCATAGTAACATCCCCATCGCATCCCAAAGCCTGCTCTGGTAAGTTATCATTAGAGGTCCCAAGGGGGCCATTGTTGCTTGCAGGAGATGTAAGAGGCTGGAAGCATCGCGAGGACGGCAGTGGTTCGGTTCGTTCCGAGGTACAAATATTGTCGAGCGTCTGCAGTATAAGGGAGGGTATCGTTGAGCGGTCATCCGCCAGGCTGGTCATGTACGGTATATCGACCACTTCTTCAACCCAGGGACTCTGTTGCTGTCTGGGTGTATTTCTCCCCTGCGGCGATGGTTGTTGTTCAGGGCTTCTGAGAGACTGTACCTTCGACGTCTCCTGCCCCAGAAGACCCAGTTCTTCAAGCTCCATAGCGATTGTTCCGTCCGCCATTTCTGGCTCGGTCGCCCTGGGCTCTACTGTTTCCTCACTCTCTTCAGCCTCGAAACAGTGTGGCTCTAGAGTAGACAGTGATTGCTCCAATGCCACGTAGACACCATCACTGATTCTTGCGTCTCTCCGACTTGGAGTATCTTGCGCAGCATTGGCACCGTGCCCATTGTCATGCTCGACCCCAAGACCCCACGCCGCCTGAGATATCGGAAGAACCACAGAAGCGCCATCAGAATGCGAACGGGACGATGAGGGAGGTTCATTGTTGTCCTTCGCTCCATAGCATCTGGGATTGCTCCCCAGCTGCTGGGCTAGATCGTGAGGCGTACACGTTATCGCTGGTTGGGTAATCTCGGTAATGTGTTCCCGAAGTTCTTCTGCTTGGCGACCGGCATCGAAGCTTGTATCCCTGGCTACCTCGTTGTCGCCAGATTCAGGTGGTTCGCGCCCTTGTCGTTCTACCTGGAGATGTTCAGAATGGGGGCTGGCTTCCTTTGCTTGGCCTTCAACCTCGTCGTAAGGGCTCGAGGGGACTAGGGTTGGCCCATCAATGGCTGACGCAATAACACCAGTACCGTCCTCCGGAACTGCTTCTTCTTCATCCACTCCTCCCTCCGGTAACGCTTCCGGTACTTGGCCGGACTCCATAGGTGCCTCAGGCTCGTCCGAAAGCAAGGCGACAGCGTCATTCTCCGCAATTTCGGGGCTTTCAGCTTCAGCACTATGATTAGCATACCTTGTTGGAAGGCTGGAGATCGCGGGCGGGCCGTCTGCCATATCAGCTCCTCCGTCTTCTCGAGGTTTGCGTCGGTACTCGAAGCTCTGGTCGGCATGGATTTGGGAGTCGGCCTCCAAGTCTGGGCCTGGAACTGGTCTAGCCCACCCCCCATCCATGGTGATGTCTCTAGGATTCGCCTCGCAAAATGATGTCCGTTGTTCATTGGCAATATTCGAACTGCCCTTGTTGATCGCTTGCTTCGTTGTCGATATAGGATCCTCCGGCTCGTCATTCTCCTCGTTTTCATCGCTTTCCTCGCCTTTCTCGTAGTTTTTCATATCTATATCACGGCTGTAACGTGGACGAGGTACAGCTGTGTTCGACAGACCCCTACCCATCGGCCTCTCATTTTGTCTCTGGTGCGGTTGCGCCTCAGACATGCAGAAATCACGTGGCCGCCCCTGAGACAGCTCGACAGTGCCTCTAGCCCGACCGGTGATGGCTAACCGATTGGCCAAACGTTGCTTTGCGGCTGATTTGAGCATCGAGAAAGATCGTTGGTGTCGCAAGGAATTGCCGGCGTGGCGGGTATCGGGGAGATCATCACCGGGAACCGAGGATGACGGAGTCGCCGTAATGTTGAGTACGCTTGGCAGTGATTCATCGTATTGACCGGGGGTGGGAGAGGCACGGATGCTAGGTGTCTCAAGCCTTCTTCGTTTCACAACCGTTCTGCGAAGCCATTCTGAGCTGGAAGCCTTCCTCTTCCTTGCGGATGTCTCGCCATCAGCCTGACCATGGCTGGAAACCCAGAATTCCTCTCTTGATGCGGCGTTCGACTGAACTTCGTCTCTCCAAGCGCGGACCCGGACCCAAGAAACGTCGTCCATATAGGGGTTGATGCGTGTGTGAGTCGCCTTGGAACTCGTAGTGCTCGGTAAGGGACATGGGGCCGGCTGTGTTGGTGGGGTTTTCGTTTTCTCCGGTTGCCTGAATACGGCGTCGCTCCTCTTATGAGTCAGGGGGTCAGGTTCGTCCCACCAGCCACTATCGTCCAATGTAGAACAATAACCCACTCGGGCATTTGTAGATTGAGATACGACCTTGTGAGGTCCTCGCCGCTGCGGTTTCCCTTGTCCAGTCCTTGATCGCCATGGATTTTGCCAACCAGACTCTTGGGTAAACGGGCCCCTTAAACTGGCAGAAAATATGTGAACAGGTTTGCCGTCAAGATATCGTTGTGCTTGCGCTTCGTATCGCTGGCATCGTTCGGCTGGGTTCTCGTAATATTCATCATCCGAACCCGAATAAAGAACCTCGTCGGGAGCATGAGGAGCTTCATAACAAACCGGCTCGTCACAAACGGGCTTGACTGGAAGCGCCGCGCGCATTGAATAGCCCCCGCGAGCCCTCATCTTGCGTATCAGTGCCTGGCGTCCGGCATTGAGATCTTTGGCCCCAATCGCTTGGTGTACGTCCTGAAAATGGATGCGCAAACGCACAACTAACAAGGGGAGGTAGTTGAAGAGGATCTGCTAGTAACATGCAATAAACGGGGGGCAAGGGTGCAAACGCGACAAAGGAACAGCGGGACGCGTTCCACTTTACGCGGGGGAACCACTTTTTTTGGCATGGCCGGGGCAAGTCCGTGCATCGGACCGGGTGATTCCTTCCGCCGGTGTTGATCTTGGTTGCCATGGGAAACTGCACAACCAGGGTAACTCGCCAATCAACGTGCCGATCATGTTTTGGTGCGAGGAGCCAGAATTGACAAACGCGATGTCGCGAGTCCACGTCGATTGGTAACAGCAGAGCCTCGCTTCGAAGGAGCACTTTTCAAGCAAGTACCCTCCAAGGGCCCGGTCTGCTCGACGTCGACAACTGTATACGATATCAATTCCATTCAACTGTCAAATATTATTTTCTCATCCACATCCTTTCGGTACAGAGCCCCGCCATCACTAACACACAATCGCGACACTTCCAAGCCGGAAAGTGAACACTCCCATGGACATGAGCTAGCAACCTCCTAACCTCCCAACCTCCAACCAATTCGCCACAGTCTTTATATATTCCCCCGTGCCGCTGCCTCGTCATGACGCAGGCCTGGCTGGACTCTTTGTCGGAGGACTGGGTCTCACAACCGCCATCAGAGGCGTCCCCTCCTAGCCAAGCAGCTTCTCAGAACGCAAAGGAGAATACCACAGCACCATCAAACCCGAAGATCAATGGCAGCCGAATCCCGCGTCTTAATCTTGGTGGCAAGAAATCCCACACAACGTCGAACGACAACAGTAGCAATATCCTCAGCGAGCGGAGTCTGAACGATATCAACTTGCTGAGCTCTCGGCGCGCGCCCTCGAAACTCTCGCAAGAGATCCAGCCACACGACGGAGGCAGATATGCCAGTCGGTCAGTATCATTGGCGACTTTGAACTCGGTGGTGCGCAACACTGTCAACCACAGGGCTTTAAGCACCTCGCCCATTCGGACCCATGGCCAGACTCCAGAATGGAAGCGTCGATTGGTTTACGGGGACCTGTCTTTGGGAGAACAGCGTGATCTGTTCACCTCCGCAGGTGTAGTCTTGGAGAACATCTTCAAACCCCCGCCGGCGCCAGAGGTGCCCGCCTTGGAGCCGCCTGATGAGGAAGATCCAAGCGTGCAATATGAAGATACAATGTCGTCCAGCCCCCCGATACGCACGAGAGATCCTTCGACGGTGGAAATCCACGTGGACGAGTCGGCTGCTGAGGATCCTCCCGATCTGCCTGAGCTACCTGAGACAAGGTCACCTACGGCAATGAGATATAGGAGGACAGAGGATTCTGTCGAAGCTGACTGGAACGGTGACCAGTCCATCCCGTCAGAACTCGAGCACAATGACCAGGATCCTCGAGAGATATCTTCGGCTTTCATCAGCCAAGGAGAGCAGGGCAGCGGCCAGTTGCGAAAGGTCAGCGGTCAAACCGACATAAATGAGGACTTCAGCCCGATCCTCATTTCCCGCCACAATGCCGGCGACGGGAGGACGACCTTCACTCCTATGGAAGTCCCACCCGGCGAACTACGAAAGCGCTTAGAAAACTTGCGCCGAAACCAAATGCTCATGATCCCAGAGACCAACAGCAGTCCGAGCGGGAAACAACCCCGAAAAGAGAGCAATGCGTTCTGTGTCGACAATACCGAGGATTGTGAGAGGCTTGGAGGCTTCATCAATCTTCGTAGAGGAGGTCGATCTGCCGATGGATCTTTTCGCGACCATCTTCTGAGTTCTGCGCTCAACGATACGTCAGAACTTCCCGAAGAGTCTCTCCAAGCAAGTACACCAAAGCAATTCCCAACCCTCAGGATGGAGAAGTGGGATAGCTTTGGGGCCGAGCCTAAGAGTCCGCCATTCCCACTAGCACCACATCCCAGTCCAGAAAAGAGACGGGACCAGACCCAGAGCAGCTCAGGCAGCCCCCTGAAACTGTTCCAACCATACGACACATTCACAAACCAGACGCTTCTCAGGAGACTTAGCCAATTTGAGGACCCCATGTCAGACGAGTCCCGGTCGGCGGGCTTGCAATCGGCTGAGCCGAGCATGCGAGAGGCACATGCTTATCCCGAATATGGCACCGATTCCGTGGCAGCCCCGGCCCAGCGGAAAGATAAGGCTCCAGCTGAACCTCTTCGACAGTCGTCAGTGTCTGTCAGCCAGTTTGGAGCTGGGGATCTTGACGGCTACGAGTTTGACGACGAGGTTTCGTATAATTCCAACCAAGACTCGGCCGTGGATGGAAGGACAGGCGACTTTGAGACCGAAGAAGGCTCCATCCAGGGGCCAAGACAGCGCATCTTTGATATCACTCATCACTCGTCACCACCGGACGTAGAGACAATGATTAACAATAGACGGCGGCAGAAGTCGATAACGTCGGTCTCATCCCAACGGTCAAGCCAGATGCGGTCGGGCCTTGGTGGCCACAGGAGGCACGGACACGGTGAATCGCTCTCCATCCCGGATATTGACTATGTGGTCTCTACTCCGGTGCGAGGAGACGCAGCATTTGAGGGCAAGCGGCCGAGAACAACGCCAGCCAAAGATCCGACACCGAAACGCAGGAGGACTCTTCATAAGTCGGACATCGCATATGCTGCAGAGGGCCTATCCGCGGCCATCGAGAGTGCGCAGTTATCACATCAACAGATGCAATCCATCATCGGCAGAAAGCGCAAGGACGCACGTCACGGCGATATGCAGCAACTGGCGAACCCCGGCGTGCTCGCAGCCCGGCAACTGCTGCGTCCCCGTACCCCAACCCCTAGTCAGAGGTCTTCGGTTCAACGCGAACACGCCCCGTTTGCCGGGGACGAGAATCTGCCGCCAGGGCGATCCTCACATAAGGCAACAACTCCAGGTCCCCTTGCGGCCGGCGCTTCCTTGGACACCAACCGCAAGCCGTCGATCAAGACGGAAGATTTCATCAACGAGGCAAACAAGATTATGGCCATGATCCGGAGCAAGGCGGGCTTGGCAAGTGGTCTTGCTAGTGTCGAGGAATCCGAGTCAGAGAATATCCACCAGCAAGACCTCGAGGAAGAGGATTCGTTCCGGGAGTCGACCAGGGAACCTTTCTCACGACCACCGAGCAGGGAAGGTCGCCCGCCTCCTCCGAGGATGCCGGCGAGACAGGAGGACCCCGAGATCGCCCTGCGCCTCAAGAAATACGAGGAGGCTAGTGACATGGGTGACATTATCAGCTCCTCGATGCGGTCCCTTGGGCTTGCCCGAGATGCTCTTCGGGAGGCTCAGGAGGTCAACCTGCAAGTCAAGGAAACTCTGAATGCCAATGCAGCCCACCCCTTCATGGAAGATGGCGACATTGTTAGCGATCCTCCCAATATCCGCCTCTCACACAACCCCGACCGCCTTGGCAAACGATCGACTGAAAGCCTGAGGGATACTTTCCCTTCAAATGCTTCGGGCGTTTCATCGGGCAACTCTACCAATAGGTCTATCCCTACCGGATCGTCACGAGGCTCAGATTCAAGGAAGGTAATTGCCCCAGAGAGTGTCGAGCACTTGATCCCGGATAAGGTGGGAAACATGTTCCTCGATAGGCAGCGCAATATCTGGATCAAACAGAAACAGGCCGGGTCGTCAAGGAGCAGCAAGCAAACGTTTTTGCCTTCTGAAGGTAGTGAAGATGATCCATTCGCGGGGATTCCGGATCTGACGGTGGATATGACCATGGAGCTTCAAAACCTGAGGGCTCTAGCTGCGAAGGAAGAGCAAGAAGCCCGAGACGCTCTGGACGCCCAGGGCGAGGCACAAGCCCCACCAAGTCCTTCCATGACGCAGGATCCAACGGATTCCCCAAAGCCCCACGCTCCAGCCAGTCCGTCGAAGAGCCCCTTGAAAGGGACCATGAATAAGCCGCCAACTCCCGTCCACCCCACAGTACATCAAGACCTGGACGATACAGCTGGATCTCCTCGCCGTGTCAATGAGGCGTTGAAAGCGGTGCAAGAGGAAGAGGTCGAACACGAAATAAGCATCTTCGAGGATCGTACCGCCACCCCGAAGCGAAGAAATCTGACGATTACTTTCTCGTCGCCCATTGCCTCCATCATTCAGGACCTTGCCGGTGCAGTCGATACAGCAACCGAGGAAAGCAGCTTCGCGGATCAGTCTGCCGACATTTCCCATGGTTCAATCAGCCGCGGGCGCCGCAAGGCTTCCGTCATCCCCAACGGCAAAGGAGCCTCTTCGAGACCCCGCAGCGGTTCGACACCCGCGGCGACACGAACGCGAAAAATATCGGTCAGGGGCAAGGCCTTTGTGCCCCGCCCTGTCTCCAGAATCGACGAACAAGATGAGGGCACTGACAATAGCCACGGCACTGTTTGTCGCCAATCGAACAAGCTCGAGGTCAGCATCCTTGGAGACCAGAGTGTCGTTGATCGAACAGACGATCAGCGCGGAAACAGCCTCAGCTTCGTCGTTACGACTCCAGCACGCAGCAGAGACTGCCCCGCTGTAAATGCCGATGCTGCTCCCATCATCAGCCAATATGTCGGAACATTCTCACTCAGCCCCCTCTCCGAGTTCACCATGAACCATGGCGAACAATCGTTGCCCTTGGAAGTGAGTTATGTTGTTGACGACCATCACCTGGTCACGGGCGATCACGCCAGGCGGGTGCTGTCCATGAATGCACGAGACCTGGTACAGAAGCTTGCAGAGGTAGAACCTTTTGAGCCTTACTGGGAAGATATGCGCGAGCTGGATGTCTGTGAGAAGCGGCTGGAAAGCCTGTACGCCCTGGATGAGTTCTGCGGGCGCCTTGAGAGCCTCGACGCCTCGAACAACCAGATCAGAAACCTCGGCGGCATACCTAGCAGCGTTCGTCAGCTCCGGATCGCCCATAACTGCTTGACCAGTTTGACAGCGTGGGATCACCTGTGGAACCTCCAATACGTGGATGTTTCGAACAACGAGCTCACGAGTCTTGCGCCGTTCAGGAGCCTTGTACATCTTCGCAGTCTACGGGCCGATAACAACCAACTCACCAGTATTGATGACATCAAATACCATGATGGACTGCAGGTATTGCGGGCCCGTGGGAATGCGATCGAGGAAGTCGACTTTGAGGGGACGAGGTTGCATCGGCTTACGGAGCTCGACCTGAAGGGCAACAGGATTAGACGGCTGAACAACATGGACCAATTATCCTCTCTCGGTACTCTGAACCTCGAGGACAACCAGCTGGAGACCCTGGCAATCGACACCGAGAAGCCATTCTCGTCACTCAAGTATCTCGCCCTGAGCAACAATGGCCTGACAAGCATTGACCTTAAGTCCATGCCGAACCTCCGCCTTCTACATGCCGATCGGAACTGCCTCAGCCAGTTATCAGGCTTCTCTCGGGCTCGTCGGCTTGATAGTCTCTCCTTGCGAGAGCAACGATGCGAACATCCCCTCGATCTGTCATTTCTGTCCAAGGCATATGAGGTTCGCAAGCTCTACCTTTCTGGCAACCTCCTGGCGAACTTCAGCCCCCAGGTTGACTTCCTCAACCTGCAACTCCTCGAGCTATCCAACTGCGGCCTTCGATCATTGCCAGAGGACCTCGGCCAGATGATGCCGAACTTGCGGGTCGTGAACCTCAACTTCAACGCAATCTCGGACCTTGGGCCCCTGCGATTCATCCCCCGCCTGAAGAGAGTCCTTGCCGCCGGAAACCGGCTGAACGACTCGGCATCCGTCATCGACATCCTAGCGGAATTCCCACAGCTCACGACCGTGGATCTCCGAGACAACCCGATAACCCAGGGCTTCTACGCGCCCCTGCAAGCCCTCGTGCGACAGGGCGAAGAGGCGGCGGCGGACGCAGTCAACCCGTTCACGCTACCCGGCGGCGACGCGGAGCGGGACGCCACGTACTCGCGCCGGCTCGACCTGGAGACGCGGATGCGCAGGAGGCTGTACGAGCAGGTGTTTGCCGACTCGTGCGGCAGGCTGAGGACGCTCGACGGCCTCCCCCTTCGGAGGGACGTGGGGGAGCTCAGAGACGCCGTGTGGGCTGCTCTCGCGACCCAGGGGCTCGTGGTCAGCGAGGACGGGTCCCGGGTCGACGTTGCGGAGTGTAACGGCCGGGTTGAAGAGAGCCGTTGGGAGGCGGAGAACAGTTTTGCATGAATTGTGTGTGTGTCTTGCTTCTGGTTCCCTGATTTTTTTTTGTTTGTTTTACGATCGGAACTCAGGGGAGGGGAAGGCGTCTTTGGCTCGAATATCTGTCTTGGGATATTCATTAAGAGGGACTGGGAACCAGGGTAATGATGGATGCATGACAAAAGTTATTGTACGAATAAGCAAATAAGAGCATAGAGGGGCGTACCTTCCTTCTTAATGAGACCATGAATCAGCTTGACTGTGTCATCAAGAGATGAATCGAAGCATGTACCTTTGTGTGTTCTGGAACTGTACATCTCTCTCTTAGAGGTCCTCTGGCAAGATGTTTACGTAAACACCTTACCCAGCACTTGACGCGACGCCAACTGGCAACTTCAAAAGCTGCCATTGTGACTGGGGCAAGGCATTATGACAGGGACAATGTCTGAAAAGAAGAGACGGAAAACGATAGTTTTCCTTCACCCTAATCTAGGCATTGGGGGTGCTGAAAGACTGGTTGTTGACGCTGCAGTCGGGCTCCAAAACCGTGGCCACAGAGTCGTCATCTTCACAAGTCACTGCGATCCCAGACACTGCTTTGATGAGGCCCGAGATGGTGAGCAGACAGATCAATAACTTTCGCTTTCTCCATTCCCTCCGGCAGTAAGGCTAACTTGACCGAACCGCACTCCAGGAACCCTCGATGTCCGAGTCCGAGGCGACAAAATCGTCCCGCCGTCCATCCTCTCCCGCTTCTCCATCCTGTGCGCCATTCTGCGCCAGGTGCACCTGATCCTGCAAACCTACCTGAGCTCCGAGCTGCGGGAGCTCCAGCCCGATGCCTTCTTCGTCGACCAACTGAGCGCCGGGCTCCCGCTCCTGCAGTATCTCCAGCCCGGGGCTCCGATCCTGTTCTACTGCCATTTCCCGGACCTGTTGCTCGCGCAGGGCCGCAAGAAGTGGTGGAAGCGCCTGTACCGGATCCCGTTTGACGCGTGGGAGCAGTGGAGCATGAGCTTCGCCGACGCCGTGGCCGTCAACTCCAACTTTACAAAGGGCGTCGTCGCGAGGACCTGGCCCGCCCTGGCGCGGAAGAAGGATTTCAAGGTTGTGTACCCTTGCATCGATACCAGGCAGAGGAAAGACGGGGAGGAGAGCCAAGATGGCGGCGGCCCGATGTGGAAGGGCAAGCGAGTCATCCTCAGCATCAACCGGTTTGAGCGGAAGAAGGACGTTGCCTTGGCTATCAAGGCCTACGCGGAACTGCCGAGGGGTTCGAGGACGGGGGTGAGGCTGGTCATCGCAGGCAAGTCGCTCCGTATCCCACCTATAATGTTCCCCTTGCGCTAACGTGCCCATCCCCGCTTTCAGGAGGTTATGACAACCGCGTTTCGGAGAACGTGGGCTACCATAAGGAATTGGTTGAATTGGCCGACTCCTTGGGCCTCCGCAACGCCACGACCAAGACCGTTGTGACGGCCCTCAACGTTCCGGACGACGTCGAGGTACTTTTCTTACTGTCCGTCCCCCACGCGTTGAAGGAGATTCTCCTCAGGAGCGCAAGCTTGCTTGTCTATACTCCGTCCAACGAGCACTTTGGCATCGTGCCCCTTGAGGCTATGCTTGCCGGGGTTCCGGTCCTGGCTGTAAATACAGGTGGCCCAACAGAGACGGTAGTGGAAGGAGTCACGGGCTGGCTCAGAGACCCGACACAGACGCAGCAGTGGACAGACGTCATGGACAGGGTCCTGAACAGGTTGACCAAGGATGAGTTGGCAGCCATGACCCGGGCGGGGGTCACCCGCGTGAAGAGTAACTTCGGTGACGTCCAGATGGCCCAGAGACTCGATTCTCTACTCGAGGAAATTGAGGCGTCGAGGTCGTCGGCTGGAAGGGCTCTATCCCTGGGCGTGCTCGGTCTATTTGCCTTCCTCGGGCTGTGTGCTTCGACAGCATTGTGGAAGAGCACAAGGTAACCTGGTAGCACGCATGGAGAGACGAAGGAATAAAACTACAAGAATTTCCACAGGGATGTGTTCTTTTGACTTGCCTACGCTACCGTGATGGGGGGCACCTGCAGCCCAACTGTGTGTCTTGTAAGTTATGGTAAATGTGTGAGTGTTTGATAGATCGTTGAAGGGCTACCTCGCTCTTCGTTGGTCTACTATACATATACGCATCGATAGGTCTAAGTAATGAGCAACTTCCGTGATCAAGACTTTGCTTGTTTAAGTCTCGTTCTATTGCATATTACAAATATACATGGCGATGGATGACGACCCTTTACACTACGAGCTTCGCATCCGCCTTGGCCGGCCGATGACCGAATATCGTACTCCCTATCCTCACCTCATGGCTGCCCATGGCGATGGCTCCCTCGAAATCCCCGCTCATACCCATGCTGAGCTCCAGCTCCCTCCCGACGCCCAGCTCCCGCGCCACCAGGTCCCGCTGCTCCCTCAGCAGCTCAAAGTCCTCGTTCTCGTTCTCGGCCGTCGTCGCCGCGCTCCGCGCTATCGCGCCGATGGTCATCAGCCCCAGCAGCCGCAGGTTGGGGCAGCCCTCCTCGATGGAGCGGCACAGGGACACGGCGTCGGGACCCGGGGCGCAGCCGGACTTGGACGCCTCGCCTGACGTGTTCACCTGCACGTGGACGTTGAGGGGCGCCGGCGGGGCCCCGGACGTGGACGTGGACGGTGCCGAGGCGATGAGCTCGCCGCGGTAGCGGTCCAGCAGCTGCGCTTTCTTGAGCGTGTCGATGCTGGATACGCACCAGAGGTTGGGGACGCGGGCGAGGTTCTTGCAATGTCCTGGTGAGGGTGTCTGTTAGCGGGGAGATCTGTAAGGGTAAGAACACGAAGATCGATAGCGACGTACCTGACTGAAGACCGCCGATGAAATGCCATTGGACCGTCTTGGGAAGTAGCCCGGCCTTCTGCATTAACTCCTGGGCATAGTTCTCTCCGAAATGGACATGGCCAGCCTCCCCTTCGTGCAGAGCAAGGATATCGTTTGCTGGCTTCAACTTTGAGACAGCAACTAGTCGCACCTTCACGGTGATGATGTACCAGTTAGCCCAGCTCCTGAACATGTGTGTACATTAAAGAGAGGCATTTCCCCGCTGTCCAATCCACTACGAGAGGCGTGACTTACGGATCGGCCTTTCGCTACGACGGCTATCCGCTCCTTGACTGCCTGCAGTTGTGAGATCAGAGCTTTGGCTCTGGCTGGGTCGACTTTCATTTCTGTCTCGCTCATCGTGTCACGAACATGGAATATGTTCAGCGTCGCAAGTATCTGCGTGGGCTCCAAGACATTACCGTAATACCCGTAAGATTAAGATTCCTCTTGTGCTACTCTTTGCTCTTGTATTTTCAGCAAACCGATGTCCTCAAGAGTCAAGACACTCTGATGTGTTGCTTATTACGATTAATGTATGCGACCCCGCGGGGCAGAGTATGTATCTATCGAAGCCACCTTATCGATAAGCAGCTACCTTACCTACTATGTAGGTAACCAACAGCCAGCCTTGCTTCATCTTCAGACTCATCTAGAAACAATGCGCGATTGTTGGCAACATTGTTGATATGTATCCATTGCAATGAGCCACCAGCGCTACCCGTCCCACGATGTCAAGGAACCACACTCCGTCTCACTCAAAGTCCTTCGGTAAGTTAGCCAGGACCCGTCGGAAGACCTGAAGACACTGAGGCAGTTTTCTATTCCAGCTTGTCGCGACCCTCTCTCGTAGCCCAGTATCCGATCCAGCCACCCCTGGCGTCTCCGTCATCGAGAACTCCGCCGGTTCCGGCCTCTCTCGCCTACGACTCCAGAAATGGAGACACAAATCCCGAGCCGTTCATCCTGAGCCCCATCCTCAATCTCCCCCCTTCCTTCGGCTCAGCATACGTCGGCGAGAAGTTCAGCTGCACCCTCTGCGCCAACCACGACATCCCCGACATCCCGGCCCCCTCACCCGCTTACCCCGGCGGCGGGGGCGGGGGCGGGAGGGGCACGAATGTCGCCGCCGCTACGAAGAAAACCATCCGCGACGTGCGCATCGACGCGGAGATGAAGACGCCCGTCTCGGCGACGGCCACGAAGCTGGACCTGGGCCCGGACCCAGGCCCCTCCGACGGCGTCGACCTCGAGGCCGGGCAGACGCTGCAGAGGGTCGTGGACTTTGACCTCAAGGAGGAGGGCAACCACGTGCTGGCGGTGACGGTGAGCTACTACGAGGCGACGGAGACGAGCGGGCGGACGCGGACGTTCCGCAAGCTGTACCAGTTCATCTGCAAGGCCTCGCTGATCGTGCGCACCAAGCCGGGGGCCCTGCCGCCGGGCAGGGACGGCGGGCGGAGGTGGGTCCTCGAGGCCCAGCTGGAGAACTGCAGCGAGGACGCCATCCAGCTCGAGCGCGTCGCCCTCGACCTCGAGCCCGGGCTGGCCTACTCCGACTGCAACTGGGAGGCGAGCGGGAGCCAGAGGCCCGGCCTGCAGCCGGGTGAGGTGGAGCAGGTGTGCTTCGTCGTCGACGAGCTTGTCGACGGCGGGGTGGGGGTTGCTGCTAGGTCGCAGGAGGGGGGGCGCGTCACCTTTGGCTCCTTGGGCATCGGCTGGCGCGGCGAGATGGGCAACCGGGGCTTCCTGTCGACCGGGAAGCTGGGCTGGGGACCGCCAGGCAGGTCCAAGGCAGTTGAGCCGAGGGTTGCGGCCCTGCCCCTTTAGGATCGGCAGCGACTTTTGGCTATGGACATGATGCTCAGTGGTGGGGTCATTCAAGATCTACCAATTGCTTCCTTGGTTCTTTGGCCGGTACGCCAGGAACATGAATCAGAACCAGGTTGTCTCGGATCTCAGAACCACAAGGAAGCTTGCCTTCTTCAAACGTGCCTTACTACGTAGATGCGCCTTTCAAGATGGGACGCAGAATTCTCATGTGGTGACTCAAGATTTTTTGGCGTCGCTTTCGTGTCCCAGCGAAGTTTTAATTTAGGTAATAGAAAAGAGGTGACGCGTCCCGTTCGCGTCCGTTGGTCGCGTAAGACGCGCCAAGGGCCCTCGTCACAGGCACGTGGGTGAGTTAAAGTGCGCGCCCATTTTAATGATGATTTTCAACATGGAAAAGTTTCAGGCACATTGCAGTCCCACATCCATTTCTCTGAACATTGAGCAATACCTAACGTGGAAGTTAAAGGGGTCACGAAGCAAACTGCCACATGTGTTTGATATCCCCACTTATTAGATCGCCCCTTCTGTTTTTTTCCCATGGTACCTGACTCTTGGGTACATTCACGTTGCAGCAGCATGGACGCAGGAACCGAGCCAAACAACAGACAAGCCGCCGCTGAAGATGAGCGGAAACCTGGTTTCGGAAGATTTCTTCCTAGGTTATGCCTGCTAACAACCCCTGAGGATCGACCCTTACTAAACTGTAACTTGCCCACGATGGTGCCACGTTCTCGCGCGTGAATTCACCCCGCTGCTCAGGAATTCTCCCTCTGAAGTTCCATTACCCCAACCAACCCCAACCAAAGTTCCCGGGAACGGTAGACAAACGCTGAAGAATTGCTTTCTCATATTGTATGCAGGAGTGTGGGTATATTCGCTTGCGCCTTCATATGTAAACCCTGTATCCCCATTTCCACAGGGGAACAAAGTTGTGCCACAATGTCAGATTCCGCCCTCGTTGGATATCTGAAACAGAGATATATGCTGGCTGGCGGGCTAGTGGCCGACGAAGGTACTGTATTTTGGAGATGGAGGCTTTTTCTTCTTCACGCTGCAACTAACCGTGCTGCATGGTGGGACCGCTAATGGCAGCTCGATCATGTAGGCCACGCTCACTTGGGTATCATGCAGGAGGTGGTGCACAGAAGGAAGCGGTGAAGCTAGAGAGTGTGTGTGTGTGTGCGTGAGTACGAGGTTGTGTACGGATAAGAGGACCCATCGTTTAGGAGTTTACTTGCGTATTTCAATAGACGGAAACGGAGATGATCGGCAAGGCCGTCGACTCGGCGGGTCCCTATGCTCATTCCTCACAAGTCCGCGTCCGCAGCCCATCACCTCCCACGAGCCTCGAGCCCACCTTAGGTAGGTAGGCAGTTAGGTAGGTAGTAAATGAAGACGGAAGACGGCTTGTAATTCTGCATGCCGGTATGCTTTTACAACACATGTAGGTACCTAATTAATGTAAGGGATGGGCAACGACATCAGGGCCCTTCTGTTTTGGGTTTAGCTGCCTTCCATGGCGAAATGCCAAAATCTACTATGGTAGACGATGCAGTCTATACATAGAAGTTCGTTGCTAGATGTGGCGTGTGCCCCTTGTTAGGTACCCGTGCAGGGAGGGGGGAGCGGGACGACGGGCATCTCCCCAACTTCCCGCGTTCAGCTTCCAGTGTGTGTTGTCGATTGGATACCACCATGGCGGTCGATAATGGAACAATCAATGCCTTAATTACAGGCCGTGTCGTTGGGGAAGCTGGGGATAATCGATCGCTGAAAATCCCATAGAAGCTTGAAGGTGCGAAGCGGTTTGTACCTGTCTTATCCTTGTGTAGCGTCCATATTTAGCTGCACTCTATCGACCCATCTGTGCGCAGTACGTTACCTTCCATCTCTCTACCGTCTGCCGCCTGCCGTAAATCGATCGAGGCCCTGCAATTGCGATTCAGATACGGTGCATACTAGGTACCTAGCTTAGGTAGGTAGGTATCGACCTATCGGCGGGAGGTATCCTAGATAGGTGCTCACATTAGGTAGATACATGTATTACTTTGTGCACTTGTCCTCGCACCCTGCATGCCCGGTTTCCAATTGCCCATAACCACCAGTTTTAATATCCGTCTCAGTCTAGGTACCTAGCTTGGGCCTAAATGCAGGACACTGCATCCACTGGCTGTGGCAGGTATTTTGCATTTTTGGCAAACTTCAACCGTTCATTAATGACTTTCTCACTCCTCGTACCCCTGAACGACTGGACCGTGAGAACCTGACAAGCTGGGAGATCTCCCTCTTAAGTGATCTGCAAATCCGCTTCCGACTCGAACGCGGGCATCGACTATCGAGACCCCAAGCTCGGTGGGCGGGTGATAACGCTACCTATTTGCCTACGTATGTATGTATGTACCTTCCATATTCCTCCACACCTTTTGTCCCCTTTTCTGTCCCCCGCCATAAAGTTAGGTCTTTGCTCCAAGCGAGCAAGCGAGCAACCCAACACAACAGTCAACCAAGCAAGCAAGAAACGACACTGGACAAACAGGTCTTCCCGACAGCTATAGCTAACCCTTGCCTCCCCAGGAAAAGTAGAATTCAACAAAATTCCCACAAGAAGAAAACGCCTAGCTTCAGAAGTTCAAGGCGCCTCTCAGTCAGGGAAAACCCCACTCGAAGACCCTTTTACCTCCCCCTGCTTGATATGTCATGGATAGTTCAGCGACACCCTTGGCAGAATACTTCTGGATTGCTGGCATAGAGAATATCTCGTACGACGATGGGACACAGGCGACCGCGGCCCAGTTCGACGATACCATTGCCGAAGATGGCGAAGCTGAGGCGGCCGACGGACCCATAGCTTCGTCCACGAGGGCCTCGGCCCGCCATTCTCGCCAGAACTCTGCCAATCGTCTGTCCAAACTATCTGGCGACGGTTTCCAGGACGAGTTCGACGGCAATACAAGGAGTAACCGCAGCAGTGCCACCATCAGGCCAAACCCCCCTCCCAATGCTGCCTCCAACCCCAACTCCAACGGGGCCTCGCCCGACGCCTTCTTGCAGGACTTTGACTTCGATAAGGCGTTGGTCAAGTTCGCGGTCGAGCGTGAGAACTTCCTGGACGATCTCACATTCAGTGCCGGCGCAAAGGTCCAGTCAAGACCACCCATGGTCAACCCAAGAGCGGAGAGGGTCAAGGCCGACGATGGCGATCTCAGCGGGAGGAAAAGCCCGTTGATGAAGAGCATCCGTGGGAGCATCCGTGGCAGCATCCGTCGCAAAATGAGTTTTAGGGACATGAATAGCGTGAGGAGGCAGCCAACTGCTCCTAAGCCGGGTAAGTGCCTCGCATCCAGGTCCCTCAATTCCTCCTTGCCACGTGCTCACAGTGATCCTCCAGCATCCATCCGGACTGCGCGACGCCTGAGTCACTATAACTCTGTCATCCCCCCGCCGGAGCCGCTCAATACCGACCCCGACATGCACCCCCTCAAGAGAAGGTTCGAACCCGTGCTCCTAGACAGATACCCCTCGAGGGACAACGCCGACGACCTCTCAAAACGGGGCAAGTTCCCGGACTACGTGCCCATGTTTGCCTTCCCGAACGATATCCAAATCGTGTCTTCGGACGATCGGCCACGCTCAACCTGGCATGGCTTCACCATGACCTCGGACGATAACTCCAAATTATACGGCATCGCCGTTATCGTATGGACGGCCTTGGATGCAGATATCGCCCAAGAAATAGAGAAGAAATGCGAGGATTGGAGACAGAATCACATGTCGAATGAGGAGAGAGAGCTGGCTGCAAGTCTGGGTGTCCGACTCGCGGCAGAACGCGCACATCTGTCTCAGTTGCTAGCCAAGTTACCAACCGTGCCGTCGGGTTCGTCCGCCCGCGAAAACCTGGACGAACAGATCAGCGCCGTGGAGGAGAAGATCAGCCTAATGGCGGAAATGTTGAGGCCCCTGAGACATGGAGCCGCGTCCAAAATAGACGGTCTCACGGCTGGTGAGACCGGCCTCTGGACACCCCGAGCCTACGGGATCCTCGGGAAGGACGCAACGAGGATGTCTTTCTGGAAGGAGTGGCTTAGGGCAGTCATTGTGCCCATGGCCGACGGCGCCATTTTACGGGTACCGGCGAGCTCGCCAAAGGTTGGGCGATGGCAACCCCTGGAACGATATGTCGTCAATCTTTGCACCGAAGCTTTCAGTCCGTTGAGCTCCACGACACAGGTCGAGCTCGGAGTCCGTGAGCTTCGCCTCTATGCGCGCAAGGAGGCCGAGAACGAGCTTCCCGGTTCCCGAAACATCGACATCTACGCCCTCTTCAGATGCCTTTCCCTTGACAATATCGTGGCTCTTTACGAGTACGCCATGTCGGAATCTCGCATCATATTTCTCTCCTCGCATACAGCGATGCTCCATCTTGCATGCCATGCGCTCGCAAGCCTACTGTACCCCCTGAAATGGGCCAGCATTTTTATACCAATCCTCCCGGCCAGGCTCCTCTCGGCGCTAGAGGCCCCCTGCCCTTATATCATCGGCATTGAGAGACGCTACGAGAATATCGAGCTTCCCGAGGATGACTATGTACTCGTGGATCTGGACAAGGACACGGTCGATGCAACATCACAGCCTGTTCCGATGCCGAAACAACATCGGCGCAAGCTAGTTTCCCTGCTCCAAGTCGCCGCTCCGCACAGCCTACGCTACGGCGTTGCTACTGGGGCGCCGCCCTACGCGATGGAGGCATTCCCTTACGACTCCTTCTCTGCCGAGAACGACTCGCTTTTCAACCCTGTCACGGCCCCTAGCTCGCTTGGGAAATGGGTCTCGCAAAGCTCGACGACGTTCGGAGAACCGATAGCGCCTGAATCCATCCGGGTCCCCGTTTTCAACGCGTTCTCCAGCTCCAAGGTGGAATATTCTAAGCCGGATCGACCGCCCACGGGTAAATCTGGGAGGGGTAGCCCGCCCTCTTCGCTGTCGCCCGTCTCCATGAACTTCCCTCCCATGCCCACGACTCCGATCTCTCGGAGCGATTCTGGTTTTGCCCTCACTCTGCGCGAGAAGCGGTCCGGCCATTTTGACGAGAGGCCTAGGAGGAGCTCATCCTTTGGCATTGACAAGCACCCGCCCCTGCACCGACCCAGCCTGCCATTCTTGAATGGCCACGGCACCAGTCTCTCCATCTCGGCCATCTCCATCGACTCGCAGTCCTCGTATGGCGGGTACGCTCCATCGAGCTATGCGCAGTCGACGATCGCGGCATCGACTGTCATGCCGAACATGACGGTGCAGGCCGTGCAGAACACCGAGACGACGGTGTGGGTCGAGGGACACTGCTTCGACTGGGACCACCTCGAGGCGTCGTCTGTGTGCACCGTCTGCGAAGACAAGTCCGAAGGGGATGGCCTTTACAAATGCAGGGGATGCAGCTGCCTGGCTCATAACCGCTGCTTGGGCGTCGTCTCGCTTGTCTGCCCAGCCGCATTCCACGCCGATCGCGTCCGGGCGGCCTTCGTACGATGCCAAGCGAGCCTTCTCTATACGTACAGGAAGCACCTAGGGCGCCCTACAAAGGAGCAAAAGGCCAACGGCCAAGTCCACGCCTTCGACATGGATGGATTCATCAGGGGTTCGCCCTATGATCAGCAAGAGTATGCCACAATGATGAGGGACACGCAGCGTAAGTGAACCCAGCACGACCTGGCAATGCGGAGTGGTAGTCATGCTTACGCGCCTCTCTAGTTTTCAACGAGTTCATCCACGAGCGTGAGAGACACGCCGCGTCTCACCCAACAATACGCCTGTTCGACGAGATAATCCTCGCCAAGAAAGGGCGTAAGAGGCCTGCCCTATCGTCCGGGTTCTCTCGCTTGTCGACCATCAGGGCGTCTCACGGAGCGTCGACTGGCTTCTCCGGGCCAGCCAAGCGAGCAAAGATACCCGGATATCTGAGCGATACCACGGAGCATATCTGGAGGACCGCTTCGGTTCCAGTACCCAGTGCCAAGTTCTCTGGCGATTACAAGGCCATAATCACCAGAGTTCCCGCGAAGCTTGACCCAGCACTGATGAAGGAGCCTCGGGCAATCCAGGGCGTCCCGAGACCCGAGCAAGGAAGAGTCCGCGGGTTGATTCGGAAGCAAGTCCCGAGCATGCTTGGGCCTCCGGCCCCAACTCCTTTTTAGTCGACAGCGTGACGCATCTTCATGTGCGTGTCATGTGCGCCAACCTTCAAGCTCACACGATTGCCATTGTAAATCGGCCATGAGGGACCTGTACGATATTGTTGTAATAGGGTGCATGGTGCATAGGGGGCGGTGGCATCCGAATCACAGCGTTTTCTGTTTTTCTAGAGCGAATTGGATTCTTGGACAAAATCATATATGGACAGTGTGGTCGGGCAGGTTGGAAGGCATTCTCCCACTACAGAGTTGCATTGGATCTGGAGGTGTTCCCTGATACCGCATGGGCGGCATTGTGTGGACTCGAGTTCGGTTTTGTTCCATAGCACCTAATAAGGGGTGAGGAAGGGGGGTTGTCTAATTGCTGTCGCTCTTTGTAGGATGACGAAACGATACCCGGAAAAGGGGACCCAGCAAATAACAACACCTGGGTATTGTAAATTCGTACAATTCTCATAGGCCTGGAAGTGCAATGCGTTGTGTGATCAAGCCTCCTGTTTCTAAACACGATCAAATTAGGTACAATACCTTCAGCCATTATTTTCCACACAAGGTAGTATAGACAACCTGGGGCGCCGAAGTACATTAAACTGCACTCCCTGACTGATACCTTACATATCCGTATCTGTAATTTCATTGCAATGATTGCAAGGGCGCTCCTTCTAGTTCATCATCTGGATCCGACCCCGTCAATTAGGGGGCAAGCTCCGGGGCCGGCGGACGCCCAAACCCGCGACCCGCTCGGTCCGTGTTCCCGGGCTCCTTCGCCTTCGGTTTCGGCTTCGGCATCTTCTCGTAGGCATTCGGACTCGGCTTCCGCCTCCTCCTCCGCCTCTTCGCGTCCCCGCGCCTCGATCGTCCGTCTCCGTGGTCATGGTCATGGTCGTGGTCGTGGTCATGGCAGTTGTGGGGGGGGCCATTCGCCCGCCCATTGCCAATGCCGCCGCCGTCGCCCACGGGCGCCTTCCGTGCTGCGGGGGAGTCGGAGTCGGAACCCGACGAGGAGCTCGAGTCGGAGGACGACTCGTCGCTGGATTCGTCGACCGCTTTGGGCCGGCGGTAGATGCAGCACACTGGAACGAGGGGGCGCAATCGGGTGATCTGTCAGCAAGGGGCAAGGTTTTCTAACTCAGCGGCCGCGACGCGGCCGGGGAACGCGCACCTTTCGACTTCTTCCTTCCTAGCCCTTCATTGTCGACCACGTCTTCTCGCCATTGGACGGACCTGCGATTCGGGTTGTGGGCGCCGCGTAGCCTGAGGATGGCTTGTGGCTGGATTTGAGCCCGGGTCTGGGCTTGGGTCTGGGTTTGGGTCTGGGTTTGGCTTGGGCTCGCGGTCAATTGCCTAGGCGCTATTGAGGCCATGCTTCATGAGTTGGCGAGTGCCGGTATCTTGAGATGGGAAAATACGATTCAGGGAGTTGGAAGTTGAGAGTGGCTCGAGAGGTACTTGTTGCGATGCGGTAATCCATGAGGTGATGGCCATTCGGGCCTCGACCTCGTCCTTGGCTTCCGTCCCTTCAGGCCCTGCTTTGTCAGGTGGGGCAGAATTGCCAAGCATGATGACGTTCTGAAATGCCGGGGGTGCCCCACCCCACCAGTAGCCGCACTGGAGAAGTGACTGGATTGTGGACATGGATTGACAAGCGAATCACTGGTAAGCATTTGCTGCAGATCTTCGGCAAGCCACACCTTGAAGTGCTAAGTGTAGGTACCTATTAACGACTTGAGATAGACATATGATTCACATCTAGAGGTAGTTCAGATTACCTTTCCTCAGCATCCACCTCTACTGCGGTAGATAGGTGCCTGTTGCTCTCTTGGCCTCAACCTCAAACCTGTGAACCCTGCTTTACTCCTCGACCTTTGTGTGAAATGTGAATGAATGTGAGCTGAAAATCAAATGTGAGCTGGAGTCACTAGGAATATGATGCTTGCTTGATCTGGCCCAGGTAGGTAAGTACAGTACCTATGTATAACTAGGTAGATCCTGTCATGGCTATCACAATACTCCTTGGGCATTGGAGACTAGGTAGGTAAGTAGAGGTTCCATCGCTTGAGTGACGTCAAGCCAGCATGAAAGGTTGCACGATAGGCGAGCCCAAATGCTGCCAAACAACAAACAAACAAACAAAACATCTGATTGCAGTCTCAGGAGCCGCGTTGGTATCAACTTGAGGAAGGAGCGCCGTCCTTAACAGACCCACCTGCTATTTCTCCCCGTGCATCCTACCTACCAGAAAGACGTACTTACTGCCACTTGCCTGCTCACTTTGGTACCTGGTATTTGCCTGGCCCAATACCATTTTGTTAGGGGTGATCACTCTACATTTCCGAAACGGCAGGAACCAGTCAGTGAAACCACGCATTGCATTGGCCATGGCGGAAAAGCAGCAACCATCCCAGGATCCTGGGGATCCCTCTCCAGGAACACAGAACTCAGCATTGCCAACACCGGACAGCCAGACTGACATGCCGCCTGGAGGATCTAAACGACCTCACACCCCGAGGAGGGAGGCCGATCTCAGCAGTCTGCTGAGCAGTGGTGAGAAGGCTGAGCTTCTGTTGCTTATCTCCAAGATCACAGAGAAAATGCAACGCCAGATCATTCAGGTCTTTGAGTCCAGTGGCGTTGGCGATCCTAAGAAACAGGCTCCTCCCAACTTCTGGAACAAGCTCCCTGCCAAGTTGAGGGACCTCAGCTTGCAGCATGCCGACAAGGAAAATCAGAAACCAGGCTCATCCAAACAAGGCCAGGGCAACGAGAAAGAAGCCGGTGCAAAGGAGCCTCTTGAAGATGAGGAAACAGAAGTTGTTGGCTTGCAGGAGCTCAAGAAGGAGATCCTGCATTTCTTCCGCCGATGGCAGGCATCTGTCCAGAGAAGGACTGCCGACATCTCAGTGTCAGCCAAGGGTGCCCCCAATGCCGCACAGAGAGGCCAGCAGTCCTCCTCCATGGGGAAGCGGCGTGGCACCGCCAAGGTCAAGCCTAAGCCATCCAGTACGCCAACCCCGAACCACTCCCCCAAGCTGCCCGAAATCACATGTACTGACAATTACCCAGATACACGTTCCACAGAGGTGGAGGCAGATGCAGCCCTGATCCACCTCCAACCCCCGACTCCCACCAGCCTGACCTCGCTTCCCATGGAGAAGCGAGTTTTGCTTCTTCATTCGATGCTTCTTCTCTTGCTCTCGCTGGAGAACTACAGTGCGTATTCGCGCGTGCTTCTGCTCAACATAGCATCGTCACTGCACATCCCGCTCCATATTCTGGCTGAAGATGAGGTCCGAGTAGCAAAGAGCCTGTCTCAGGTTACCAAGGAAATCTCAGGCGATGAAGAGATCCAGAAGCGGAATGAGGAGAACAAGACGGCGAGAAGGTGGAAGGTGGGCCTGGCAAGTGTCGCTGGGGCAGCTGTAATCGGTATCACCGGGGGCCTTGCAGCACCTCTCGTGGCTGCTGGAATCGGGACCGTCCTTGGTGGGATTGGGCTTGGTAGCACGGCAGCTGCAGGCCTACTGGGTGCCATGGCAGAGAGCAGCTTCGTTGTCGGCACCTTGTTTGGAATATACGGTGCCAAAGCCTCCGCCAAGATGGTAGACCAGTATACCAAGGACATCCAGGACTTCGCCTTCTTGCCATTGCATGGAGCCATTCGCAGCGAATACAGGGACGGAAAGGATGTCGCCCCTGACGACCGCAGACTGAGAGTTGTGCTCGGCATCGGCGGCTGGCTTGTACAGAAAGAAGATGTTGTCAACCCGTGGAGATCACTCGGCCATCAGAGCGAGGTGTACGCCCTGAGATGGGAGCTCGAGGCATTGATGAAGATGGGAAACTCCCTTGAAACGGTGGTCAAGAGCGCCGCATGGTCTTTGGCGAAGAAGGAGATTATTGCCCGAACGAGTAAGCGAGCGTTTCAGCCCCAACAACTCGCCAGCCCCTTCAGAGTGCTAACACTGGATGTCCTTGATAGTTTTCTCTAGCCTTCTCGATGCCCTCTGGCCCATCGGGCTCCTCAAGATCAGCAAGATCATCGACAACCCCTGGAGTGTGGGGATGGTCCGCGCCGATAAGGCCGGTGCCGTGCTCGCGGATGCCATCATAAACAAGGTTCAGGGCGAGCGTGGAATCACGCTCATTGGATACAGCCTCGGGGCGCGCATGATTTACACGTGCCTGATGTCTTTGGCCGAGAAGAGGGCGTTTGGTCTTGTCGAGAACGTGGTCATGATGGGCACCCCCGCCCCCTCGGATGCCCATGTCTGGTGCGCCCTGCGAAGCGTCGTTGCCGGTCGACTGGTCAACGTCTATTCCGAGAGCGACTACATTCTCGGGTTCTTGTACCGGACCAGCAGCGTCCAGTATGGAGTTGCGGGGTTGCAGCGGATCCAGGGGACGGACGGTGTCGAAAATGTGGATGTGTCTGATAAGGTCAGCGGCCACCTGAGATACCAGTACCTCGTGGGGAGCATCCTCAAGCACATTGGCTGGGAAGACGTCGACCTGGATCAAGTCGCGAAAGACGAGGAGACACTGATGCTCATGGAGGCGAAGAGCCGCGAGCGTGAGAGGAACCGAGAGGCCGTCGAACTCGACACGGAAGCCACGCAGCTGGAGAAGGAAGTTCAGGAAAAGAATGATCATAACCACCTCCGCGGTCAGACGAAGAAGCCGGCCAAGAATTAGGTGTCGAGGAAGGCTCGCCGGGCGAGAGGTGGTGGTTATGGTGGTTCATCACGGATGTAGATTATTCGGGACGACTGCGCCCAAGGATGGAGTAGTAGAAGGATTACGCGCGGATGTGAACTTAAGTCATCGGACTGGACGGAGAACAGCAAGAGAGAGAGTGTAAATCACTCATGTATCTTAATGATAGCTCTAGACTGTTGGACCTTGAGATCCATCACCCCGATTCGAGGGGGGAACCCTAACTTAGAGATATCAGATCAGGTATCCACCTCACCTCGTTAAGCACCCGGAGCCAGCCCAGCTTGGAAGGTCTGCTGCATAAGGCTCACAGAACGTGCTTGTAGAACGTATGTGGCAGGAAAAGGGTGGCCACCTCCCCTACTGTTCTCGAACGCGCGCGCATCGAGGGAGGTTGGCGTTGTTCCCCGTCTGTGTGTATGCATGCATGTCTAACTCTCTTGTATAGACAAGTGCCCAGTATACCGCCCATTGTAGGCATCACGTCTGCGCCTTGGCACTCCGGACAACGAAATACCGGCCAGCCTTATGCGATGCGGTCTGGAGGGGATCCCAATCCTTGACGCCGCCGGCAGTGTGGTGGTGGTGGTGGCGGTGGTCGTCGTCGTCGTGCGCATCCTTCTTCTTCTGTTGCCGCTGCCGCCGGGGCCGCCGGGCGCGTCCGACGGCGACCTCCTCGGACAGGGCCCCGCGCAGCTGCTCGACGCCGACGGTGGCCTCGGCGAGGCCCTCGCGCGTCTCGTCGCGTATTGACGTCAGCGGCGCGACGCCCTCGGCGGCGTCGACGGCCTGGACGTCGCGCACGAAGCGCAGCTGCGACTGCAGGACCGCGATCATCCGGGCCTCCTCCGAGGCGGAGGCGGGCGGCGGAAGGGCTGAGAGCCGGAGGAGGTGGCGCAGCTGGGTTGGGGTTATGTGGGATTCTTGGCTGATAGCATCCTCGTCGTTCTGCGGTAGGAGGGATCGGACGGACCAGGTCGGGCGCGAGAGGATCGTTGTCGGATCGGGCTGGGGTGAGGAGCCCGTGGAGGCGGAGGAGTAATGGAGCACCGCCGGAACGCTTGGTATTGTCCGGACTGCCCGGCTTCGGATCAGCCGGGCTCGGGCGAGGGCCGAGAGGGCATGGAATCCGGGGGAACTCATTCCGGGGAGAGACGTTGCTGAGGTAGGGAGGTACCTAGGTAGCGTCTAATGTTCATTTTCCGAGCCAGATGTTGATAGGTGGTCAGTGCGCCGCCAAGGTTGCGGCGGCGGCGGCGGCGGCGGCGGCGTCATCTCCAACACCCCGCCAAAGCTGCCTGAAGCAATGCACGCGGTCCTGCGACACTGAAAACCACCTTCAACGCCCCAAACCTACATCGAATTTGACGGCTCTACCCAGTTTCTCCTATTATACAGGCAGGCATCATGGCTCAAGATCCTCGTGCCCTCCTCCAAAAGGTTGGGCTAGGAACCGTAACCCCACCATGACTGTTGTAGCTTTGCTGAGCATCGAGAATACAGGCAGACAAGGCTATACAAAGCGCGTCCGGAGGCTTTGGCTTCTTCGGCGGCCGGGAGGACAAGTACCAAAATGCCGCCGACCTTTACATGCAGGCGGCGAACGCCTTCAAGATGGCCCAGCAAAGCAAGTTGCCCTCCTGGGGCGAATCTGGCTTTCATGGCTGGACATGCACTGACAAGTGGTACTAGACAGGGAAGCCGGCCAGGCGTTCGAGAAAGCCGCCCAGATCCAGACCAGCAAGCTGAACGAGGCCGATGACGCGGCGAACACACTCGTGGATGCCTTCAAGGTCTATAAGAAAGAGTACCCCGAAGATGCCATCCGATGTGTAGAGATCGCCATCACCCAGTACTGCAAGAAGGGCAACTTCCGGAGGGCGGCTTCGCATAAGGAGAGCTTGGGCGAGGTCTTCGAGACCCAGATCAATGACATGAAGCGAGCTATAGAAAACTACGAGACTGCGGCGGGGTGGTATGAAGCCGACAATGCTCCTGCGTACGTGGCCTCTTTCCTTTGCACCGACGACCGACTCCCTATGGAAGCGGGGGCCCATGGCTGACTTGGAATGAATGCAGTCTAGCAAACAAACTCTTCCTCAAGGTGGCAGACATCGCTGCGCTCGAGGCTGATTACTACAAGGCGATCGAGCAGTACGAGAAGGTGGCCCAGCAATCCATCAACAACAACTTGATGAAGTACTCGGTCAAGGACTACTTCCTGAAGGCAGGTGTGTGTCACATGGCCACCAAGGACCTGGTCGCCACGCAACGAGCCCTCGAAAAGTACCGCGAGTTGGATCCGACTTTCGCAAGCCAGCGGGAGCATCAACTCCTGGTGGACCTGTCCCAAGCCCTCGAGGCGGGCGATCAGGAAATGTTCACGGACAAACTCTTTGCGTATGACCAGATGAGCAGGTTGGACAAGTGGAAGACAGCCATTCTTTTGCGAGTCAAGAACCAGATTGAGGAGGCCGACAACGAGTTCTCTTAAGTTGATGGATAGATATATCATGGCTGAGGTGGCGGGAACGGGAGGCAGTTCCCAGTTATCAGGCGTTCGGGCATTCAGAGACTGGCCAGAGTTGTCAGCATACATGCGCCCCTCTATAGTGGTATTGCGAATGATGCCCTTTAAGTATCAACAGCATGCGCCATCTCTTGTGCTTCGCATCTACAGAAGGTAGACAGTGTCCAGGGTTAGGGTTGTGCTAGGCAAACCATCGACCCTTATCGCCTGCCTGCGGGGTGATAAGGATTTTCATGGGCAGAAAAAAAAAAAAAGTTGAATGAAACCACTGGCCTGGTTTATTGCAGGTGCATCAATCCAAGCATCGCAAGACTGGTGACTTGATCCCACGGTCAACCGCAAAGATGCCGTCCGTCCCACTTGCTGAAAAGCTTGATAAGATTCGGTCACCAAATCTGCAGAGCCAGCAGCAGGTAAGAAGAATATACCACGGCCTCCCTCATGTTAGTCCGTTCATTGTTGCTCATGTTCTGGGATTTTGCAGACCGCCGTTGTGCTCGCCGCAGTCGAGTCGACTTTAAAGGACCAGAATACGGAGGCAACCCCGACAGCCTACTTCGCGGCCCTGCTAGCCCTGCTCAGCCAGGCCACCTCCGACGACGCCCAGAACAAGGCTCTTCCCACGTCGGTCGTCTACCTTCTCGATATTGTTACGCCTTTTGCCCCCCACCCACTCCTCCGCGCCAAGTTCACCCAGATCCTAAGTCTTCTGGCTCCGGTGATCTCACACCCCGAGGCAGATGCGCCCACAGTTCGACCATCGATAGGATGTCTAGAATCCTTACTCATTGCCCAGGACTCGGCAGCATGGGAGCTGTCAACTGCTCAGATTGGTCCTCGCCGGGCCATTGCGGCTCTTCTAACCTTGGCATTGGACCATCGGCCGAAGGTGCGGAAAAGGGCGCAGGATGCCTTGAAGAGCGTCCTCAAGGCGCCGCCGCCAAGCCCGTCCCTTGATCACCCGGCTGCGGGTATGTGCGCCGAGACCGCTATGAAGAGCCTGGCGGACCTGGCGGAACAAGGAGTCCGGATGAAGAAGGAGAAGAAGGGTGTCGAATCCGTCAACAGCCCCGACCTCATACACGCCCTCCAGTTGGTCAAGACCATTGCTTCTGCCAGTGGGGGGTGGCCTAGCAAGAAGATCGAAGATCTCTGCGAGCTTCTGCTCGGAATCGCAAGGACCGGGAACGAGCACATGACCATGGCCGTCTTCGACATATTCGATATGATATTCGAGGGCATGGCAGATGAGATTGCCTCCTCAAAGCTCCCACGGCTCCTGGAAATCATCTCGGAACTTCGCCCGGCGGCGAATGACACACAGCTGCTCCCCCCGTGGATCGCAATCCTCTCTAGGGGATATGATGTCTTTGCTCAGATAGAGCCGGAAGAAACGTTCCAACAGCTACCGGACCTCTTCGTCCTGGTCTCGGAGTTCATGGAGTCACATTCGAAGAATATCCGCATCTCGGCGTCTGAGTGCATGATTTCCTTCGCAGCAAACTGTATACCAGCGCAAGTCATACTCGAGCCGTCTATATATGACGAGAAGATCCTGGAGAAACTTGCAAAAGTTCTCGAGGGCCTGCTCACGGTTAAATACCAGTCCGCGTGGGAGGAGACTTTCAACGTCATAGGAGCCATGTTTGATTCTCTGCGATGGAGAGCCTACCCATACCTTTCGGTTGTGACGGGTACTATCGGAGAGATGCGAGGGAATGACGCCTTCGCTGGCAAGAAGGAGGCCGATGTTGTCCTTGGGAAGGCCGTTCGGGCTATGGGGCCGGAGGCGGTTCTGAATGTCTTGCCTCTGAATCTCGCCAAGCCGGTCAAAGGCCAGCCCGGTCGAGCTTGGATGCTGCCGCTCCTTCGCGACTATACAGCCAACACGCGTCTCGCCCACTTCAAAACCGAGCTTGTGCCGCTTAGCGAGATCATGTTCCAGCGAGTCCTTGATCACGGAGAGGCGCCCAAGACGATGGAGGTCAAAATCTACGAGACGGTCGTCCAGCAAATCTGGTCTATTCTCCCCGGATACTGCGACTTGCCCCTTGATTTGACCGAGGCTTTTGACCAGGGCTTTGCCGAGATGCTTGCGAATCTTCTGTACCAGCAAGTAGACCTGCGACTGGATGTCTGCCGTGCCCTCAAGGCGCTCGTCGAGTCCAACCAGGCCATTGCTTCCATCGACGAAGAGGAGGACCTAATTCTACAAAGCAGGGTGACGAAGGCCGATGCGCAAAAGAACCTCGACTATCTCGGTACTTTCTCTGGCAACTTCCTTGCCGTGCTCTTCAATGTCTATGGGGCCACGATGCCACAAAGCCGGGGCCCGATTCTGCAGACGATCAACGCCTACTTGAGCGTCACGCCGCCCAAGGAGTTGATGGAAACGTTCGATCGGGTCTGCAAGATGTTTGCCTCAGCCTTGCAAGAAGAGACTCCCAAAAAACAGGGAGAGAAGCCCGAACAATCGGCTTCGCAGACGCCATCTACCACCCATACCTTGATGGACCTCGTCATCACCATGGCCATCTACCTTCCTCGGGACAGCTTTGGAACCCTCTTTGAAATCGCCACGTTGGTGATCTTCAAAGACGATGACCCCCAGCTACAAAAGAAGGCATACAAGCTCATACCGCGGCTGGCTGACTCACCAACGGGGAAAGCTGCTCTGGAAGAGAGGCACGAAGAACTTCAGGCCCTTCTCGTAACCAGTGCTGAGAAAGTTTCTGCACCGGCGAGGAGGGAGCGGCTTGCGGCAATCTCTGCTTTCTTACCTCTCCTCCCAAATACTTCATTGCACTTCATCCCGTCCATCCTGTCCGAGGTTGTCATAAGCTGCAAGGAGCAGAACGAGCGAGCGAGGTCGATGGCGTTCGACCTCCTCGTTCAAATGGGTGAAAAGATGGCCGCCGCCGATGGCGCCATGATCGACAATAGCAAAGCCCCCCATATGCCCAAGGACGCACCCGCAGCCGCGGCAACGATCGAAGAGTATGTCACCATGGTCAGCGCCGGTCTTGCGGGGAGCACTCCGCATATGATATCCGCCTCCATTACAGCCATCACCCGGATCCTCTACGAGTTCCGGGAGTCGCTGAGCACTTCCACCCTGGCAGATCTGGTGCAGACCATGGACCTCTTCCTGACGTCGAACAATCGAGAGATTGTGAAGAGCGTGTTAGGCTTCGTCAAGGTCTGCGTCATCAGCTTGCCGACCGAGATGGTCCAGCCGCGCCTCGTCAGCCTTATCCCCAACCTCATGATTTGGAGCCACGAGCACAAGGGGCACTTCCGAGCAAAAGTCAAGCACATCCTCGAGCGCATGGTCCGCCGGTTCGGCTTCGAAGCCGTAAATACCAACTGCCCGGAGCCGGACAGGAAGCTCATCAACAACATCCGCAAGACAAAGGAGCGGGCAAAGAAGCGGAAGGGTGCCGCCAAGGACGAGGACGGCGAGGACAGCGGCGAGGGCGGCGAGGAGGGGCCCTCGCGCCGGGCTGGCCGGTTCGAGAGCGAGTACGACCAGGCCCTCTACAGCAGCGACGACTCGGAGGCGGAGGCGGCGGACTCGGACGACGAAGTCATCGGCCGGGCGAAGAGGCCCGCGGCCGGGCGCAAGGGCGGGAACACGTACATCGTCGAGGATGACAACGAGCCGCTCGATCTGCTGGACCGCAAGGCGCTCGCCAGCATCTCGTCGACCAAGCCGGTCAAGCTCAGGCGCGCCGGGCGGTCCAAGGCCAAGACGGACGTCGACGGCCGGCTGATCCTGGGCGGCCAGAATGGCGACGACGGAGGGGCCATGGATATCGACGCCGAGGGGGGAGAGGAGACGGGCGTCGGCGCCTATGTCGCGGCCCTCAAGGGCAAGGACGCGCCGAAGAAGGGCCTGCGCGGCAAGCTCAAGTGGTCCAACAAGAAGAGCCGAGACGACGACGATGACGACGAGGACGACGGCGACGAGATGGAGGTGGATTCCGGTGCTGCCGCCTACAGGGCTAGGCCTGGCCACGGCAATCGCGGGGGCCCCGTGTCTCGGGGCAGGGGTATGGCCCGCGGCCGCGGGGGGACGCGGGCCGGCCGGGGCGGGATCGCTTCGGGGAGGAGGGGCCTGGGAGAGGACAAGCGGTCGGGCCCGCCGATGAATGGCCGGGTGGGCAAGCCTAGAGCGGGAGGCAGGGGAGGAAGTCGGGGAGGAAGCAGAGGGTCGAGCAGAGGAGGAGGCAGGGGAGATAGTAGGGGAGGAGGCCAAAGGGGCAGGGGAGGGAGGAGATGAGAGAGCCTTCGTAAAGGCTTGGGTGTGCCAGTTGTGGCTTCTAGTTGACCGGATCTGATGGTTTGCTTGTGCAATACCCACAGGACGTGAGATGCTTTTCTTTGCCAAGAGGCTATTTTGCTCTTACCGCGTAGAGGTACTCGGAGTCGTTTGATATATATTTCTGAACTTGGTTCTCCCATAAACTAGCCCCAAAGGCTGTCTTATTTACCGTGACAGGTGGTATCCAAATGTATACCCTCACCATGTCTTATACTACTCTCCGTCCCTATGAGTTGGCCCCTGATGATACCCATCCTTTCCTGGGGAACCTGGACCCACTGTCACGTGCTTCTGCAACACTATGAAATCTCGGAATTCCTGTCGGCTCTTCTCCCTCCCTTTCCCTTCTTCTCATTATGAAAGTTAACACCCCTCGCAATCGCAGAAATATCAGGCTCGGCTTCTCTTCAGATAGACTCCGAGTTGTATTAGCAGGGCAGAATATCATGGAGTTTACAAGAATTGTCTACTAGCAATGCCTCGCGCATGCCGTGAGTACACGATTCCGTTGAGCCCCGACATGTTCTCCCAGAGCCCTCTCTTGATGGTCATCTTCTTGATTATGGCGACCCTGGGCCGTAGAAGAGGTAATCGGCAGCCAGGACTGGCTCTTGAGCCAACTGTTTCGGTAGGTAGATCGTAAGTTGCCGGATTGCAGATGCATACCGGTCATCGAAGTTTGGGACGATCTCTTTGCGCACCGGGACAGGGATGGTGTTCTTTCTGCTTGCTGCAGGAGGAAGGAATTAGTGTGTATTGGATCAGAGCTGAGGTAGGTTGTGGGTTGTGTGCGTGCGGTTTGAGTTACTCGGGCTTTGCTTTGGCCTCGATACATGTTTCAAAACTCAGGTACCGCAAGGTATTGTATAAAAGCTGTCGACTCACTCACTCTTCTGCGTCACAATTTCAGCATATTCTTCGTTTATAGTTCGAGTGGCCCGCCCAGTGATGCCCAAACCATGCCATCTCAACAACAGAAGCTGTAAGTGGACAAGCCCTCTCCCATCACGTCGACGTCACGGCGACATGGAGGCTAGCGCATCTGTGCGTGACAAGTGTATTGGCGGCAACGTGTACAGCACCTGTCAGCCAGCCCAGTCAACAAATTCCCATGTTCTTCGCTTCCTAAGACATTGTGTACTCTGCCGTGTTGCATTTGAAGATCTCACTTATCGGGCCATATCTACCCTCGTCGATCTCCCTCGCAGAGGCACTCTGAACTCTCACAAATCCATTTTCGCTGGGACACCATCTTTCCCCAACAGGGCCAGACGCGAGTTCGTCACCCCAAGGACGGGGCAGGAAGTTCTGCCCTCCGCACGTGCTCTTCGTCCATGCTGCTCTTTACTCCTCTTCACCGATGAATTCTTCAGTTGACAGGCCCTCTAGGAAGAAGGTAGCCATTGTGGGCAGTGGTTGTTCTGGCATTGCCGCGCTCTGGGCACTAAACCGAAGCCATCACGATGTGTACCTTTATGAGGCTGCCGGACGTCTCGGTGGGCACACTAACACGGTTGAATGGAGGCGTGGCAAGTTCAGGACGATGGTTGACACTGGCTTTATCGTGATGAACACTGCTACATACCGTTAGTTGCCCACCTCCCCAATCGTGTTTACACCAGGTGTTAATCTTGTGGCAGCGAACTTCATAAACTTTCTTGACAAAGTGAGAGTGCAGACAGTGCCCACCCCGATGACGTTTGGTGTTTCACGAGACTATGGCAACTTCGAGTGGTCGGGGACCAGCTTGGACGCGCTCTTCTGCCAGCGGAAGAACCTGCTCTCCCCGAGAACGTGGCGCATGATCTTTGATATCATTCGTTTCAACCAGTTCGCCCTTGATCTTCTGATAGCGGACGATCCCGAAGCTACTTCTCCGGCCAGTGGCAGTGGCAGGAGGTCTGTAGACGTCGAGGAGACGATCGGGCAGTATCTGGATAGAGAGCGTTATTCAGACGCCTTCCGGGACGACTATCTTATTCCCATGACAGCTGCTGTGTGGAGCACCAGCCCGGACAAGTGCTCCTTGGAGTTTCCGGCCGTGACACTGGTCCGCTTCCTGTAAGCCTGCTAGCCCCAATCAACGCTCTCCCTTCTGCTAACCGCTGGACTGGACAGCTGGAACCACCACCTCCTATCAACGATCAGCGACAGGCCAGAGTGGCTCACGATCCCAGATGGGGCAAAGTCCTATATTGACGTTGTCATGAGGGGCTTTCCATCCAACCACCTCTTTCTTAATACCGCTGTCCGATCGGTGACCAACGACAAAGATGGCCGTGTTCGGTTACACCTCGACAACGGCAAGTCCGATGTATATGATCACGTCATATTGGCCACCCATGGGGACCAGGCATATTCCATTATCCGTGGATCGGCCACAGAAGAGGAGAAGGCCATCATGTCCTGCTTCCACACGTCGCAAAATTCCGCCGTCTTGCACTCAGACCTGTCTCTAATGCCTCTGTCACGCAAGGCATGGTCGAGCTGGAACTACCTGACGCGCTCGTCTCCGTGGACCGGCAGGGACGACGTAGCCCAGGTCTCGTTGACGTATAACATGAACATCTTACAGCACATCCCGCGCGAGACATTTGGCGATGTTCTTGTCACACTGAATCCCCTCCACGAGCCGGATCCCAGCACCGTCCAGGGCAGGTACAACTACGCGCATCCCCTCTACAATGCCGCAGCAATCAGGGCGCAGCAGCTGTTGCCACGGATCCAGAACAAGCGCGGCATCAGCTACGCGGGGGCCTGGACAAAATACGGCTTCCATGAAGACGGCTTTAGCAGCGGTCTTTTCGTGGCGCAAGAACATCTCGGCACGAAGCTACCTTTCCGTTTCAAGGACTCAACATTCAGCCGGGGACAGAAACCAGAACTGGGGTTTGTGGACTTGATCCTACGACTATTTATCGTGATTGTCCAGTTGTTCGTGATTGATGTCGTCGATCGTGTTGTCGGGAGTATGCGCGGGAAGGGGAGTCGCCGGCATCATATAAATGGTCTGAGTGGAGTTGTGGGCCACGGACTTGCGAAGGGTGGGAAATCGGGTTGATTCTTCCAAGCATAATACTTCCATGTTACCTAGATCGAATGTAACAAGTAAAGTCGCATCTGCCATGCATGGATCATCCCTTTGCCATGTTTTTTGGAGGAAGGGTGGGTTTTCTCAGTACCTGAATTATCAACGTGATCAATTGTACTGTACTGTAATCCGTAGCCCTTGGCCTGGCCTGCCTTGCCTGCCTGCGCGCCCAGCTGCCACCCAGCTGCCACCGGCAACCAGCAAGGGACTTCTTAAAAGATTCCAGACATCAGCCCATGAACAATCCCACTTTCGCCCCGCACAGTCGACAGACCACGAGCATCCTCAGCTAATACAGCCATGAATCCCATACGGCGGCCGGCCTGGCAGATATTCGAGAAGGCATTGGCACGGCCATGCCTCGTCTGCCAGCGCGCGAGAGCTCAATGGCACCACAGGCCTGACCCCAGAAGCTTCCGCCCTATTTCTGGGAGCTCTAGCAGCAGACAGAAGGGGAAGATGAGTCCAAGCATGGAGCATGCGCGCGCCGTGTACGGCAAGAGGAATCGCACGACCATGTACGTGCTATGGGAAACTCCCGTAATCGGCGCCACTCTGACCTTCGAAATGTGCCCAGGTTCTATGCCCTCAGCATCATTCTCGGCACCGTCGCCCTCTCGTACGGCTCGGTGCCCCTGTATAAGATGGTGAGGGAGATGTCTACCGTCCTTGCTTAAAATTCCCACAAAACTAACACTGTCCCCGCGTTACAGATCTGCCAAACCACCGGATGGGGCGGCCAGCCCGTGCGAGCGCCCAACCACGGAGGAGGCGGGGAAGACGACCTCGCGAAGCGACTGGAACCGGTTAAGGACGCCAAGAGGATACGGGTTACGTTCAACGCCTCGGTCTCGGACGTCCTGCCGTGGAAGTTCGTCCCGCAGCAGCGGGAGGTGAGGGTGTTGCCGGGTGAGACGGCGCTGGCCTTCTACACGGCGACGAACAAGAGCGAGTCGGACATCATCGGCGTCGCTACGTACAGCGTGACGCCCGCGCAGCTGGCGCCGTACTTCAGCAAGATCCAGTGCTTCTGCTTCGAGGAGCAGAGGCTGAACGCGGGGGAGACGGTCGACATGCCCGTCTTCTTCTACCTGGACCCCGACATGCTGAACGATCTGAACACGAGGGGCATTGAGACGGTGACCCTGTCGTACACCTTTTTCAGTAAGCCCTCCTGCCCCGTGGAGTGCCTGGAGTCCTATACTGACCATTCGTGATAGAGGCGAAATATGACAACAACGGGAAGCTGAAGGGGTTCATCCCGCCGACCTGAGCTGGTTCTAGATCACTTTCATGTACCAATATCCTGGTTGACGCCACTCTACAACTTAATCTCTGATACTCCTTGTACGATTGCATCTGCATTCACGGCGAATCTCTCGAAATACCATTCCTGAATCTGGGACGGGCTGGCCTTCGCGCCCAGCACGTTGTATAAGGGTTGCTCTATAGAGGCTTACTGTACATCACTATATAGACGTAGATCTAGAAATCTTGGTTGGCATTACTCGATAGTGCCGGTCTGCTAAGTTTCCCCGGTATTCGATATACCCGCCAGGTCAGCTTGAGTAGCTCCCCAGGGCCGAGCTGGAACCTTGTGTGAGCTTGCCTAGCATTGGATAGTTATTTTCGTATCTTGGTACTTGTTATGCATGGTCAAGAGTCTCTCAGTGAACACATGCCCACTCTTCAGTGCTCGTGTGGGGGTCACTCAAGCCACATCACCCCACGTCATTGTTGGTGGGTAAGTTGCCGCGAACTCGTGATCCCTGCACCTGCACACTGCACGTGTCCCAGGATAGCTTCCCATCTCGCAACTGCTGCTCCTGCTCCGGCTGCTATCCCAGCTACCAGCTAACGCAGTGTGTAATCAAGCTTAGATTTCTCTTTCAACCCTGGGACCGGTTCCGCGCTGGGAGCTTCTGACTCCAACTCTGCTTTCCTCGGCCCGAAATGTTGGCGCATTTGCGAACCGATCGGTAGCATGAAAGCCGTCCTGCCAGGAAAGCCCGAGTCCAGGCCCCAGGCTCTCTCCACAGGCTACTGGGACTCCAGGCGTATCACCGTGAGCTGGAAATCCTCGAAATCCTCTTCTTCAAGTACCGCTAGCTGTACTGACACATCCTCTTCTCGCCCAGACCTACATAACCGGCAATGCCTTCGCTATCCTCTCCGACCCCGACATCCTGATCCAGACCGTCTACGACGACGACAACGAACAGCCATTGGAAGCTATTGCGCTCGATGAGACTTCGGGGGAAATCGCAGTTGCCACCAGGAATTCCGTCCGAATTTACCGGCCATTTGGCCTTGAGGAAGACGCCTTGAAGGTAGGGGTTCCGGACCTGGCTGCGCGACGCCGACAGCGCTGACATATACATAGTGGGCTCTTCAGTCAACCTTTGCCCTCCATCATGAGGCTGGAGATTTCGATCCCTCCTATTCCGCATCCCTCTCTTGGGGAAGATCGGAAGAGCTTCTTGTTGGCTACTCCTCCCTCGAGCTCTACCAAACAACCTCCACACCTGCCTGCTCGTGGCGGAAGCGCCTCGCGAACCCCGTGAAGCTAGCTGCCCTATCTTACGACTCGGCTTACATTGCGTCCGTCGGCCATTACGACTGCCTAGTCAAGGTCTGGCGCCGGCTCACCTACGGTGCCGATGGTGTGCGGTTCGACTTCGCCTACCTCGCGCATCCCCAGCCCGTCACCCAGCTCCAATGGCGGAGACCTTACCACGTCGGTCAAACGGTCGAAAACGTCCTTTACACATTCTGCGCCGATAATACGCTCCGCATCTGGACCGGATCAGACAGCCACGGCCAACAGCATGTACAGTTATGGGGCACGGTCGACCTAGCGGCTTCAATCCAGAATAGCTCCCTCAGCTCTAGAAGGTCGCGTCTTCGCTGGAGTCTGATGTTGCATGGTCGAGATTTCGCTGCTGCCGTCGAAAGCGCCGTCCTCGAAGGAGAGCCGTCGTCAGAAAACGGCCAGTCTGCCCTGCGGCACCTCATTGATGTCGCAAACAGAAGCCCTGAAGTTTGTCTCGTCTTCGACGGGCGTGGACGAATGTCCGCTTGGGGATTCGAAAATGTCGGGTCCAAGTCGTATGGTTCGGCCAAAATCTTCAACATCAGCCATGTGACATCCAGGGACTTTGATTTCATACAAGGGCTCCCTGATAATTCAGTTCCTCATGTGGAGGCCTACGCTTACTGCAGTAAGCCAGGCGGGCAGTTGCGCCTCCTCATGCATTGCTTTGATGGCAAAGTAGAGGTCTACCAGAGCGACATCGCCCGTTTTCTGGATGTCGACCCGAAAGTGAACCACCTGTCACTCCGGTGCATCTGGTCGGGGCACTCGGCTCCCGTGAGAAAGATGAATCGAAACTACAGCGGCCGGGCTATCGTGTCCAGGACTGCGGACGGTGAGAGCATCGTCTGGAAGCATACTCTAAACAGCAAGCAACCGGCACTCTCCCGCCAAACCCTGATTCCCGAGGCCGGACATGTCCACCGGATATGTGTGTTCAGAAAAGGCCGCTTCGTCGTCTTCCTCTATCATGACAGGGTCTGCTTGTGGCATTGTCACGAATTCACACCCAAGCTCGTGGCCCAGTGCCAGTATACTGTCACCGGGAAGCCCCTGTGTCTACTCATTCTCCCTCGAGAGAAGGCGGAGGACTACACTACGGCTCACGTTGCCACCATCACTTCGGAGAAGCATGGGATTGTCTGGGAGGTGAAGCTCCCCCCCTTCTTGCCGGATGACGGCGCTCTCCCTGTGACCAACGGACCCCAAGCTGCTCCGAGCATTAGCGAATTCTTCAGGTTTGACTTGGGAGAGGATGGCAATCTCGCCTACGTATTACCGGTTGACCCGGCAGGGTCTCCATCCATCATCTCCGGATTCTTGGACGTGTTCGCTCGAGACGTGGCGATATCGTACACGCATTCGGGCAAGGTCCAGTTCTGGACCGCACGGGTCGACCAGAGCCGGAACCGTGTGGAGTGGTTGTCGACCAGCTCGATGGAGACGGGCCTGTCGGAACCAGCTCTGGTCAGTGGGAGCACAAGGAAGAAGGCGGCGCTGGTGAACTCGAGCCGTACGGCGGTGACCATTTGGGATATCCGTGGCGCGCGGCTGGAGTATTCGCAGGATTTCGAGAGTCATAATACCATCCAGGATCTCGACTGGACGTCAACCCCCGACTCGCAGTCAATTCTTGCCGTGGGGTTCCCGTATCGGGTTCTACTTCTCTCCCAGATGCGCTTCGACTATCTCAACAAGGGTCCCGCATGGGCACCGATCAGGGAGATCAATATCCGCGACTTTACACCACATCCCATTGGGGACTCTACGTGGCTCGGCGATGGGCACCTTGTCATCGGTGCTGGCAACCAACTCTACGCCTACGATAGGCAATTCGACGTCTCAAGCTCCCTCGTCACCAGCCTCCGATTACCCCATCGAAAGGACGGCATGTGGGACTTGTTCGACGTCGTCCAGCGCCTCAATGGCCCGCTACCCGTCTTCCACCCCCAGTTCCTCAGCCAGTGCATGCTGTCCGGCAAGATCGACTTGGTGCATTCCATCCTGATGGCACTGCACAAGACGCTCAAGTTCTGGATTGAAGGCGAGACCATCGACGACTATCTCGGAATGGATTTGGAGCGGTTCTATGCTGGAAGCGGCGTAAGTAGCAATCGTGTCACTCCCGAAGTAGCTCCGCTAACATTATCAAGTCGACGGCGGGTGGTTCCGCGCGGCGCGATTTGGGCTCGCACTTCAACCGCCGCATGTCCTACGACGACGGCGAAGAGACGTTCACCGAGGAGATAGCGCTGCTAATCAACGAGAAGTTGACCAAGGTAGGACTCCCGCAGCTATCGGGCCACGAGCAGATCCAGCTGGTGGATATCGTCGAGTGCGTCGGGCTGGTCGAGAAGCAGAGGCGGTCCCTGGATGAGAACGGGGCTCGCTTCATGCTCTTCTTCCGCCAGCACGCGCTGCGCAGGCGGCGGACCAACGAGATCCACATGTCGTGGAGAGAGATCAACTGGGCCTACCATTCCACAAGCCAGGATATCCTGGTCGACTTTGTGTCGCGGCAGCACCAAGGGACTCTCCTGTGGGAGCATGCCAGAGAGAGCGGCATGTTCATGTGGCTAACAGATAACACTGCCGTCGTAAGTTTGAGCCATCCATCCCGAGAAGCCTAGGAATATGGGAACTCCGTTGACGAGCCGCCTGTTCGCAGAGAACGCAATTCGAAATCATTGCGCGCAACGAATACACGCGGAGCGAGGTCAAGAACCCCATTGACTGCAGCCTCTTCTACCTGGCGCTGAAGAAGAAGGCTGTGCTTCAGGGTCTGTGGCGCATGGCGAGTTGGAATCGCGAACAGAAAGCTACTCAAAAGCTCCTGGCCAACAACTTCGACGACCCCAAGTGGAAGACCACGGCGCTCAAGAATGCATACGCCCTAATGAGCAAGCGGAGATTTGGTTAGTTTTTCCGTGTCTGGGGAAGTGCCTACCCAGTTGTTGTTGCTAACCCCCGGGGCTACAGAGTATGCGGCTGCCTTTTTTCTCCTCGCCGACCATCTGCAAGACGCCGTCAATGTTTGCCTCAATCAACTGAAGGATCTCCAGCTAGCCATCGCCGTGGCTCGTGTCTACGAGGGCGATCAGGGTCCTGTGCTGAGACGGCTGCTAGAAAACGAAGTCCTCGTTATTGCAGCCCAGGAAGGCAATAGATGGCTGGCCTCTTGGGCTTTCTGGATGCTGCACAGGAGGGACATGGCAGTCCGTGCCCTAGTGGTAAGCGTGCACATCATCATCACATTTACCGTGACGGGGCGGTTTGTGGCATTGAGCTGACGTCTGTGCAAGACACCGGTATATACGCTATTGGAGACTCCCGGCTCTCCGGATCTCAGATCCAAGCTGTTCCTCACCGACGACCCAGCCCTCGTCATCCTCTACGCCCAACTGCGGCAAAAGACGCTGCAGACGCTGCGCGGGGCATCGAAAGTGACGCCGAAGGTGGAGTGGGAATTCGTCCTGCACAATGCAGGGCTCTACGACCGCATGGGCTGTGACCTCCTCGGTCTCGATCTAGGTAAGGCGACCATAGACGAACGGGGCGTTCAGTTCGCATTTACTAATAATAAACCCCGTGTCAAAGTCCGGAATTGGGAGTTCCTACGCCCCGCCACGAGCATCTCCCCCGGTCTGGGCGGCGAGATCGACCCGCTCAAGCTCCTCAAGCGCAGGAGCTCCCTGGTCGTGGCGGACCTGGACCTCCCGGTCTCGCCAACGAGGACAAAGGTGCCGGCCGATATGAGGACCGGCGGCGGCCACCATGCCCAGCAACCGCCCACTGTGTTCGAGGAGCCCGATTCGAACTCGCTGTTGGATAGTTTCGGCTTCTAGGGAGTAGACCCTATTCGGGGAGTTGTAGCGTCCTAGGATGCGTTTGTGGGGAGCGGGAGGCGAGGGAACAACTTGGTGGATATATCCCAGTCAGAACAGCAATGCATCGAACTGGGAATAGATGTGTGTTAGTTGAAGACTGGAACGAGTATAATCTGTATAGTAGTGTATATGTAATTAACAAGGCGGCGCTATGTTAGTATATATGCAATTCGACATGGAGTTGTAAATGTGGAGTTATACGGAATACCTGCCCCGAGACTAAGCGTGTGCCCAACTCCGCAATGATAAATGCCGGTTGTCCACCAACTTCTCCTGCCTGCCTGAGATCCTCTTTCACTCCTCCAGGCACTCATGAATTCCTCTTTGCTTATGAGAAGCAACTAGTGACTTGTGGAGATGGCTCCGGATAGGGGAATTGATAACTCTTTGCCGAGCGGATCAGTCATGACAACACCAGCAGCGCCAAGAGAGGTCGGCACGTCGTCAACAAAGCCTATTCACATCGAGGGTCACAGCTTTACTTTTCGAGGCCTTGCCGTCGGCCTCCTGGTCGGCCTGGTCATATGCTTCTCCAACATGTACTTTGGCCTCCAGACCGGCTGGGTGAGCACTATGAGCATGCCTGCCAGTCTGCTCGGCTATGGCTTCTTCAAGACGGTTTCTCGTCACCTCGAGTTCCCATTCTCCCCAGTGGAGAATGTCTTGGTCCAGACGGTGGCCGGAAGCATGGCTATCATGCCTTTAGGTTGCGGCTTCGTCGGTGTGGTATGTCACCCACTCATTCCCTCATGGCTTCGTCATCTTTGGTGGACATGTCAATTCCTAACAATAGGCCTATCAATAGATTCCGGCCATGAACTACCTCTTGACTCCAGATGAGCAGGGCCCTCTGTATCTGAGTTTATGGAAGCTGGTTTTATGGTCGCTTGGTCTCTGCTACTTTGGTGTGGTCTTTGCTGTGCCGTTGTAAGTTCATAATAAAGAATTCCCCTTCCAATAGACATCTTGGGACACGCTCCTGACCAGCCAAGGCGCCGTCAAGTCATCATTAAGGAACAGCTGAAGTTCCCAAGCGGCTTTAGCACTGCGGTTCTGATTAGCGTCCTTCATGGACAAACCACCGTTAAGACTTCAGGACGCAGGGGGTCCATTCCCGGCAGTTTTGCGGCTCTTGCTCCTGGCAAGAATGCCGGTGCGCCCCAAGAGACCATCCAATCTGCCCAAGACTCCGGTGACCGTGAGGGAGGAGCTGCTGGGAGCCAGTCGTGGAAGCGCAATGTGCAGTTGCTCCTACTCTGCTTCGCCGTTTCGGGCGTGTTCACCCTCTCCACCTACTTCTTCCCCGTCTTGAGGAACATTCCAGTCTTTGGCCGCGTGGCGGCGACAACATGGCTCTGGACGCTGAACCCTAGTCTGGCCTACGTGGGGCAGGGAATCATAATGGGCACGGGAACGACCCTCTACATGCTCCTCGGAGCCATTGTTGGCTGGGGAATTCTCTCTCCCCTAGCCAAGCACAAGGGTTGGGCCCCTGGCCACATCGACGACTGGGAAAGCGGCAGCAAGGGTTGGATCGTTTGGATCTCGCTTGCTATCATGCTAGCCGATGCCGTTGTCAGCCTGGGCCATCTGGCACTTCGCCCGGTGGTCAAGGTTCTCATCGGCGACCGTGTTAGGGACGGCGACCTCAGGAGCCTCCTCTTCCGCCGTCCCAAGGGATACAGCTCGGTCAGAGCCGTGGATGATGTTGGCGGTGACCCCTTGCTACAGTCCGCCCCAGCCAGTCCCCTGTCTGATCTCAGCCCTGCCACACCCTGGAGAGACGGGGTCGCAGAAGTCGACGATCCGGAGCCGGCCGATGAAGACGATGCCCCAGCCGACCAGCAAATCAGCAATCGCGTTGTGGGAGTCGGGCTTGTTCTGTCAATAGCGTTTTGCATTCTCTGCACGCATATCGTATTTGGGGACTTGGTGCCCCTGTATGCGAACCTGGCGGCCGTTCTAATGGCCCTGGTGCTTAGCATAATGGGCGTAAGAGCCCTCGGCGAGACCGACTTGAATCCTGTCTCCGGAATCAGCAAGCTGGCACAGCTGTTCTTTGCCTTTATCGTCCCGCAGACCAACAAGTCGAGCGTATTGATCAACCTGATTGCGGGCGCTGTTGTAAGTACATCGTCAAATCACGACCACTTGTCTAGCTTGGCTAACCGCTGAACCTTGTATAGTCTGAAGCGGTATGTCGCCCCCCCGGTAATCGGTCACGTCCTCTCTAGAGCGCCAGCTAACTCGGAATAGGGTGCACTGCAAGCGGGAGATCTCATGCAAGATTTGAAAACCGGGCATTTGCTGGGAGCTGCCCCGAAGGCTCAGTTTTGGGGCCAGGTCATCGGAGCTACCGCTGGAGCTGTTGCCAGCGCCTTTATTTACCGTCTGTATACAGCGTGAGTCCAATCCCCGTATAGTCACCAACAGTGATATATCGTGTTGAGTAATTTCCAAGGACGCAACGCTGACTTTTCTCGTTTCGACAGGGTCTATCAGGTGCCTGGTGATCTATTCCAGGTTCCTACGGGCTACGTGTGGATATTCACGGCAAGACTGGTCACGGGCAAAGGGTTGCCTTATATGGCAAAGGAATGGGCGATTGCTTTTGCGGTCCTCTTTTCCGTCTCGACAGCCGTCAGGATCTACTACAGATCCGTCAATAGTCGATGGCACGCATACATACCGGGCGGTATTGCCGTGGCAGTTGGTTAGTACACCTTTGCTGTCTCCAACTGGGCTACGCTTGAACACTAGCTGACAAGAGATACTTAGGGATGTATAACGTCCCCTCCTTCACCCTTGCCCGGACGATGGGAGGCATCCTAAGTTGGTGGTGGAGATCAAGGATGGGCTGGAAAGACACCCCTCTCATTGTGCTGGCGTCGGTGAGTCCAACTAGCCCCTCCATCATCCTCGTGGAAGCCGGCTTTACTAACTAACCCAGGGTTTCATCCTCGGCGAGGGCTTCCTTAGCATTATAAACTTGATCATGCAGTGCTTTGGTGTCCCCCATTTCTAATTAGATATTCTTCTTGTCAGGGTCAAGCATGAATGAGCACATTGGACCATTGTGGGAACGTGGGGGTTGGCTTGGGGGCAGGCATGTTTAGATTTAGATGGATATCCTATACCATGAACCCTACTGCAGCAACCACGACTGCGCTTGCTTCTTCTGGCCCGGAGTCTCCCATGTCACTCCAATCTTCAAGCCTCGGGCATTATCTTCAGCGATCTGGAAAGAGATGTGGCCATGAATCTCCTGCTCAGCTCCCGGCTGCAGTGACTGGGTATGATCTTCATCATTGAGTAAGATCCCTTGCATCCAATGCGTCGGTTGGCCGTGCGCCCCGGTGGTGAAAGATACCCTCTCCGCGCCAGCCGCGGACCATTCTTTCGCAGACATGTTCGTCGAGATCGTATCATCGTTACGGCTGGACGCGAAGAAGATGTCAAACCACAGCAGAAAGCCGTCCAAGCTATCAGCATCCGGGAGCGTCTTAGTCTTCCATTCCGCGTCAAACACTAGGTCCTCCGTCTTGGTCGTGTGCAGGTCGAGGAACCTGAAAGCGCAGGGGGTTCCGCCCAGGGTGCTCTGAGACATCGTCTGGATTCGGACGTCGGCGTAGATCCCCTCCTGCATGGCCTTCATGTCGAAGCCGTAGACGTCTCGCCAGAAGGCGACATTGTCCGCGACGTACTCGGAGTCCGAGATGGGGGCGACCCAAATGGAGGCGTGGCTGGGCACCAGCAGGCCGTCGGGCCTGAGGTACCTGTCGCGGGCCCAGATGATGCTGGGGAGCATGGCCTCGTAGAGGAGGCAGTACCCCATCCACTCGCTGACGATGATGTCCACCTCCTTGACCGGCAGAATCACCTCCTCGATCCGCCCCTTGAGGCACACGATCTGGTCGCTCAGGCCGTTGTTGAAGATGTTCTCGCGCGCCTTGTCGACGATCTCGGACTTGTCGACCGCGATCACCTGCTTCGCGCCGGCCTTGGCGCAGAACATGCTGAGAATGCCTGTGCCGCAGCCAACGTCGAGGACAACCTTGTCCTTGAATAGGTGCTTGTTGCCATAGATAAAGTCCCGATACGCATCGGTGCGCACGCGGTCCTTGAGCATGGTCTCGTGGATTTCTTGAAGGGCGCCGTTAGCGAAAGGGGGCTAGAGAATTGGGAATTGCAGCGGCAAAGCACCTACCATTCTGAGCATACGATTCCCAGTAGTGAGCGGAATCGTCCTTGACGACCGCATCGCCGGCCGTCGCCTTGCCGGTCGCCGCCGCCGCCGCGTCGTCGTCGCCTTGCTCGTCGTCGCCCCACCGGCGGTCGAGAGTCTGCTGCACGGCGAGCCGGTAGTTGCTGAACTGCTTGGCGAGGGCCTCGAGCTCGGCGTGGAGTTCAGCATTCCTCCGGATCAGGTCCTGAGGCAGGCCGCCGGAATCGGCCGAGGACTGGCCGGTGGCGGCGGCACCAACACCAGCGGCCGGCGCTGCTGCCGGCGGCTCGGGCAGGTCGTCGAGGCACAGGATCAGGGCGTCGTCGTCAAGCACTGGCTTGAGGTAACGATCATCCTCGAGATCCGACGAGGCGATTTCCTCCGGGACGGGTGCGCCATCGTGCACTCGCTGGCGAACTAGGAAAGGGTCAGTGGTCGGTCCGAAAAAAAGAAAGAAAAAAAGGGAGATCCGGGTCGTTTTCACTCACTGAAGTTGATGAGCTTGACGGTTCCATGGAAGTCCAGGCCTAGCCGATCCCGGATGCCCAGGAAGTCGAGGTTGCCCTTCTCCTTACAGTAGGATATCATGGACATGGCATCCGGGAAGACACGGTCGTCAAGGAGTGAAACGACGCTTACGGTCTCCACCTCCCCGTCGTCCAAGTCGTCGCCGTCGAGCCATTCTTGCTCGTCTGACGCTGAGGACGCGCTGAGCACCTCGTCGTCGGGCATTTTGTCTTGACGCAGCTTGAGGAGCCGAAATACCTGTATAAAATAGGTATCCGAGGGGTTGGCTTCAGTCAGGACTTATTTAGGGTACCAATTATCCATTCACTTTTTCGGGGGTTTTCTGGTACAATTTTTGTGCTCCAATTTTGTACACCCAACCATGCGTGTGGAACTTGAAAACCTTGCGTATGTCATAATTATGCTTGTAGAGCAAATAAGGCTGTTTGTTATTGGTGAAGCGGCGCTTTGAAAGATAATATCTCTCTATCCATATCAACCTTTTTTTAACTGCCTGCAGATATCTATGTGAGCCTGGAGCGGAATAGCTCAGATAGATGAGCGAGAAAGGGGGCTGAATGGACGTCAACTTCAGTATGACCGGCTTGAATTCGTGTCACGATGCCAATTATCTGCAATGGAAGTGCTTGGCAGCCAGACTCTACCTATGTTAGGCACCCGAGAAACTCGGCAATTTATCAAGGCTGTAATCATCGGTGTGGGCAACTTGTCACCCTTCGTCTTCTTCCTCGTCTTCGTCCTCATCGCCATCTTCTCCATCAGAAACTGGTTCGCCCAGGGCCTTCAGACGATCCTAGAGGTAAAAGTGTCAGAACAGAAGTAAATCAATACTGGGGAGCCGAGTGCGTAACCCACCTTATATCTAGAGGCCTTCTCTTCGAGGTCAGCGAACACCATGAGCAGGTCATCCAGCTCACTCTGTACCGCCTGCTTCTCTTGGTCCTTTTGTCCCAGTTGAGCGGACATCTTAGGAGGAATGTCAGTAAAGTCGCTGAGATTTGGTTTCGGAGATCCCTTACCTCTTGTATTTCCTCGTCTGAAGATCTAAGCCGCTCCTCTAACTCCTTGCACTTGACTTCGAATCCTTTAAGCTTCGTCTCAACTTCTCCCATCTTTTCCTTGCCGCTCTTTAGAAGTGCGTCTTGCTCTGAAAACTTGGAGCCGAATTCGCCACGCAGGGCCTGCAATTCCTGCACCTTGGCTTTGTTCGCCTGCAAACAGATACGGCATTAGCTTACTTCCACTCCACCGTGAAGGGGAGGTGGCAGAAGAACTCACCTTCATGAGATCAACCTCAAGTCGGCTGGCAGTCGCTCTGAGGTCGGCCTTCTCGGCATCGGCTCGGCGTTGAAGTCTTTCGACGTCTTGTTCAGCCATCTTGCGAGACTTCTCCATCTGCCTTGCCAACTCCTGCTCTCTCAGTTCATGCTGCCGCCGAATGTTGCTGGTGTGTCGCGTCAGCCTCCTACGAACAGCTCGACCGCCGGATGATTTGCTTACTTGATTTCTTGCTCGTGGCGTTGCTGAAGTCCTTCGTTGACGTTCTTGACTCTCGAGACCTCCACGGCTGCGGATTCTCTTGTCTGCCTGTGACCTGCCTGCTCTTGCTCCAACTGTCTGGCCAGAGATTCGACTTCAACTTTCGCAGCCTGCAGGGCCTGCTCTCTCTCGTCGACTCGAGCCCGCAGAGAGTCGACCATTTCCCGGGAAATGCCCTTCTGGACACCGTTGGTGATCACCGAGATCTCCATCTCCGGTTCGCGATCAATGGCCCGCAGCACACGGCTGAAATTGTCCTTGAAGAAGTCGACGAAGGTGGAATCGAAAAAGACATCCGGCAGTCTTTGCCCCGACGACAGATCCAGCTTTTGCGGGAGGACCTCATAGTCCCTCATCAACGGGTGCGAGCGCAGTTTGCTTAGTTTCTCTATATACCTATCACGGCCCATTCGTGACGTGAGAATCGGCTGCAGGGTTGCGCGCGGAATGGGGGAGTCTTTGGTTGAGAATTCGTAGACGACTCCGAGTAACATGGCGCAGAGGCCTTGCACGACGGGGTCTCCATGCGCGTTCTGCACTGCGCCTTGTATCAGTGCATGGACATTACTCCCCTCGCCGAGGAAGTCATTCACCCCCTCGAGATCCTCGAAGAGCCAGCATAGAAGTAGCATCAAGTATCCCGCGGCGATGCGACTATCCTCGTCTCTACTGAGACTACCAAGCAGGTGCGCTGTGATGGTTTGGATGCTAGTGACCACCTCCTCGCCCTTGGCCTCATCACCCTCGGTTACTCCCATGGCTAGAGCCTTCGTTGCTGGGTTTTCGTACACCAGGTGAAGCATAATGACAGCTGCAAACCAGTACCTGTAAGGATCGGTTGATGCTGCCTCCGTCGGGGGCCTAAGCAGCGTTGTGAGAACATTGGCAGTTTCGTCAGCTCCCGACTGGTGGCCCTCAATTGCTCTGCGGAGGAAGTGCAGCCGCACATCTGGGTGGTCGAAGAAGTAAGCCTTAAGACATTCACAGGCGGCGAGTCGTAAGTCGAATGCCTGCAGGGACTGCAAGCCCAATGTTAGATCTAGGAGGCCGTCGATTACATAGACTTTGTGCACGCCGTTCGCTGGTGCTTCGCTCCTCTCAGCTGCGGCATCAAGGGGCGATGAGACCTGCAACTGGGCAAAGTTCTCCTGCAGGCTGGGGTTCCCTTTTATGATGTCTGCACATGTCACCAATGCCTAGAGCAACAAGACCTCAGTCAGCGGGCAAAGAAAGAAGAACGGGGGGCACGTTTGGGTGAGAATTGACCTCGGATTTGATTGGGACTTCGGCCTCCGGGCTAAAGGCGAGCTGAAGAGCGTGGTAGAGCACGCCATGCTGCCAGAATGCGGCCTGGTTCTGAGCAGTTCCTACTGCCCCCACAGCGAGGAATAGCCTTATGACAGCGAGCAGGGCGTATACGTTCCTGTTTCTCTGTGCTTGTGCCCAAGGAGCGACCTCTCCGCCGTCATCCTGGGCTCTATGTGTGGATTCCAACAGGTTGGAAAGACGGGATATGCAGCCAGTTTCCCTGAATAGGGACTGGTTAGAAGAATTGAGGCGCAGAAGGTTCGCCAGCAGTATCAGACAGTCCTCGACGACTCTGCCTCCTTCCACAAGGCCTCCTTCAGAGTCGACGACATGGAAGATCCGGTCAAAGGCGCTTTCAAAGGCCACTAGCTTCTGTATTTCTAGCGAGGTCGGTGTCAGATACGTCAGGAGCGTAATTGCTTCGTTGCGAACAGCTTCTCTCCGGTCGTCGAGGAGAGCGGTAAGCCTCGAAATGCCCAGGCGCGCGTTGAAGACGCATTCCTCTGTCCGTTCGGTACGGGCTGACAATATGGCAGACAGGAGCTGAAGAGAGTACAACCGGGAGTAAAAGTCATTGCCTTCGAGGAAGTCAAGCAGAAGGGTGATGTTCTCTTGCCGTTGGGTAAACTCGTCGGCGAGCCAGAGAGCGATCTCTTCCGATGCCTCAGCGCTGTCCTCATTGGGGCTGAACAGCATCAGCAAGGTCTCAAGGACCACTTTAACTGTATCGACATCTTCACCGTCCTTGCTCAGGCTTCCAATCAAGCTCCTCAATGCGCCCGATGCCACCGAGGCTGGGTATTCCTTCGCAAAGCTTCGCAAACCAAGGATTGCCGCCCTTCGATCTTCAAGCAGTGTTGCAGACCCAAGACGGCCACTGAGGACGGAGATAGTGTCGCTCACAGACTGCTTCGCCGGTGCAGTCGCGATAGAGAACATGGTCGTCGAGGGAGACGAGTCCTGGCCGCTGCCATTGAGAGGTGGTCGTTGATAAATGGGGTCAAACGGAGCAGCTCGATGCTGTATCGATTCAGGAAGAATAAATCAAGCTCGTCCGGCTCCCTTCGTCGTTATTGGTGTGGCGCCATATGGTGGTCCCGTATAGGAGTATATTCGTCCCTAGCCTGTCTGCACAAAGCATTTAGCTACTTCCTGTATTGAGTTGGACAGGCTGGTCAGAGTACTGTGGTTCTCTGCAAGGCTGAGAGGCACTTGACTCTCCAGCCAATCAAATTGCGGAACTCTAAATTAGTGTACATAAGTACTTTTAGACAAGCGGGGCTGATCAGATCCTTTAAGGCTGCCAGCCTCTTTTCCTCCAAGCTTGCCTTCACATTTGCGCAACGACAACAATAATAATCCGAAGTACCGACACATTGTCTTTTGTTTGGGATTTCCATATTCCGTTTTGCCAAATGGCTGCAATTGACTTGGCGACATCGCATGATAACAAACCATAATCTTGGTAATCTGAGGGCAAGGAAAGAAACTGACTCCCAGTTCCCGACATAGCCTTTTTAAGGCACACCCTCCACGAGCCATTCACAAGAAATAACTGCGACGCCACCATTCGCAGCTCAGCTTGACAAAACCCGACGCATTCCCCTCCGCCTCCATGTGCACAGCAGCCGAGGCTCACTCCCAACCACATTTGCATCTCGATCCTTAGCCTTTGGCGCTCAGCCAAGGCTAGCCTCCAGATCATATTTGCGATATCCGCGGTAGCAGAGCAGGAACTCCAAGATGGGAATCCCCGCTGCTTTCCGGTGGTTGTCCACCAAATACCCCAAGATCATCTCCCCCGTCGTGGAGGATCAGCCTATGGTGATGGATGACGGAACCGTCATCCCGGTTGATACCACCCGTACCAATCCAAATGGAGAGGAGTTCGACAACCTTTACTTAGACATGAATGGCATCGTGCACCCTTGCTCCCATCCAGAGGATAGGCCTGCTCCGAAGGATGAGGAGGAGATGATGGTGGAGATTTTCAAGTACACTGAACGTGTTGTCAACATGGTGCGACCCCGCAAGTTGCTCATGATTGCCGTTGGTAAGTTGTTCTCCAGCCACCGACACAACCAGCACTGACATGCCCAAGATGGTGTTGCTCCGCGTGCGAAGATGAACCAGCAGCGATCGAGGCGCTTCCGAGCTGCCCAAGAAGCCAAGGAGAAAGAAGACGATAAAATCCAGCTTCTGCAACTGCTCAAGCAGCAGAATGGTGGAGTTTTGAAGCAGGAATCGATCGAGACTGTTACCAAGAAGGCTTTCGACTCGAATTCCATCACTCCGGGAACACCGTTCATGGATATCCTAGCTTCGAGTCTCAGATACTGGTGTGCCTACAAACTCAATACGGATCCTGCGTGGGCCAAGATGAAAGTCATTATTTCCGACGCCACGGTTCCTGGGGAGGGCGAGCATAAGATTATGGAGTTTGTCCGCTCGCAACGCTCTTCCCCTGAACATGACCCAAATACTCGCCACGTCATATATGGCCTGGATGCTGACCTGATCATGCTGGGGCTGGCTACTCACGAGCCACATTTCCGTGTCCTCCGTGAAGACGTCTTTGCCCAGGAAGGGAAAGTGAGGATGTGCAAACTCTGTGGCCAGAAGGGTCACGATGAAAGGGCTTGCAAGGGCGAGGCAAAGGAGAAAGACGGAGAGTTCGATGAGAAAGATAAGGCACACCCTCTCAAGCCTTTTATCTGGCTTCACGTCTCTGTCCTTCGCGAATATCTGGCCGTTGAACTGGACGTCCCCGGCCTTCCCTTCCGTTTCGACCTTGAGAGAGCTATTGATGACTGGGTCTTTATGTGCTTCTTTGTCGGTAATGATTTCCTGCCACATCTACCCTCCCTGGAAATTCGCGAGAACGGGATCGACACTCTGATGGCCATCTGGAAAGACAATCTGCCCCACATGGGGGGCTATGTCACCAAGGATGGCCATGTCGACCTTGAGAGGGCCCAGTATATCATGAATGGCCTCGCGAAGCAGGAAGACGCCATCTTCAAGCGGAGGAAGGAGACGGAAGACAGAAGAGAAGCCGGTTTCAAGCGGCGGAAGCTTCAGCAGCAAAACAACTCGCGAGGAGGCTACGGGGGCAATGGTAGAGGTCAATATCGGAATCCTGAGAGCAACGGTCCACCAGCAGGACTTGCTCTGCACCCTATTTCCAGTTTCCCGAGCGACCTGCCGAAGGCCATCACGCACGACATGGTGGTAAACCGTGGATCCGTACAGCAAGCCAACGTGGCCAACAAGAGCGCAGCCAGTGTCCTCAAAAGCCAGATACAGGGCCTGATGGCCGAGGCCAGCAAGCCTGCCGCGGCGAGTGAGGATCCAAACTCAAGCCCCCAAACTCCAGCGTCGGCATTAGGGAAGCGCAAAGCTTCCTTGCTAGAGGCGGAGGGTGATGCGAGCACTCCCGGGACAAGCACTCCAGAGCCCAACACGTCCAACACGCCCAACACGCCCTCCGCCGGCACCGAGGAGGCGCCGGTTGATAGTGTGAGACTCTGGGAAGAAGGCTACGCCGACCGATACTACCAGCAAAAATTCCACGTCGATCCCAAGGACATTGAGTTTCGTCACAAAGTTGCTCGTGCCTACGTTGAAGGCTTGGCCTGGGTCCTCAGGTATTACTTCCAGGGCTGCCCTTCGTGGGAATGGTACTACCCGTACCACTATGCGCCGTTCGCCGCCGACTTTGTTGATCTGGGGAAGATGACGATAAACTTCGAAAAGGGAAGGATATCGCGGCCATTCGAGCAGCTTATGAGCGTGTTGCCGGCCGCCTCCCGGCATTCGCTCCCCGAGGTCTTCCACGAGCTGATGACCGAGGAAGATAGCGAGATCATTGACTTCTATCCGGAAGACTTCGAGGTCGATCTCAACGGGAAGAAAATGGCGTGGCAAGGAGTTGCGCTCTTGCCTTTCATTGACATGCCTCGCTTGTTGGCGGCGGTGGAGGGGAAGTATCCGCTTCTAAGTCCCGAGGACCAGGCTCGCAACGCGATGGGCAAAGATGTGCTCCTATTGTCAGACGCACACCCGCTCCTCTATGACGAGATCACGTCCAACTTCTACTCCAAAAAACAAGGCGGCACCAGTTTCAAATTAAACCCGAGGGCAAGCGATGGCCTGGCGGGGAAGGTCGAGAAGGTAGAGGGGTACTTGCCCCACGGCTCACTCGTATATCCCCTTCAGCGCAATGCGATGCCGGATGTCGAGTATGACCGGTCTCTGAGGTTCGTGTCTCCGGCTTCCCAAGTGTTTTTCAAAAGTACTGACGATTCCATCACAGCGTGCACTACGAGTTCCCGAGTACCTCCCACGTACACAAATCGATGCTGTTGCGCGGGCTGAAGCTCCCACCTCCGGTCCTGGACAGGACCGACATTGAGGTTGTCAAGGGCAAGGCACAGCGGGGAGGGCGAAGCTACGGCGGGGCGCCTCTGGGCCGAAGCAACTACCACAACGGTGGGCGGCAGCAGCCAATCAACTACGGGCCGGGAAGCTACGGGCCGGGAAGCCACGGCCCACGCCATGGGCGTCCAGACCGCGGATCCTACGGCCCGCCGTCCAATGGGTATAATAATCCTCAAGCCTCGTACGGTGGGCCGCCTCCGAACTGGCAACCCCCGGCTCCTGGGCTTCCTGGTTTCGGGACGGGTGTTCCGCCGCCCCCACCACCGGCTCATGTTTACGGAGGCGACCGGTACGGCAACACTCAAGGCCAGGGCTACGGGCAAGGTTACGGTAGTCAGTACGGGGCGCCACCACCCCCTCCGCGAGGGAATTACCCGCCCAGAGGGCAACAGTATCACCCGCCTCCAGGCCAGGACAGACGGGACTACCGGTCGCATGGGGGCGATAGGGGTCGAGATAACCGAGGATATAGATAAGTCTGGGGGGCTGGCTATCGACGCCGTGTACGTTCCCGGGCTCTGTTGGTTTTTTGTTTCCTGTATTTGATGCAGAATGTGCATTGCGTTGGTACAAACCCTGGGGACAGGTTTGAACACAGGTTTGAACAGGGAAGAGGTGGTGGCATACCCCCTTTGTATGTATTGTACATTATATAGTGTACACTATATAACGGGAAAGAGAGATACCTCGTCGTCAAGGGATTTGTGGGACTTTTACCCTGACACAGTTGCAAGAGTGGCCCTTTTTGTACTGGTGCATTGCATGACGGAGGAGCGTGTGTCAGGGGTGTCGGGTCAGCTAGCTCTCGAGCTGTCCTCCTTTCCTTTCCGTTGCTTTCGTTGGCTTTTTCCCTCTCACCTCGTTTTCTTTTTTTCCTTTTCCTTTATTTGCCTGTGAAGAAAATAGTAGCAATAGAATTGAGATGCAATGAATGATCCTTGCTTGATCTTGTGTGAATTTACTGGGTTGGAAACCTATCTGGAACCCATCTCCTCAGGTTATTATTACCCAGAGCAGAACGGTAAACTATGCAGTTGTAGTGTCGCATTTTGCATTTGCTGGCCACATTACCTATCACCGGCCACACAAACTTGCCCTCCCTCCCCACTCCCCACACTTCCCTTTTGCCCAAATGCACCTTCGCTCCCCCTCGACCACAATGCGCAGTAAGTCGCAGCCTCGACTCAGAAGTGCCATGGCCCAATTCTATGCTCCATGATCGTCGCTGTTCCCTCAACTTGTATATCCCGACGAGGTTGCCCCTGCAAGACGACCCACCTTCGCTTCCCCGCTGCAATTGCTTCCCCGCGCTCCCGCCCGAACCCACGCATCGACAGCGGTTTGATAAGCCGCCCGAGTCAGCAAGCGCGTCGTCGCCCCTCCGCTGGCCGCCTATCCCGATCATGAGAGCTTGCTAGCCAGATCTGGCTCTCGGCATACCACAATGAATGGCGATGCTGGCCTGGTGGGCGTGCTGGTGGAGAGGCTTACAACCAGGGTACGTACCGAGTCGTGCTCCTCCCTCCATATCAGGCACAGCCACCTCGGCCTTCGTTACTGACCGTTTGCGCTCCTCTTCCCCGTCCAGCTCCCCCATCGAACTGGAACACAGGCCCAAGACCTGTACCAGGACGAGATCGTGGTCATTACTCGCACCACCCTCGTGAAAATCAGCGCCGCATCCGTCGCCATCGTGCTCGACTCCCTCCTGTCCTTTCTCGAGGACATCGGCCGTCCCTACACCGCTGCCATCTCGCACCCGCCGCATGTGCTGCTCTCCGAACTCTACATACTGGAGCTCATCGCCGATTGCTGCTCTAGCCATTGGCAGCTTGGTGGCGCCAATGCCTCCCATGACAGCGGCGAGGACGAACCACTGGCCACTTTGCAAGGAGGCAAACGGCCGCCTCCTAAAGCACTAGACCAACTCTTGGTCGGCCGAGTCTTCGACGTGCTAAAGGTGCTTTTCGATCCCATACCCGAAGGGTACGTTCTGCCGGCGAAGACAATCTTGGACGAGTCCTCCTCGAAGAACATTTCGATTCAGCCTCCCGACGAGCCCGGCGGCACGCCGCCCCTGTCTGCCCAGTCGGACGAGCCGCTTGAGAGCACTCGGCTCCTCCAGTCCCACGCCACGGTCATCGAGGCCCGCGTGAAGTTGATCGTTGAATATGTGACCGCTTCTAGCTGGCCTTCCGCCTTCGATTACTTCCGAAATGTCATACACAACGTTCGCGCGGCAATACCGGCTCAGGGCGCACCCATCCCCAACGCTGCCGCCGCCGAAGACGAGCGATCTGCCTTGGTTATCCTACGTTTGGTCTCGTTCTTTTGGGTTGATAGTCAGAAGTTGAGCCTCGTCATACAGGAGTTCTGCTCGAGATTCCTACACTTTCGCAAGTCGTTTCAGAACGCTGTGGCCATCGTTTGCCCGCTGCTCATTACCAGGTGGCTGGACAGGTATCCCGACGAGTTTGTACAGCTACACATGATGCAGAAAAGGCGTGACGTGGGGCCGGACACGCTCTTTGACATGACCCAGACCATTGTGGACAATGGTAGGAGACGTGCCCTGCTGTACCCTCTCCAGACCACTCTTCTCCTCCTGCTGCCCGACGTCTTCGAGGTGGCCAGCAATCTTCGGGAGGCCAAGAGCGGCAGTATGGCCAAGAAGGTCGCCTTCCTCGAAAGCTTGAGGAAGGCGCTGAGGAATAGAAATGAGCAGGCCGCGTATTGCCTTGTCTCCATTCTGCGCGCCGCCCGCCACTTCGATCCCGAGAACGACTCGGCCCTTGTGAGCTATGCCATGGACGTCCAGGACGAGGTTCGTGATGCAGTCTTTCGTCGCCCTACTCCCGGTATCGATGGCGGCCTGTTCGAGCAAGACGCCATGACAGCCGCCTTCGTTAGCCTGGCTCACTTGAACTTCGAAGACTGCGTGTCTTCTCTGGCACAGAGCTGCCTCGCGCCATCTGCGCCCCTTGGCTTCAAGATATCCGTCATCCAGGCCTGCTCCCATTTTGCCAGGCTGAGCGATCGCCAGAAATACCAAGAATTGTTTACAGCAACCTCCGCCTTTATCCAGGGGCAGCTGAAGGTAAGAAAGAACCTGCCGCAGGTTGCCGACGGCCGTGTACGTACTAATTCGGGGGTTTCACAAGAACACGTCCTCGTTGCTGATCGACACATTCGTGGGGGACCAAACCCGCCGCAAGGGTCACGAGAGCCACTCCTCGGTTACCATGATATCCAACATCCTAAACTTTCTGGATGCGTCTCCGATGACTCTCTTCGAAGGGCCTCCCATCGAACCCGGCGAACGTGACCGTTTCTTCCAAGAGAACTTTGAGTCGATTATTTCCTGTGTTCTTGCACCCAACGAATCTGCCAGGCGGCTCGCAACGACTGTAGCCAAGCGCCTGTTGACTAATGAGCTGATTCTGTCGTCGCTGAGGGCTTCTAATGCGTTTGATTCGCAGGAACTGAAATCCCAGTTCTGGCGCCTTAGGTATGTCTGTCTCCCGTGGCTCTCTAACCCACTAGCCCTCTTTGCCGCCAAGCTGTGTCGCTGACAGATGTAGCTCCCTTGTTCTGTCTTCAATGTGTGATCGCCTTGGGCATACTGGAAGCGACAGCGGACTCAAGGCAATCCATGGCTACCTCGAATCCCGGCTCCTGCTTCTGAAGTCCATCTCGGTAAGCCGGCTCCAAAATCTTCTCTGGCGTTCCTGTGCTGACAGGTATACCAGGAGCTTTCCGAGTTATCGGAGGAAATAGTCGAGCGAACAGCAGCGTCCACAAAACTCGAGACCCTTTTCCTCGTCTCACTTTGTTCTGCCGACATAGCAAAGTGCCAACTTGTGACGTCTTGCATCAGCATCTTCCTAGAGGAATGTCGGATCGTTGATGCCCCCTCCGAGTCGACAAGACCGTCATCGACTCTGTTGCGAAACGAGGACGTATTTAGCGAAATCGCGTCCCGCGCCTTTAGATTTACGGGCCTGGTTGCATTCCAGAAGAGGAACCGCGGATTGCTCAGGCGTCTGCAATACCCGAGCGGCGGAATACTCGATGCGTGGGAGATGGGTTTTGACAAGTGGCTTCACCTCTCCAAGGACGTCTCAACGTCATCGGCAGATGCTGTTTCGGAGAGAACTGTGGCCGAATGGCGCAACTACTCGGGCTTTCTTGCTTCGCTCGGCGGCATCTGCACCGCCGATCAGGCTGCCACCCACGAGGAGCCGACCATCAGCGGTCTGCGGTGGATTGACAGACTCTCGTCGGAAAATCACGAGGAGCCCCTGCTCGCCAGATACTTGAGGTTGAGCATACAGCTGCTAGCATGCAGTAATGTCAGGGTTCGCGAAGCGATGAGAGACGTCTTGTCAACCGAGGTCTCGCCCACGCTATATCAGCCGCTCTTCAGGGCCTTGGAGGCCGAGCTGGACGTCCTGTTCACCGGTGCGCTCGAGGCCTCTGCCAAGGGCCAGGATAGCGAGATCATCTTTGCAGAGCAGTCGGCGTCCTTACTCAAGGGCCTGGTCGAAAGGCTCGACACTCCGTCGGATCTGGGCGCCGCATCTTCGGTCCACCTCGGTGCGCTAACGCTCAACTTTGCCAAGTTCCTCGACGGCGTCCCAGACACGGCCAGCAGCCTCCGCGTCAAGATCAAGATCTGCCAGCTCTGCGAAGCCGTCACGAAGAGGAAGGAACACCTCAACCTTCGGGACGATGTTCGTATCCGGAATCAGCTCCTCGAGTATATATTCAGTTGGATTGCGCGGCCCAAGTCTCCAAAGACTGATACTGGTGCTTTCAACGGAGGCGGCCGACAGGACGAGACCTCGAGGGTTCAAAAGGATCTTGACAAGGCCTGCCTCAGGTCTTTAGCAGAATTGACATTTCGCCTGCCGCTGCAGCCCGGCGATGGCCAAAGTGATGCAGGTACCAGTGAGCTAAAATCGCAGATGTTCCACCAGTATTTCAACCGCTTCCTTTCGTTACTCAATCTCGAAGCCCTCGAGCTCAGCCGGACCGAGCACTTGGGAGGAGCCGCATCGAGGGATGAGTCGGCTTCGATATCCGACCTCGCCATCACCATTTTGTCCAACTTGTTAAGCGCCAACATTGATGTCGGCCTCAAGCATTCACTAAGCATAGGATACCATGAGAACCTGGAGATCAGGACTGCCTTTGTCAAGGTCCTGTATAACATCCTGGTGCAGGGCACCGAGTTCAATAACCTGTCCGACGCCGCGGTACACGAAAAATACGATGACCTATTGGATGTGAGCCATATATATCCCCGGCAGAATGCCATTCCCAATTTGCTAGGGTTGGGAGGCTGACCACATTGTAGATCCTAACGTCGGACACGAATCTGGCAGCTGCAATGGCCGCAGTCTGTCCGGGCCACGAAGTCGACGAGCTGACCATCTCGCTACTGAACATATTCGAAGCGAGATCACTCAGCTTTGTCCTTCTCGAGGCGCTGATCAAGCAGGAAGTCGAGGACACCGGTTCGTCTTCCTCCTCAATCCCAACCCCAAACCCCTACTCCCCATGCTTGCCGAGCATCCGTATCGCTGACCGGGCAAATTGTCTTTTTTAAGAGAACGAGTCGGAATTGCTCCGACGAACGTGTGTGGCGACTAAGATGCTCTCCGTCTATGCCAAGTGGAAAGGGGCCGGCTATCTCAGGGCCACTCTGATGAAGGTCGTTGAGAGGCTAATGCTCACGTCCAAGGATCTGAATCTCGAGCTTGACCCGACGAGGATCAGTACCGAGGAGGAGCTGCAGAAGAATGCAATCCAATTGCAGATTGTCGCCAAGGTCTTCATAGACGACATCTGCGCTTCATCCGCGAATATTCCGTCTTCCTTCCGCAAGATCTGCAGCATCGTAAGTCCTTCAAGCGCATCTGCATCACTGGCGGGTTCAATTGCCCCGTTCTAACGGCAGTAATCCAGATCTCCGAAGCAGTAATGCCGCGGTTCCCAGAGGCGAAGTACACTGCCGTCGGAGCATTTATATTCCTGCGCTTCTTTTGCCCGGCCATTGTTGCTCCCGAGGTCGAGGGGCTTGTCGCCACGTTGCCATCAAAGGAGATGCGCCGGGGCCTGCTCCTCATCGCCAAGGTCATTCAGAACTTGGCCAACAATGTCTTGTTTGGAGCCAAGGAGCCTTACATGTTCCCACTCAATGAGTTCCTGGCCCAGCATATCTACCGCGTCACCACATTTCTGCGGGAGATCTCGGTGAGGCTTAATGTTTTGTTTTCCCCTGAGACCATGCTCGGTGCTTACAAGCGTAGGTTCCCCCGGAAGCGATCGATGCGCCTGTTGAAGGTGAGTCGTTCGATTTCGGCTCATGCGTGGCGCTTCATCGGTTTCTCTACGATCACTGGGACCACGTACGCCAAAGATTGATCTCCCAGGAAAGGAAAGACTATGTAAGGTCTCCAGCCGAGTCAACCCGTGGTCGATCCCCGGTACTCGAGCCCCTGAGGCATTTAATCACCAATCTAGGTCCGCCGCCGCTAGCCGTGACATGGAACAGGCCCCAGATATCAGCCAATCCCCCTCCAGTCTATTCCAGGTTTCAGGACTTTATGCTCCGCAACGCTTTCCGGAGCACCGAGTCGTTCCTTACGGCCCGTGCCGTGTACGACGGCGGCGAAAGCAAGGTATGCATGGCATCATGCCGGTTTCAACGGGAATTGCCGTGCTTCTTCCCCGCCTTGCTGACCACCGGATACCTATAGGATGGGCTCTCCGTCATTTGTATTATCCTGCGCAATGTCGACGCCGAATCGATTGATTATGATACCCTAGTCTACTGCTACCTGAAGGTTGGTCAGCGATTCCTTCATTAATTCTTCTCGCCCCGCGCTTAACCGATCTCTCACCCTTAGATTGCGAGCCGTCTGTGGCACCGGCCCTTTGCGCTGCTCATCGACGCCACATGCTACAATGGACAGAACGAGCCTCAGGATGAGCTTTTCCAGAAGCTCGAGCTGCTTACACCAAGCGAACTCTCGCGACAGCTGTCTCGTATCTACATATATAATATGAACAGCGCTTGCAGGTAAGGCCCGGCCCCCTCGTGTCTCACCCAGGTCGTTTGTCTTACGAGCGCTAAACGTCGGTTACCGTTCAGGAAATGCTTCCGTCGCATGCTGCGCACGTCGACGAGGAACGATGCCAGTGTCTTCAACCCCAAGAACGTGGAGTATCACCTTGTTGGCAGCTTGCAGGACTTGCAGGCACATTTCCATCTGAGCCAGCTGCATCTTCCCAAGGAAACGATCAGCGTCGTCACTGATACGCGCCATGTGTTCCAAAACATAACTCGGCTATCAAAAACCAAGGGGAAAATCGAGGTGGTGATCAAGGTCGGCAGCCAATTCGTCCAGGTTACAACAACCAAGAAACAAGAAGTTTATCCTGGCTTCCGACTCAGCACTACCGTCAACGACATATTCCGCCTGGGTGACGTCGAAGAGGCACCAACCTCGATACAGACCGAGGATGACTCCGCCTTCGGCCTCCGGGCGGATAATGGGAAGATCGTCATGTACTTCACCAGCCCAAGGAAGACGGACGTTCTCCATGCCATTCGCGCTGTCAAGGCTAAGCACGGCAAGGACACCCGAGCGTTGAAGTCGCTTGAAAGGCTCATCCGACCGCAAGATGTGCCCGGAACGCTCCTGAACCTGGCCCTGACCAACCTCGCAAGCCCCGACCCGGTACTGAGACTATCGTCCTACAATCTTCTGGGGGCCCTGTGCAAGGCCTTCAAGTTCGCGGCCGCTTCCAAATTAATGTGCACCAAGGGTAAGTTGCAGCCCCTCAGAGCGAGGCTCTCGACGATTTCTTTTGCTTCCATGTCCCGAGTACTCACTGCAAGCAGATATATCCGTCCCCCTCGATCCGTCGCAATTCATCGTCAAGATCAGCCAGAAGCTCGCCCAGACGGAGCCGCAGCTGACGTCGGATTTCCTAAACGAGTTTTTCGTTGGCTGGGACAGCTTCTCGGACGAGCAAAAGCCTCTCAGTTTAGCTTACATGGCGCCCTGGATACCCGGACTGCGAACCTGCCTTCTCCCAATGGAGCTCGAGAGTGATAAAGGCCGGGAGAAGATTGCGGCCGTCTTTCGCCGGCTCATTGACGTTAGCCTCTCCGATGCGACTTTGAGCTTCACGCTAGAGCAATCAGTCTGGCCCATGATCCATCAGGATGAGGTGCTCTTGGACATCTTCTTGGAAGAGGTCCTCAAGGTGGCCCTCAGCATCGGCTTCAACGAGGAGCACACGGAGACCCTGGCGTCCATTGTCTCTGCCATGGGTACCATGTCGCTCCGCGGAAAAATCATATCACGCCTGCGGAAAGCGCTGAACCGTTCGTCCCTTCGTCCAACCAAGTACCTCCCCGAGAACTCAGTTTGGTCGGAGATCTGCGTACTGCTTCAGTTCTGTCTCGCCCTGTCTTTCGACAGCGGGGTACAATCCCAGCTGTACCTACCCGAGGTATTCCATGTCGTTACCATGTTGGCGAACACTGGTACTTCCGACGTCCGGCTAACGGTTCATCGCCTGCTGGTCAACTCGATACACTCTGCCTGCACGTCCTTCAACCTGGACGAACCCAGGCTGAACAAACTCAGAGCAACGCTGGAGTCCCTATCCGAGCACAGGAGTGACATGTTCTCTGCGCCCGCGGCCTTTGCAAGGGATGCCGCTTCCATGTCGACCAGCCAGGAATCCGGACCAATGCTGGCCGCGACTGAGAACCTCGCCGCCCTTCTCTTCGAGACATGCTCGGTTGCTGCCCCATCTATCGACGTGGCAAATGCGTGGCGTTCCAGGTGGATGAGCCTGGTTGCCAGCACTGCCTTCCAGAACAACCCGGCAATCCAGCCAAGAGCCTTCACGGTGATGGGCTGTCTAGCACGGGAAGAGGTCGATGATGATTTGCTCTATCAGGTGCTCGTGGCACTTCGCAACAGCGTGGGCCGGTTCGGGGATGACAGCAACAGCGAGATGCTTGTCGCCATCGTCACGTCTCTATCGAAGATGATGGCCAAGCTCCCCTCGGCATCTCGCTATGGCGTACAGTTGTTCTGGCTAGCCATGTCCTTGCTACGCTTAGTGCCACCAAATCTCTTCAACTGCACTGCCATGTTCCTGGAGTCTGTCTTGACGAACATCAGCACGTCCGGGGACATGAGAGGAGACAAGATGGCGCCGTACCTCCTCCAGGGTCGGGTCCAGCTTGACGATGCTTCGCTCCTACTTGACGATGCCTACGGGATTCATTTCAACAGCGAAAACTTCCACTTTGCTGCATGTGCGTGCCTGGTCAGGGGGCTCACCGATACAATCACCCGTGCTACAGCGCTGAGGGTCCTATCAACCTTCCTTGAGATGACGACCTGGACGTCGAATAATGACCCAAATTCCAGGGAGCTCTCATCGTCGCCATACATGGCACTCATTCTCGCTCGGACTGTGAGCGCTTTTGAGCTCAAAGATTGCTTATGGCAGGCGGGTATAAACCCAGACGTACTCCCCGACGCCTCACAGCCGCGTCTCGCCCAAGACCTGCCGGCCATGAAAGACAAGGATCTACTCCTCAATACTGCGATTGAATTGGTAGATTTCCAGTACCTCGAGGACGCTGTGCAGACTAGGAGTCTGCAGTGGCTGGAAGAGCTGGCGACCGTGCGGCCGGCAGTGGTCATGCACTTGTAAGAAATTCTAACCCCCTTACTCAGGTTGGCATGTTACATGCAAGCTGACCATTTTGCCCCCCCAGATGCGGCCCCATCATCTCGATTCTGGATGATATCCTCCTCCATTGCCAGAACTCGGCGACATTGGAGTCGGCACACGCGCTTCTCCAGGCCTTGACCTCGAGTCCGAAATTCGCCCCGGCGCTAGAATCCACAGGCATGCTGAACGAGATCCTGGAGGATATGGGCTTTGGGGGCCTCTGGCGGTCTTGTTCACTCAATTTCGCCCAGGAGCAGGATAAGCAGTGCTTTGTCCTGACAGAGAAGCTCATCGAGGTTGGTATTGCTGCTGCTTGCAGCTCCTACTTTTCTCGCTCCAGGGGCCAGGCTAACAAACCCGCGTTTAGCTCATCATCATCTAGGACATATTACGAGATGGACAGCTGTCAGCCCAGCAGCGTCCGCTAACGGACACGAATGATTTTGTACATAAGCCGTCAAGCACAGAAAAGAAAAGAAAGAAACAAAGAAAGAAAAGACCTGGGAACAACGATGATATCAACCAAAGAGGAATTGCTCTTTCCATGGCTATTTATGATACGAATATATATACCCAGAAATATCGAGGTGCCGAGTGAAAAGAGAAGCTAGAAACGGCTGGTCCAGTTTCAGCAAGCAAGGGCGGAGGAGGTCCATGGCCGATAGGCAGGGAAGGTGGCTCACATAGAGAAGTATGGAGTAGCGCTACACAATACCCTAGTGACCGAGGGAACGGGCTGGCCCATGACCCCGGCCGAAATACAACTTCCTTTCTCATCAGACTACAGCAGATCACCATATAATACCATGTATAACACATAGAACCAATCAATTATATGGAGCAGCTGCAGAAGCTTCACCTTGGCGAGGCACTGAAAATTTTTCAACCCCCCCTCAGATGTTGCAGAAAGGGTGTTTTGTTGGTGTTGATGGGATCTTGCCTGGCCTAGAACCGCAATGGGAAAAGTCTGCTAGCCAATCGGGGTCTGCCGAACCCCCACCTTGCAGCCCTACATCGCACAGGGAATAAGACGAAAGCGACCCCAGAGCTAACAGGGGGGCTATAATTAGTGTGTGTGTCACTTCAAAACTTTGAACACGCATCGAGTCTCGCATTCCATCCTTGCTTGCTTCGCGAGTGATGGCCGAGACATGCGCTGACGACCGGCGTGAGAACCCACCCATCGCATCGCGTTTGAGCTCTCAGCGGGTTAGTCACACAAGTGCTGAGCCGAGGTTGCCCTCGGAATTGGGGACGAGCGCATACAGATCAAGGAGCGCGTGAGCAGGTCAGATGGTGAGCATATAATATGGAACCGAGCACCTACCTCGTGCCGAGCGTTAGATATTCAGCTCGCGAGTGCCGACGCGAACTCCGAGGACGTAGCAAGAGGACGGGAGACTTGCTCTCGGGATCTGAGCCGGCACTTTGGGGAATTTTTTTTTCTGTTGCGTTTTGCGTTTTCCAGCAAATGGAAGATGTCGGACATGTTCGGGCTGTGCCGGATAATCGAGAGCCACCTGGACCTGGGCGAGATCCGTTCGCTTTGGGTGGACTGCGATTGGCGTTGCGACGATCCGGGGCTGCCGATGGCCGATGCACGCCAAAAAAAGGTTCCTGCGGCGCGTGAAAATCTTTTTTCTGTTGAGTTAGAGTCCCGGCCCGCGCTAGCGGGTTAACTACCACCCTTGCCACCCTTGCAGGCCTCCACACCACGCGAGCCAAATGTGGCACAGCAAGGGATTCGGCACCCTGATTTGCGCATCTCAGGACCCTGAGGCGTCGCTCCACCACTACTTCCCGTTCGTTCCAGCCCACCGGTGCCAGGTCTTACAGATCGCAAGTGCACTATCCGTTGGGCGCATTTTCCCCGGCTGGGAGGCCTGGAAGGCAATCCATCCCGTTTCCGGCAACACCAGCGTAGGTATGTACTATAGTATGCACTCTCTGGCGCCGCACACTTGCAGTTTGCATAATCTCAGCGCGCAATGTTGTCCCATCTGTCCCATCTGCCATATTGCTCTCCGAACCACCGAGCTCAACGAAAGGGACAAGAAAAATGTACACACGCAACTAAGCGATTCAACAGGCTCGGCGATGCAGTGAGTGAGACCTCCATGGGACCGAGAGGTCTGGCTGGTCTGTTCCGGCTATATCGGCGACCACTACTACGCAATGGTCATGGGCATGGTTCTGGCCCTATTTGAGCATGTATTAGCGTGCAAAGGCTACTCTATGTTTGACTTTCAAAGACCGGTAGTCTATAGTGTACCCGCGTAACTTCCGCAACATGGATTAGAAATGGAATTCCATTATCGTATTAGAGACGTCACGAGACTTGCGATGGATACGGTAGGTACACGGTTGAATTAGGCATGCTTTGTATCTCGCTCCGTTGATGCGTCACCCAGCACAAGCCACAGCTAGTTGGCATTTAGGTTCAGCTTGGTCAGGCGACCAACCCACGTACCTACTATCTGGGCTTCCTAATCTAGGTTTCTCTTGAATGGCACCAGGATGCCTCAAGGCCAACATCCCTATGCCAATTGTTAGCAGTGAGGCGGCTCGCAGAATGCGCTCTCTTGTGGTGCCGATTCGATCGATTCGGTGCAGGTAAGGTTCTAGTGTGGCTGAGCGCACCCCTGCAAGCCTATGCAAGGTGGTCGATCCAGCGGTGCAGGGGTCATTTTGAGCGCACCCTGTCTCCGACGTCATCTTTCCGCTCGGTTAGACAAGGATATGAAGCCGCCACCAGCCGCGAGCTGGGTTCATAGCAAAAACTCAGACCAAGGGAAGTGAGAGATTGTGTTGTCCTCAAGCTGTGCTGCTATACCTACCTATCGGCAGATACACAACCAAAAACCGAAGAGTTGATTTGCTCCTATCCGCCAAGCCCTTGGTACTTTGCAGAGTTACGCCAAGCACCTCAAGGTAGATGCGCACGTGACGCGCCATGCCGCCGTGCGTGACTCAGAGGGTACAAAATCGCTACCTAAACTTGGCAGCTCACGCCAACTTGGAAAGGTGACTCGCTGGACCCTTGGGTGAAACGCTTTTGCACGGAGATAGTATATGCAGCGTGTTCGGTCCGTCGGTATATACTCAGCTTCCATCGATACCTACCTATCTCGGGTGGGTCGGCTAGTACCTCCGTATAGGTACGTTCCTTAGTCACTTTAGTGACAAATCTTAGTGTAGAACGTTGCGGGCTGTTCTCGGCGATTCCATCAATCATCATGCGTACCCTGCCTACCAGATCCCTGCACGCTCCTGCAGTGACCTTGCATGAGGAACCCTGCTTCCTCAAGACTACTACGCCATGACGACCCACTTACTCACCCCACCTTCCGTCATTCTGTTATAAGTAGAATCGCCCTCTCCGGCTCCCCTCGACTTCAAATATTGCCACCGAACTCTTAAACTTAACCCATACCTACCAGGCAACGAGCTAAGATCATTTTGTGATAATGATGCTCACCCATAACCATAACCATCATCGCCAACAGCAACAACAACAGGCACAACATCAACTTCAAGACCAGCTTTTCTACGGTCTGCACACGAGTCCTTATTTCGGAGGCAACGATTTCGACCTGGACGCCGATTTGGACAGCATCTCGTCGTCGCCTGTTTCCACCCAGTCGTTCCTGTCGCAGTACTCGAACGTTCAAGGGGCGCCGCTGTCTGGCATTGACAACATCGCCACCGGCGCGGTTCCCAGAAGAACGCAACAGGTCTCTTTGTCCGATTTCCCCAGCTCAGGGTACCGAGCAGCCCTCGACGGCGGAGACGAGCCGTCTTTGTTTGCAAACAACGACCCGATGCACATGGACTCGTGGCTTCCGAACACACAACTGACCCCAAAGTCGGCTGCACGATACTCGCACAATCGCGACTCATCAATGTCATCTCTGGGGTCTGCGGGCCCGGCCTCGCCGTATTCGCACAACACTTCGAACCCCCAGATTGCCGTCACTGACTCTATCGACGACTTCCACGGACTTCCAAACGGCGAAGACGTCCAATACCACCTAGCAAAGTCGTTCCAGCCATCGACGCATGAGAACTTCTATGCGAACCTTTCCAACTACGGGCCGGCCGACGCGAGCGTCAACTCAGCGCGCATCAATATGGCCAGGGTTCCTAGGCAGAGGAACGAGCGAGGCTTCCTGCCGCCGCCCGACTTCCCGAGGAGCCAAAATAGGTCACGGCCAGCTTCGGTGGCGAGTTCCATTGTCAGTGACTCACCGGCCACGCCAGCTGGGGAGCCTGAAGACGTTAGGAGGCAAAAGACTTGTGAGCTGCTCGGAGGTGTTGACCAGTTTGTATTCGACTCATACTCACCTTTCTCTGATGGCGCAGCATCCAATACCGTTCCGAAACTCGACCGCACCATGACCGACGTCTATAATGACGAGCTCTACAACCCAAACTTCAACATCACTTCCGCGTCGCCTAGTCAAATCCCGGTCACTTCGAGTAACGACTTGTTTGCCCAGAGATTGCAGGCTGCCAACAGTCAGCGTCTAAGCGCCGTTCATTCTCCGGTTTCGACATCTCCTAGAGATAGGTCGCCGTTCCGCCATGGTTCTCCACTAGCTCCGATGCCCAGTCACGACTTCTCCGCCATGCCTTCTACGCACATGGGCTTTGGCTCAGCCCAGCAGCTGAGAGAACAGAGAAAGGCGGAACAGGACGCACAGGCCATGCAGCAACAGCTATCGGGCCATACAGGCACCGACACCCCGCAGACAATATCTCCCAAGGACGCCGTTCTGGAGTTCAACTCCCCGGACGGGGACGCCAACTTCCCACTCTTCCCGCAGCAAGACTCGAATGGCTTCGACACATCACAGCTGAAGGGACTTGCTCAAATGTCGCAGCCGTTCAATAACCTGCAACTCGACGGAAGTTCGTTCGGCAACTATGTCACGCATCAACTTCCCACCAACCTCCAGGTCCCGCAACAATACCCATTCGTCCCGCAGCAGCAACCCCGCCAGCAGAACAGGGAGCCGTCGATGAGCAACAGCTCCATGGCTCCGTCAAGGCTTAGCTCGACCGAGTCGGGGCAGTCGGAAGGCGTGCACAGCAGTAGCCCGCAGAGACCGGCGGGAACAAGCGCCGACGGGGGCACCTACACTTGCACGTACCACGGCTGCACGCTACGATTCGAGACCCCGGCACTTCTGCAGAAGCACAAGAGGGAGGGCCACCGCCAAAGCCACGGGCTGGGTACTCAGCAGCGGAAACCCGATGTGGCTGGAGCCGGCATGACATCCAACCTCCTCAACAGCCAGGCGGGTCCACACAGGTGTGACCGGATCAACCCCAGCACTGGGAAGTCTTGCAATACAATCTTCTCACGCCCTTACGACCTTACACGGCACGAAGATACGATCCACAATGCCCGCAAGCAAAAGGTGCGCTGCGACTTGTGCACGGACGAGAAAACCTTCAGCCGCGCAGATGCCTTGACAAGGCATTACCGGGTCTGCCATCCTGACGTCGAATTCCCTGGCAAGCACCGGAAACGTGGAGGCGGCCAGAGTGTATGAAGTCACCAGTACGACAGTTGTGGAGAGCGATCTCTTATGATACCACCCCACACGCTACTGGGCCCCCCAACGGCTGGCTCCGCGGAAGGGCTCGCTTAGCTGATGATGTACGAATCCAGACAAACGGCATCATGCAATAAAGCTTTGGGAGCAAACGACAATGGAGAAGACATCATCAGTCATTGCCGATCGAATCAGCCGATTTGGCAATCCTGGCCTGGCTTTGCTTTCCAGACCACTTTGGGGAGTGCATGCCTGCGAAATGACGTCGATCCATGTGGGCCGCCTAGCAATCCATGAGCCGAGGGATGTGGGATGATGTCTTGGTCATCGACGACAATTCTGCCCTGTGGTTGGCTGGAAGAAGCCACGCCAAGAAATCGGTGTGGCCTGTCACGAGGCCTTGACTGGACGAGCTCCTGCAGGGTCCTCCGATGGCCCTTGGCCTTGTCGATGCGATTTGGCATCCAACCAATACATGACGTCACTCAGAACCACATCCCGACAACTTCTCTACTGTTCCCTTCCTCTGTTACATCGGTCTCGCATCGTTGGTTCTTTTTTTCCTTCGCCTATTTTTATATATTACCGTTTCCTTTACGCGTATATACTAGGTCCCTTTCCTGTTTTGTGCACTCGATAGCTCGATAGTATCGTCTCGTTATAGGATTTGAAAGCGGGGTGCATTTGGGGACGGCGGTGGAGCACTGGCTCCTTGTAACACTAGCATTAGACATCATCGGTTGGCATTGCGCATAGCATTCCCAATTGCGACTGTATCATTTACGGATGTATTATTTCCCAGCATTGGGGTTTCTGGGAGAGAAAAGGGAGAAAAAATAAAGCGGCACTTGGGTTCGTTTGGAACGGAATAGTTACCCCGGGAAAAAAAGGATAGGGAAAAGGGCAGGCCCTCCTTATTTTGTGTTGATGACGATGAACGATTTCATGATGGTTAGTCATGAACTAACAAAAGAAGAAAGGCGGTAGTCCGGTTCGGGGACGCAAGGGGATAAGCTTAATTACATAGACTAGGTAACCTACGCCCCAGTTGGCGATATGTACCTGCGTACTTACTGCGTACTTATTAGTCACTCGTTCATGACTGGAAGAAAATACCTCTTGTGACTGACAAGTAGCATGCCAAACATTGGGAAGAGTCGGATATCTCGCGACAGGCGGAACTGTATACACACCAGCTGACCTCTGTCGACACGAAGGTGAGAAAATAAGACGGGGTTCAGCAATGCTGGTTTTCCTACCTACCTACCCTAGAGGAAGCCCCGGATGACCAGGAAGGAGAGAAGCCGGAGCTCCGAAGCTAGATCGGTCACGATGTCACGATGAGCAGTAAGCTTTTGAGTCAGCCAAGTAGCATTCGCCCTTGAGCCGCGTCAGCCTCATATGATGATTATAAACTGCAACGTCGGCAGGAGAGCGATTTCGGAAAGTGATTTGTTTCTCCAGGGTCAGCAGTAAGCACCGCCGCTAGAGTGACGACTACGTCTATATCTACCTACTTGTATCAAAAACCCGTCCGCACCTTTTGTACCTTTTGTTGAATGTGACCGTCTTACTTCTCTACATCTCCCGTCACAGCCGACCGAGCATCCGAATACAACGGCGTGATGCCGGTCCAGAGTTGGAACTAGGTAGACCACTGTAAGCGCGCCTGTCAAGCATGTATAGTGTCGAGGGCGGAGGGAGAGAAGAACAAAGGGCCTAACGAATTGGGGGGGTGGGAAGGTGGCGGAGCAGGGCGATGTGCCTGGATTGGGAACTGCAAAAAGGAAGAGAAACTCGTCGCACGCACCTGATACCATCCCTGGGCGGAGAGAACCTCCAGCCCGGGAATTGTATGCCAGCCGGCATCCTCTGCCAACTGCATAAGCGGCGTCTGCCGCGGCATATACGCCATCTCCAACAGGACCCTGGTTCTTCCGCCAGCAGCAGCCATTGGGTGTCGCAGAATAGTCACCAGCACCTCCTGCATGTTCGAGTCGACAGGCTTATCAGCGGGAATGGTGGTGATGATGACACTTGGGATGGAGGTTGACAAGCCGGCCGCTTGCTCGGCTCCCTCTAGAACCTGTATGTCGTAGTCGGACGGGAAGGAGTCGGCAAGGCTCCTGACGCGGTCCGGGTTCCTAGCCACGATGTAGATAGGCGAGTAGCCGAGAGCATGCAAGGCGTAGATGGCGGCCCGCGTTGTGCCACCAGAGCCTACAACCATGCCACCGCCAGGGGGCGAACGGGTGCGCTTGACGGGCCCTGCCGAGCGGAGGGCAAAGACCATGCCCATCCAGTCGGTATTATCGCCCAGAAGGCGTCGCTGCTCCCCGCCAGCAGCCTGGATTGGGATGATGGTGTTCACGGCACCGATCACCCGTACAGCCTCGGTCACTTCGTCTAGCAGCGGCATGACGTCCAACTTGAGGGGGATCGTCACGGACGCGCCGCCGAAGTGCGATGATCGGATGAGGTCGCTAACTTCCTCTGCACGATCCGTCTCGAAGAGGGAGTAGTTGTGCGGTAGGCCAGTGTCTCGGAACAGCGTGTTATGCAGCGCCGGAGAGCGCGACGACCCTATGGGTTTGCCGAAGAGGTAGAAGGAGAGCGGTTCAAGTTCGCCAATGAGAGCTGATGCTTGCCTAATTTCAGCCGCCGAGAGCTGGCCTGGTGCCGCTTTTGAGGGCAAGGCGGGGTGCGAAACGGGAGTCATGAATCCATTGAGCACCCGGCTCAGCTTGCCCACGGCTCCCATATTCAGAGCAATAACCGGAACACCATGTGCCGCCATCATCCTCGACTTGAAGTGGGTAAGAGCAAAGTTATCCCCCATCTCACGAGCAACGCCGACAAGCTTTATGACATCGCCATGTTGCAGTGCCTTGTTGTAGAATGGTATCCACCCCCCGTTCTTCCAGGACAAGATGGCCTGAGGATCGTGGTGCGAAGCGATGATGCGAGTAAACCCCTTTGCTTCAGTCACCGCTTGGATAATTTGATCCGGCATTGTGATTTCGAGATCCAGGAATTCCACTCCGACCCTCAGGGCGGTCAGGTACAGTCTCAGAGCCAAATCGTGCTCGCCGTCCGGGAATCGACCCCCCTGGCTCACTGTACGGATCGTGTAGACAATAGGGATCTTGGCGAGGGACCGGAGCAGCGCAACTTGGGCTGCGACGAACTCGGGGGAGTAGTCTTCCAACAGGTCCACCCTCAACTCGACAGCGTCTGACCCAACGACCACGCGAGGGATGACGTCCATGGCTGATGTAATATTGGGCACGGTCAACGACACGAAAAACGAGTGCTTCTTCTCTATCAGGTCCTCCATATGCGTGCTTGTGCCGCACAGGACGGACAGGAAGCGAGTGAAGTCAGGCGGAGCCTCGAGCAGGGTTTCCGAGACATCCACGTGCGGGCTGTGGTACTGGAAGTTGCTGCATTGCTGGAACCACGGCTCCCGTCGATCGTAGACTTCGCGAATGTTCTCCGAGTACGCCGGGCGCGACTTGTCTCTCATGAGGTACTCAACAACCTGGTCGGTGTCTCGGTGGACCAGAAGGACACATCCACCACTTCGGTGGTAAGCGGTAAGCATCTCGCGAGCATCAGGCGACTCAACAATACCACCACCACAGGAGAAGACGTGACCCTCGGCTCGATTCTTGATCATATCCTCGAGGACATTGAGCTCGGCCTTCCGGAAGCCTTCCCAACCAGGGTCGCCCCGAATCATGTCAGGGATCGTCATACCCTCTCTCCTCTCCAGCTCGACATCCAGGTCGACAAATGGCCTTTTCAGGCTCTCCGCTATCCAGGCTCCGGCAGTGGTTTTGCCAGCACCTCTCATCCCAATGACAAAGATGGACCGCTTGATGCTCGACCTGGAGGCGTCCCTTTTCTTAGCCTTCGGCTGCTGCTCCTCTACGCCTTCGAGATAGACCTTGAAGTGTTCCGACAAGACATCCCACCAACCCGGCCACGTCTTGCCCACGCACTCGCGTTCAAGTATCAGCACGGGATGAGGGGACAGAACAGACAGAACGCTAAAGCTCATGGCCACGCGGTGGTCATCGTAACAAAACACACCGCCATGGGGATCCAGTAACTCCTTGTAGGGCCGTCCGGTGACCTCGATTCCATCGGGTAGTTCTGCGCATTGCACTCCGAACTTGGCTAGCTGGTCCTTCATGGCCGCAATTCGATTACACTCCTTTACCCGCTGATTCGCGATCCCGGTAATCCGGGTCGTGCCGTCGGCGACAGCTGCCAGGACCGATGCTGTCAGGAAGGCATCTGTCATGGGCTCCATGTCGACGTGAGCGAGTGCCTTCAATGAGCCGACCGGCGGGCCCGTCACGGTGGTGGAATAGTCGGTCTGCTCAACAGCGCAGCCCATAGGCAGCAGCACGTCCTTGGCGAAGCGGGCATCTCCCTGGAGGGACTTGGATCCGATGTTGGGGATGGTGCAGGTCGTCCCAGTAATCGCTGCAACGGCCAGGGGGTAGGTGGCAGAACTGGCGTCACTCTCAATCGTATACTCGGCAGGGTTCCTGTACACTCCTTGGGGAATATAGTACGTGTTTTCTTCGCCGACTCGCACGTTCACACCAAAGGACGCCATCATGGCAATGGTCATATCGATGTATGGTTGAGATATGGGTTTCCCGCCCACGAGCTGCAAGGTGACGGGTTGCTTCGCATACGGAGCTGCCATTAACAGCGATGAGACGTACTGGGAAGAGATGGTCGCCGCCAGCTTTATCATCCCGCCAACGAGCCCGCCGGCAGCATCCACCTGCACAGGCAAGCTGTGCTCCTTCTCGAGGTACTTGACATTCAGGCCATTTGAACGCAAGGCGTCAACCAAGGGACCTATCGGTCTGACCTTCATCCTGGCGTTGCCGGTAAGAACGGTCGAAGAGACGTCGGAGGGGGAGCAGAGCGCAACAACCGATGTGAGAAAGCGCGAGGCTGTACCAGCATTGCCCAGGTAGAGGGGCTCCTTGCTGGCGGTCAATTTCCCACCCTTGCCCTTGACAACGAGAACTTCGCCGGCATCCTGCCATGAGTACGTAGCCCCGCCAAGCTGAGCAATCGCCGACAGCATGTACTCGGTGTCATCGGAATGAAGCAGGTTGCGCAGGTGACAAGTTCCTTCACCCAAAGCAGCAAGTATAAGAGCGCGGTTTGAGACGCTCTTGGACCCAGGGGGGGTCACAGTGACAGAAAGACCACTGGGGACGCCGGGGCTGACACGGATAGATGCTGATAGGACGATGCGAATAGCTCGGTCGTCAACCACGCTGGCTTTCGGCTCATGAGTCTTGCCAATGGCGGAGAGTAGGACAATCTTCTTGGAACGGCCATCGTTCTTCTTATCGACGGCCATCTTCTCCAGCAGTACGTCGACGGGGCATTGCTTGCCCGCAGTAAGCTTCGCTACGCGTTTGTCCTCAAGGGAGGTCGGTAGATCGTAGCTTGCGATGCATTTCACAAGGCGAGCAACCGCACCAGGGCGGAGAACCCCAAGAAAGCGGGCTAGCTCGGCCTCTTTCACCATGCCGATGGCAACAGCTTCTCCGTGGAGAAGCTGAGGAGTAAGGATGGCCTCAATGGCATGACCAATGGAATGCCCGAAATTCAGCAGGTTCCGGAGCCCCCCTTCTCTCTCGTCCGAAGACACGACCTCGGCCTTGACGCGAGCGGACCCAAGTACGATGCGCTTCAGGATGTGACGGATCGGAGCCAAGCGACCGGCTTGATCAGCTGGGTTGGAGCGTATTGCGGTTAGGACGGCGGCTGCGTTCTCCTCCAATGAAGCAAACTCGGCTTCGTCCCAGATGGCGGCAGTCTTGATGACCTCGGCCATGCCGTTGATGAACTCGCGAACCGGCAGTGAGTCGAGGAATGCCAGGTCTATGTAGATCCTCTGCGGCTGCCAGAAGGCGCCGACCAGATTCTTGCCCATTGGGGTGTCAATGGCTGTCTTGCCGCCGATGGACGAATCTACCATGGCGAGCAGAGTGGTCGGGACCTGGACGAAACGAACTCCGCGCATGAAGGTAGCGGCAACATAGCCTATCATATCACCGATCACTCCGCCTCCGAGTGCAATAACAACGGTATCACGGGTGCACTTCTGGGAGAGCATCCAGTCCTCGATCTCGGCCTTGGTCTCGCGGCCCTTCGATGACTCGCCGGGAGGGATTGCGTAGGTCAGAAGGCGCACATTGTCCGACTGGCCAGCTTCGGCAACAGCGCCATGGAAGACTCGTTGGAATTGCGGAACGTAGAGGGGGGATAGGTTTGTGTCGGTGAGGAGCACGTAGGTCGAGGATTTGATGTTCGTCAACAGGTCGTGAGTCACATAGGAGAGCCAAATGCCATAATCGACAACGATATTCTCCTTCCCCAGAATGGGAATTCTGGTAGGGCCTGAGCCGTTGACGGCCGCCATATCGTCGCCGAGTGTGGAAGTATGAGGGCCAATATGTGTGCGCATTCGCGATCGAGGAGGGGTTGAGGGGAGCAAAAGAGAGGTGCGAAAATAAAAATAAAAATAATATGGATTAGGAAGAGGTAATTCACACGGTACCTCCCACCACCATTGGGGATCCATACGATTTGGCATTTGAGTGCATGGACCATTTACTGGTCCGAACAGCTCCGTTGGCCGGGAACGGGCTAGGCAAGTGGATCCTCATTTCACCGCTGGCACTTGGCATTTCCATATCGCCGTCGTCCCTGCATAAGATAAACACTAGGTGCAGACTGTGCAGGTAGGGTGTAGGCTACTGCGCCGTGACTATTTAGTTCCCGGGCTCCCAGCTGCTGCCTTCCAGTATGCTAGGCACCTTAGCCCAGGGCCCCAGCCGCCCAGCTATGCGTGGGCATATATATATATGTGTGTATGTGGCTCGGCCAATGTCCGTCCTATCCAAGACTCTCCGGTCAATTACTCTGGCCAAGATTCACGAACTCGAATCTCGTCGCGAATCCTATGAGGCACACAAACGGCAGTTCTTGGCCAAGGCTTACGTTGCCAACGACGAACGGGATCGTCTTGCATGTCTGTTAGACGGCATCAAGGAGCTCTATCCCGCAGCTTCCAAGGACCCGTCCCTGGCTAATATGGAGCGCTGGCTAACCCAGTCCCGCTACGATCCTTCCATCCCAAAGACCATGCTCGGCTCCTTCGACGAACAACTTCGCGCAAAGCTAGACGTTCAAGGCCGAAAACTCGCCGTGGCAGACCTGTACTCGAGACTCCTGACTGAATGGCTGGATCAGTCTCCATCAGACCCCAATCTGCCCCCCAACCCCTTGTTGATTCCTCGGGTGATACTTTCGAGGTCGTTGAGCTGCAGAAGCAACGCCTGAGGGAACTTGTCGACAAGTTCGAGTCGGTCGTCTTTGAGCACTTGAGACCAGTGGCTCTGACATCCTCTCTTTTCTGGACGGGCTATTTCCAGATGAGGAGAGTCGCAAGGCGCCTGAAAACCTCCGCCAGGATATCGCATCCAGCGCAGACGGGCTCATGCACGAGACGGCCCCATTGATCGAGATTCCCTAACTCGCTGCATCAAGGGTCTGCTGACCGAGGATTTGCTCAGCGACGAGAAGCAGGCAATCCTTCAGGACTTCCTCGGCAGTGGCGTGGCTCTGTCAGAGATTGCCGACGTCCTAAACATGCGCTTCTCTGATCTCAAGCACTGGCAGTGGGACGCCGGCGATGAAGGTATCCGTGTCATGCCACGCCAGCAGCTGAACGGCAAATATCGCATCTGGGCCGACGATGACATCCTGCAGATGATATCTGTACAGTATATTGGTATTCGGCTGTGTAATATTCTTAAGACGGCCTTGAGAACCTTCGTGTCGAACCCATCCGGCTGGACGTGGAATGCCCATCGGGCCCCTACCTAAGGGGACCTGGACAGGCGTCAGTACCACACCGGCGACTCGTTCGCACCACAGGACAGTGTTGAGACCAGACGCAAGTCGGCCTATCTCAAGACCTTTTTCCTTTCTCAGCTCCCCACTAATGAGTCAAAACTGTTCGAGGGCGGCAGTGGAGCATACAATAACGACGACGACAAGCTCTCTTCAACAAGCCCACAGAAGCGCTCAAGCGTTATGCAGAGGCTTCTTCGCCAGCTTACTTCCAAGTTGCTAATTCATCAACTGCAGGCCAAGGCATACAGCTCCTCCACCAACACAGGCAGCAGTGTGGCACTGGTTCAGGCCAACCTGCAGTGGTATGCTACCAGTCTTCCCCATAGTACCATCTATTCCGTCATGCGCTATATTAGCTTCAGGAATGACTAGATCGACTTCTTCAAGAAGTACCTCAAAGCTCCGTTGAACCTCAACTGCTCGTCCAACAATAGGCCAAAGTTGGGACCCAGGATCCGCAAGAGGGGGGTGCCAATGGCACATGCCTCAGAGAAGTTCACCAGCAAGCTTGTCTTAATTTTCATAGACTTCGCCGTGAACCGTCAAACCAGCCTACTACTCTACCAGCTTCATGGCAATATCTGGCTCTGTGGTACGCCTGAGACAAGTGCCTAGGCCTGGAGCTACATGCGGGACTTTGTCACGGTATTCAGTTTAGAGTTCAACAAGAAGAAAACCAGGTCTGTGTACCTAGCCAAGTCTTTCAAGTTGAATGCAAAGGTAGCTAGTACGCTCCCTCCAGGACCCGTGACCATCGGATTTCTTCGCCTCGACCCTCGCTCGGCTGAGTAGGTTATCGACCAGGACCTCGTAGACGTCCATATAAACCAGCTTTAGAAGCAGCTCAGTGCATGCAAGAGTGCTATCTCCTAGGTTCAGACCTAGAACAGGTGCATTAGGCGATTCTTCAGCCACCACACGTTTAGGGAGCCGGCTTATTGCTTCGGCCGCAAGCATGTCGACAGTATCCCTGTGACGTACAAGCGGATGCAACGCTCCCTCTTCGATGGGCGTGACGGTGCGGGAAGTAATGCCGTGGACCATCGTGCGTACATTTCTTGGACTTTAACCCTTCAATGCCATCCTCGGGCCTTTCCATTGCTTGGTTCTATGAGTACTAACATGGACCCGCGCAGTCAAGCTCATGACACGGACTAGGTTCGATGCCACAGACATCCCAGATGCGTTCATCCTTCTTTCCGAGCAACTTGGTGGTCTCGGGCTCAGGAACCCTTTCATCGGGCTTTTCCTCATCCGCGAGTAGATCGAATAGGTCCTAGGCGAGATTATGCGAGAATTTCTCGAGGAGGAGCACACGGACTACCTGGCCCTGAAGAAGCTTTTCGAGACCACGAGTGAGGCTGCCCTTCGGCGGCGCCTACACAACATCTACCCAAACGAGAAGTTACTCGACGTTCTGCCATTCGGCCTTGCGGGGTTGACGCATTCATGTCTCTGGAGGAATCCTGCAAGTTCCGCGAGGCTGCAGTGCGCACCTCTTGACTACGTACACGAAACTCATGTCAACCCCAGAGACCAAAGACATCGTCCTCGGCAAAGAGGTTAAACATGGTCTGAGTCAGCTGAGGGACTAGATGCAGATAGGTAGGTCACTTCGACTCAGAAAAGAAATGGGCCCTGCTGCGAGAGGCTTGACAAGTCGCAAGGTAAATCGAATTGTGGCCTCGACTACTGTCTACTTTGACTAAAAGAAAAAGAAGAGAAAAGGGGGAAGGAAAACTCTGCCAAATAAAGGGAAGAAGAAGTGCATGCGTAGGTGTATGCGCTACGCTACTGTTAGCTTTGCAAGTGCATAGGTTTGAGATATGTAGCAGCTGCTAGAAAGTTGCTAGCTGCTAGATTAGACCTGCAAACCCTAGCCTATTACATAGACAAGCCTTTGCATAGGCTTAACTATGTTATTATAAAGATTACTTGATAATCTAACTCTAAACCTATATATTAAGGTAACCACAATAGTGATAACTAAGCGGTTTGCTAATTAAGCATCAAATACGACTTATTTATAAGCCTACAAAGTAGCTAAGTCACGTGATAGCTTCTTACCTTATAATTGGCATTTGAAGTCTAAAGGACTTTCTTGCCAAAGGCAACCCTAACCCTAAGAACAAGGTAGCCCTGCAAGTCTAGGGTAGCCTGGCAAGTCCAGGATAGCCTGGCAAGTCTAGAGTAACCTTGCAAGTACAAGGTAGGTGTAAAAAATCAAACCACCTAAAACCTTCAAACCTTGTCAAACCACTTGATACGTATCACCACCTTGTAAGTGTGTGATCTACGTATTACTACTGATTCAAACAATCGGATCCTACAGACCCGGTCTGATCAGCCGATTCGAGGTATCAAGTTGTTTGATCTAGTAGATCAAGTAAAGCAAGAAGACTGAATTTTTACTATATAGTCAGTTAGATTAGCCGGCTGACTTTGGAAAAAATCATCATCAACTACAAAATACAACCAGTCTTCTGCACCTTACTTGCCTACCTATAAAGATTACTTAATAATCTAACTCCAAACCTATATATTAAGGTAACCACAATAGTGATGACTAAGCGGTTTGCTGATTAAGTATCACATATGACTTATTTATAAGCTTACAAAGTAGCTAAGTCATATGATTAATCCTTACCTTATAATTGGCATTTGAAGTCTAAAGGACTTTCCTGCCAAAGGCAACCCTAACCCTAAGGACAGGATAGCCCTGCAAGTCTAGGATAGCCCTGCAAGTCTAGGATAGCCTTGCAAGTCTAGGGTAGCCTGGCAAGTCTAGGGTAGCCTTGCAAGTATAGGGTAAATGCAGAAAATCAAACCACCTAAAACCTTTAAACCTTGCCAAACCACTTGATATATATCACTACTTTGTAACTATGTAATCTATGTATTACTACTAATTCAAACAATTGGATCTTACAGACCTAGTCTGATCAGCCAATTCGAGATATCAAGTTGTTTAATCTAGTAAATCAAGTAAAGCAAAAAGACTAAATTTTTACTATATAGTTGTAACAGGTTGCAGGACTTAGGTTGGCAGCAGGACAGAGGCACGAGGGTGATTAGTCTAACTAACTTATACAAGGTGGCTAATTGGCATAGGTTTCGAGAGAGAGGGCAGTCGCGACAGTATTGCTAGTAAATCAGGTAGGAAACTGTCTCGAGTAGCTTCTTAGCTAGAACGTATATTAAAGCCTGCCCTTGTAAACCTTTAGGCAGGTCCATCGCAGTCTTTAACTCTAGGCTGCCCGGCAGTCCTTACGCAAGCCCCTTGCGAAAACCTTGTAAGACTGTCAACTAGGCTAGCTAGACATTCCTATCTTGCAGGGTAAGACTATACTAATTACAAGGCCTTTCAATTGAAAGCTGCGCTTGCGCTAATCACTTAAAGCCACTTATGCAGCAGACTAAGCCACCTTAGCCACCAGGCTTTCCCAAGCCCTGCGCGTAGAGGCTAGGGCAATATTAACCTAGGCTTTCAAGGCGTAACAACTATCCTCTCTCCAAAAAGACGTCCGCATCTCTAGCACCCTCCACGCCCTACCTAATTACTCGCTGGTAGATAAGCGCTTTCTGCCTAACTAGCTAGCGCCAAATCCTCGTTAAAAAACCTTCCGCAACCTCTTTTTGTTACGCCTTAAAAGCCTAGGTTAATATTACCTTAGCCTTTACACGCAAGGCTTAGGAAAGCCTAGAGGCTAAGTGTTACGCCTTTAAAAGCCTAGGTCAATATTGCTCCAGCCTTTACGCGCGAGGTCTGGGAAAGCCTGGTGGCTAAGGTGGCTTAGTCTGCCGCATGAGTAGCTTTAAGTGATTAGCGCGAGCGCGGCTTCTAATTGGAAGGCCTTGTAATTAGTATAGTTCTACCTTGCAGGGTAGGAAGGCTTAGCTAGCCTGGTCGACGGTTCTACAAGGTCCTCGCGAGGGGCTTGCGTAGAGACCTTGGGCAGTCTTGAGTTAAAGACTGCAATAGACTTGCCTAAAAGGTTACAAGAGCAGGCTTTAATATACATTCTAGCCAAAAAGCTACTTGAGACAGTTTCCTACCTAATTTACTAGCAATACTGTTGCAACTGCCTTTTCCCTCAAAACCTATGCTAATTAGCTACCTTGTATAAGTTAGTTAGACTAATCACCCTTATGCCTTTATCCTGCTGCTAACCTAGGTTTTGCAACCTATTACAACTTTGAAGCCTTTTTCAACAAGCTTGCTATATGGCACGCTTTTGCCTTTGATTTAATACGCTAACCCTACTAAATTCCACAATGTTAAATAATAACAACAACACTAGCATGCCTAATTAACCTAGCATTAACCTTGCCGCTAGCCTTGCAGTAGACTCCTCTGCTACCACTTTACTAGCCAGACAAGTAGCTTCTACCGCTACAAACCTAAAAAGCTACCTAGCTTACAATATCAACCATATCTACTTCTACTTGCGTAGGCAAATCCAATACTACATAAACAGCGCTTATATTCTAGGTAACTAGCTAGCTGCCTTTGTCAAGGCAGTAAAGCTTTGCAACAAAGCGTAGCAACTTACTAGCCTAGGTTTAGAAACTGACAACAAGTTGTTGCAACCTACTAGTGAGAAAGAGAGACACAAAACCACCTACTTACCTACCTCTCAATGTAGTATACTGCTGCTAAAGCGTAGGCTCCAACGGTAGTAGCTACATAATTGGCTGGCAAGCGGATAGAATCGTGCTTTTTCCTTACCTCTAGCGCACGTGACTAGTTAGGTAACCCTAAGTAGCCTCGTTACGTCTTGCGGTAGTGCCTAAATCTAGTCGTGTAAATAAGATAGGAAAACGCTAGTGGCGTGATTAATTGAATTGAAGGCGTAAGGAATAGAATGCGGTAAATTAAATATTATTACGTAGAAAGCTTTGAAATAACTAAGGTGTAAAGAGTGCTGCTTGTAAATCTGTGTAAGTTTGCGTAATTGATGATAATCTTACAATTTAAGGCCTTGATTACGCTTTTATATAGAAGCGTAGAAAATCTAGTCTGAAGTTGACTTATCCTAGCCTAAAGCAGCCTGTGCCTTTTCCATTCACTACGTTACTAGTATGCTAAGCCTAAGTATAGTCTAAGGAAGCCAACCTGCTACTCTTTAGCTTGAGAATACAGCTGCAAATCTAGCTTAAAGAGCCTGCTAGGAGCCTAATTAGAGGTTTTGCTAGGCTCTTAGTTAGGGGTTTTACCTAAGACTTTACTAGCTATCTCTTGACAAAGATAGCAAGCCTGACGATTACTTTAAAGCCTACCTTAGCTTGAAAGGCATTTGTATCGACAAGATTACCATACTAAAGGCTAACAAAGGTTTTGCCAACTACTGCGCCTAGTTTAACAACCTTAAGACTGCTTTTATTGCAAACCCTAACTAGTACTAGACTGCTAATATATAGGTTGCCTTTGCTACTAGTTATTTTGACTAGACTATGAAAAACTGTTAGCATATAGCAATTAATACTTACTTATACATATGCTGCCACTAGTATAAATTTGTCTGCTAGGTTTAACAAAACTACTCCTACATGCAAGCTAACTGTTAAGACAACCTTTGGAAGTAGTTTAAAGCCTAGCAGAAGGATAGTAAAAGCCTAGTCAACTTCCATACCTAACTAGAGTTTGGCGCGTTGGCAGGAGGCTACTTCAATAGCAATCTTGTGATATTGTACAAAGTAAAAGTAGTGTTGATATTTGGTGGTTTCTACGCAGAGGGCGCGTAGGCTTTGACTAACCTGCGCTAGCGCACAGGCTAGGTCACAGGCCTCCAGAGCCACTTCAAGCCCCACCCTCACTGTCTATTTACAGCTAGTAGAAACTATCCTTTCTACCTTACCAAGCCTTACGTATCAATATGCTAGGCTTGAAAAAGAATCTACCTGCTCTTAGATGTCACATGGCAATGCTGCTATTAGTGGAGGCCTAATTGGCCTAACTAGTCAGGCTACTACCACTAAAAAATCCAGAGATTATCTAATTGTACAAATATTGTAAATCTAGACGCTTTTGAATGGTTTAAAGGGCTAGATTCTACAGCGCCAAAATTGTCAATTTCCTAGAATCAATTCCAATACAATAAATTAATCTTCTTCCAATCCTAGAACCAACAAGACATGTAATTGGCTTAAAATAAGTCACATGCCAATGTTAAATTAACTGCCAATGTCTTTGTAAGTTAGGCTTGTTGCATGCGACAGCTTAATTGCTATATATGCGGCTTAGTAGCTAGCTTTGCCAGTCCTTTGGTTAGCTTAGTGGCTAGCTTTGTAGCCTTGGAGGCTTTAGCCTTCTAGCCTTTAGTCTTCTTAGCAGAAAGCTTGCCTGCCTTAGCCTTATATTTGTTAATAAGGCGTTGTAAGTGGTTTAGATCTGCCACCTTTTTCTACTTGTTATACTTGTAGCCTTAACCTTTCTACTTGATTAGGTATTGAGTTATAGCTATGCAGCTGCGGCTAATCTTAACCTCTTGCTTCTCAACTAGCTGCTTTATCTTGTATATTACGTTAGGGTTGTTAAGGTTGCTGTTAGACTTGTCAAGGCTAACGTCAATTAGGCCTAGCAAGGGCTAAACCTAGCTGTAGAGATCTTTGTTATTGCTAGTATCTAAAACCAAGTGCTATACCAAGATGACTAG